TTGGATAGACATCCATGGCAGACATCCAGAGAGTGGGTGGCGACCATAACAGTTAATTATCGATAAAGATATGAGGAGCAGCGCATATTTCGGGGTTTTTATCGCAGCTCCGAGCAGTTTCTCCCCCGGAAAAGTGAGAGATATATGAAACCCAGGATGGAACGAGATATATATAATTTTTATAGAGACTTCCTGCCGATTATCTTTGAAGTGGAAACAATTGAGTTTGAGCCTCAGTTCGAACTGCATTTAGATATTTGCACCTCGTAAATCAAACGAATTGAATTTTTGCATTTCAAAAGAACTCTGGAGCGAGAGATGGGTACATTTGCATATTTGTAGTAGACACAGTGTCTATTGAAATTGAATTATTAATGCAAATTTTCCAGCGCTTCGCTTCGCACTTTTCCCCACTTTAAATTGGTACTCTCTCTCCATATCTTTTGGCATTTTGAATTTAGCATTGCTCTTGGGAAATGCAGTTTATTAAATCATAAACGTAGGTACATATTTTCAAGTGCCAACTGAAATTCAGCATTGAAATATGGCAAAGCGATTAAATGCGATTGTTTTTAGATATCGATAAACTATACTTAGCTTCACATTATCTCAGTACCCTTATCTTACCCGAATTCCCACTAAAAACTATCTGCCCCATTAAAAATTCCTTACCCTTAAATAGCTAAAGCCATTCCCTGAGGTTAACCGGAATGAATTATCCTGAGAAGACCCCATCTAATGTGCATAATTGATAGATATATACAGAGTAAAGGATTAAAAATGCACAGATCTGAGCCATCAAGCCACATTGTCGTTGTCTCGTCTCATCATCTTGGGAGGAACTCATCTATTAGTTGGTGTGTGTTAGCCATTTCCTCGGCCATTTACCTCTGTTGCATAATTAATGGTATTAAAAGCGTTAACTGACATTCAACACACTCATGCACACACACACACACACATACACCGCACACACATGCCAAAATAGTTGGCATAATTCCGGGGCATTTCAATGAGGTCGATAATTTGATGGTTCAGTGGAGGTCGCCGTCGTCACACTCCCCCGAAAGGCCTTCAGATACATTTGTATCTTCTAGCTACTTTTATCGTCGTCTGATATCTAACCTCGATACGCAGAGTGTGTGTCTCTCTGTGTGTGTATGAAAATAATCAGTTTAGAGATGAAGAAATCCCAAGAACAACAAGCTGCTTCCCCCTCCTTGGACAAAGAAAAAAAAACGACAACATTCGGAAGGTATTTCCCCGGTCCCAGCGGCATGACTTTCGGTCCCAAAGCAACCCCAAAAAAAAATATACACAAAAACAGAACAGAAAGCCAAAGAGATTCATTCACCCAAAAATGAACTCGAGAAACGGTAAAAAGCTCACTCGTATCCCAAAGATACACTCAAAGTGTCTTCACTCACTTTCACTCTCTCTCTCTCTGTGAGAGAAAGCCTTGCGAAGCGAAAGTGTTTTCAACAAGTTCTCTTCCGGCCAAAAGGATAAACGTATCTGCAGACAGCAGCACGCCAAACAAGCTGCGAAATGCACTTGAAAAAATTCCAAATTAAAGTCTATAAAATTATATTTAGAAGGATAAAAAAGGGGATAGATTTTTAGAAAATTTCAAGTGTGAATAATACTTTCTTACAAAAAATATATTCTCTTTGAGGAAGCCTTGAACCATTAATCCCTATGAAAGGAAGAAGAATGTACCTAAACTTAAATATAAACTAAATAAACTCTCCACAAGTACAAGTAATTCCCACAGTGCACCCGGCTGAAGACATGTCCTGAAACTTCACCCCCTGCGAAAGTCTATTATAATACAAAGGAACCAAAAAAAAAAAAAGAAAGCTATGAACTTCAGATATGGCAGGGTGGATAAGTGGGAATCGCAGTCGGAATCCATGGAATCCTTGGGCTGCCAAGCGTGGAGCGTTAAGCCGAGAAGGAGCATAAATAAATAAAGCCCAAGCAGCAACAATAGAAGCCAGCAAAATGGTGACTTCATCCTTGTCGACGGCCATGTTTTTGTGACGCTCTCTCTGTCTCTCTGTCTTTCCGTCTCCCTGTCTCCCTTCCTCCGTCTCCCAGTTTTCTACTTGTGTCCTTTTTGGTGGAGAAAATGCCAAAAGGCATAGAAATGGCGCGAAAGTAAGTTTTCGCATTATTTTGGGCCTCTTCTCCGGACCTCTTCTAACATTCGTTGTCATTGCCCATAGTCATTGGGTTTATGCGACAATAAAGTAGAAAATTTTGAATATTATCGTTAGTGAAAAATTAGAGACAAGTTGGGGGAGGGGGCAGTGCACACCTCTCTTTCCGCTCATCTGAGCTCCTCCTGTGTGTCCTGAGTCCTGTGGCTGGCGTGCGCCAAAAACGCTCACGGCTCCTCACGGCGGCGTCCTGTTCACGCCATCTCCAGATAAAATCAGCGGAAAATGGGAAAGCTGGAGGTGGCGAAGGAGCCGAACTGAGCCTGGGCAAAGCGATTTATGTCCTCGCCAAATTCATCATTAAATTTGTGCGTTGTTTTGCGATGCAAAGATAATGCCACAATTTGTTGTTCGCGCGATGCTGCTGCTCCTTGGCAAATTCACAGTTAATCGCCTGCCTCCTCAGAAAACCATAAACCAGGAAAAGTTTTTGACGCTTTTAAAGATAAAGATATTCTGGGAATTTATTTCAATTTTCTGTGACTGCGATGAGTGCGGGATAAGGCTCTGGTCTGGGGTTAAGGTTTAGATTTAGAAGTTATGGCTAGGTGAGGACATTTCAAGATAAGAAGTTTTTGAGATACTCTATGGAGTTTCTTAAGGTTTAAAATAAATTTGGATAGAACATTTGGAATATTTGTAAAGATGTGAGTTAGCTTTTTCTAGGCTTTCCACTTGAATTTGACCACCAATCAAGCTTCTGTCTTAAATCGAATCTCCTTCCAATCGAAGGACACTCAAAAGTGGAGTCCCTCGACCAACTCCTGCTACCAAATATGAATGACCAATTATGCACTTCGTTGACGCTACGTGCCTGTCCTGCCAATGAATTCTGGGCGTGAATCTGTGCGCCTTCGGGAAAATTCTCGGGAAAAGTCTTCCCGTCAAGGTGGTGGCTTCGATGTCATGTGCTAGCGCGTTTGATGATGCGTAGCTTTTCATTAAATGAAAATTTTCGCGTTGCTGGCACAAACAAAGGACAAAAGAGAAGGCCAACACAGAGTAAACTTTGTTGCCAGAGAATGGGAATTGGAGAATTGCAGGAGAAAGGGCGTTTAACATGGAAGACACTTTGATTTATTGGCAGGACGCGACTGGAATTTTTAATTGCCTAAAAAATAGGATGGAAGGCAGGACGAAAAAGCAGCGGAAAAATCCTTGTGGCGGCTGAAGAAATTGAATTGGTCAGGATTTCACGGAGAAAGACTCGATCCCAGAGAGACTTTTGAGTCTATTTAAGTAGGAATACAACAGGAAAAAGATTAAGATGCAGAAGACGAAGACCGAAAGGAAGACTTCGACTTAGACATATGCAAATGTAGATCTTCAGATGGGGAGAGCCTGGGAATTTATGTGTCCTGTGTCAGGATATTTTGAAAACATTGTAATTCAAGCAAAGCGAGGGCGAGGACGAAGGCAGTCTGCTTCCGAGAAGTCAATTAGCTGCCCATAAAAATCGAACCCATAAGACAACCCAAAGTGATGACATCCCTCGTATATCCTCGTGTTTCCCGGGGATGAAGTCATCGCCCGAGCAAGTGGAATGATCCTCTCAATATCCACTCGATACGTATTCAAATTTCAGAGCTGCAGTTGCATCTGTGAGCTGCCTGTGTAATTCGATACAGTATCTGACAGATACACGGCTCGGCTCACGGCTCTCTTGGGATGAGTTGCGTTAATGATGACGATGATGATGATGCCGTTGCTGTAATGGACGCACATCTGGTTCCAAAGCCAGGTCCAGCCATAGTTCCCGATAAGCGCCTCGCGCGAAATATAAATAAAATCATGCATACATATGTATATTTTTTCGGTAATTTTTTGTATATGTTTCTCTGAGCTTAATGGAGACGCCTTTGCATATCAGTTCTAATTGAAATTTGTTCGCTTTTTTGGAGCATATCTCAGCCTGTCAGTTTATTATCGCCGCTAAGTTTTGATTTATGGCTATATGTCTGGCGATATTTGTATGTTTCATTTCATAACAGAAACTTAAAAGAAACAGCCTAAAAGTTTCCGGAATATATAAGAATATAAACCAATTTGCACAAGGACATATGCGGAGGACACCCGCTGTTTGGCGAGAGATCAACCCTCCAACTCCCCGCCTATCGGCTTCCTGCTAATTTGTCCAATTTGTCGAGTGAGAAAAACAACAAAAATATATATATGCCTCCCGCTGTTTGGAAGGGAAAATATTATTTGTGCATATATATAAAAAAAAGGGGCCGTATCATGTCGCCGGCGGATGCATAAAAGTATTTTCAGCATTTAAATGCAACGCACATGGGTGTCAATTTCCACTCGCCCTGGCACTGGCACTCTAGCATCCTGGCCGCAGGACATTCGCCGTCTGTCACCCCACTTATCGCCAGTGGCCCCGGGGCCAAACATCTGCCCAGAAAACTGGGAAAAAGCGAATGAAAAGAGAGCCTGGGCAGCTAAAAGGCGGCGGAAACCCGTCATTACCTACTCGTAAAGTCGTCATTGGATATCGTTGGAGGTTTTGCAGATATAATAAAGAGTCTTAATTGAAGCCTTTATGCCTTGATTTTATGCCCAACTTATGGATAACTGCCTGCATGGCATGGATGGAGAAGTGTCAGAAATGACCGAAACACTCAATAAAGTTGAGGAGAATAGAAGAGAGAATCCCGAGGGCTTACATAAATAATATTTTCCAACTGGAAACCCCATTTTGATCAATGTTTTGTAAGCTGTATAGTTACATTTTATAACCCATCGCTTAACCCAAGCTATTTATATTATTTCCAGCTTCTTCCTCAAGTTCTTTTTGAAGTGCAATCAAAACTGTTTAAAGAATGCCGGCAACCCGCGGGATATGCGCAGATTTCAGGTGAGTAAAACCAGCCCATCCTGGGCTTTAGTATTCCCATTAATATATAATTTGTGTACCCTCTAATCTCAGGTGGTGATCTCCACACAGGTGGCCGTTGATGGACCACTGCTGGCCATCTCCGACAACATGTTCGTGCACAACAATTCGAAGCACGGACGGAGGGCCAAGCGACTGGACACCACGGAAGGTACAGGCAACACATCCCTGTCCATTTCCGGTCACCCCCTAGCGCCCGACAGTACCTACGATGGTCCGTAGCAAAATTCCAATTATTCCGACCACACATTTCATTCGTTTTACGTAGCTCCAGAGATACCCCCAGCTATCCCCCAAGAAATATCCCAACTTATTATTTACTTTACGTAGCAATTGGCAGATCCGAAAAGACAATCAACCTCGACACACTTTAACCCAACTAACCAAAGCCATCTCTGGGATCTATCCTTTCCAGGTCTCTATCCCCCGCTGCCCGTGGCAACGCCCTGCATAAAGGCGATCTCACCCAGCGAGGGCTGGACAACTGGCGGCGCCACGGTTATCATTGTGGGCGATAACTTCTTCGATGGCCTCCAAGTGGTCTTTGGCACCATGCTGGTGTGGAGCGAGCTGATCACCTCGCATGCGATCCGGGTGCAGACCCCGCCGCGGCACATTCCCGGCGTGGTTGAAGTGACGCTATCCTACAAGAGCAAGCAGTTCTGCAAGGGATCGCCCGGTCGCTTCGTCTATGTCTGTAAGTGGTCACAGCTTGGAATACCTGCCAGTCCTTTACATCAAGTCTAACCTGTTTTTATTTTGCGTTCCAAGCAGCTCTCAACGAACCCACAATCGACTATGGTTTCCAGCGCCTGCAGAAGCTTATACCCCGGCATCCTGGTGATCCCGAGAAGCTGCAGAAGGAGATAATCCTCAAGAGAGCAGCTGATCTGGTCGAGGCTCTGTACTCCATGCCCAGGTAAGCGCATCTCTTATATAGTATATATTTCATCGAAAGCTAATACACAACCCGTGTTGCAGCAGATCCCCGGGCGGCTCTACAGGCTTCAACTCCTATGCCGGCCAGCTGGCGGTCAGTGTCCAAGATGGCACTGGCCAGTGGACTGAGGACGACTACCAGCGAGCCCAGTCGAGCAGCGTGAGTCCGCGTGGTGGATACTGTAGCAGTGCCTCCACGCCGCATAGTTCGGGAGGATCCTATGGAGCCACGGCAAGTGCAGCGGTGGCGGCCACTGCCAATGGTTATGCACCTGCACCCAACATGGGCACCTTGTCCTCCTCGCCCGGCAGCGTTTTCAACTCCACGTCAAGTAAGTTGTACAGCTCCTCGGGGCATAAGCTCACTCTAAAGGTGAAGGGAACCCATTGACCCATTGTTTTGGATGTGATTCCATCACAGTTCCATCATCTCTCAATTAAGAAGGATTCATTTCCCCTACTTATCCGATTTATCTTTAGTTGATTTTACTTTCTGTTCTGTATAACTCTCACATGAATACCGCCCCCACATAACTCTCTAGTCGCCTCCATTAACCCCATCCCCAGTCCTTATCCGAAACAAAGTGAACAAAGTATGCTCAGCAAGTGCATTTTCGCCATTAATTTCAACAGTGTCCGCCGTGTCGTCGACGTGGCATCAGGCGTTTGTGCAGCACCATCATGCGGCGGCTGCCCATCCGCACCACCACTACCCGCATCCCCACCAGCCCTGGCACAATCCGGCCGTGTCAGCAGCCACGGCGGCGGCCGTTTAAGCCATATACATATACACCCGGAGAGTTCAACGGAAGGAGAGCAGAGCCAGGACCTGCGAGGAAATTAAATGCTGTACCCGCCCAACCCCCCCCAAAATAAAAACAAAAAAAAAGAAAGAAAAATCGACACGCCAGCCACCCACGCAGGAAGATAGCCAGACAGAGACAATCTATCAATCGGCAAGGACATGGCCAAAAAGGGGTGGCAAATAACAAATCTGAGCACTCTAAAACACATATCCACCTTCAACAGACACCACAGACAACACACGATTAACGGTATTTATAATTTCCATTATCCTTACGAATGTCTAAGTAAGAAAGATCCCTTTAGTCCCTTTAGTTATTCCGCCCGAGAAGAGTATTATTTGTGTAGATTTGAGTTGGAAACTCTCCCTGTAAATTCCCTTTACCTATAAGAGTATCCTGTTTATTATTAAACAAAAAAATCTCTATTTAAATATATTTCCAGGGGTCAGCAGCCTGAGTTTCAATCCCTTCGCCCTGCCCACCTGCAACACACAGGGCTATAGCACCCAACTGGTGACCTCAACCAAATAATATTACTACTAATGAGGCTATTGGCAGGCCACCAATCCCTCGCGGACATCCACAAGAAGCTCGACAGTGCAATAAACATGAGAAAATGGTTCCAAAATTCGCAACACACAAAAAAAAAAATCTCAAAAAAGAAAAAAACCTATTGATATAATTGTAAATTTTTTGATTGAAGCCCGTTTTTAATTTAATTTAAAATACGCCTCGGCAATAGATATTTAACAAATACATATAGAATACCATATCAAAGTAAAATTAAAACATATGAAATGGGGGGCTCAAGGACCCGAAAAATAAATCATTTTGTAAATATTTATCCCAAAATATACATAAACTTAATGCTTAATATTAATCGGAACTGTGAATAGAGGAAATTATACCAATTTATATATACCCATGATGATGATTGATCAATTCTAAACAAAAATACGAATCAAGATATACCAAAACAGATACAATTTGAATGAACTTTTTGGATAGAAAACTAACGGCTTGTATACGATACTTTCTTGGATAAATATCGGAAAAAATAAGAAAAGAAACTGAAAAGAAATATGGGGAATACCCCCGCTCTCTCTGCCAATTGAGAAAACCGAAATCAAAATGTTATATACCTACATACATAGATATACACCAGATTCGCGGTGACATTTGCAGCATATCTACGCGTAATATTACAATGAAATTTATACCAAAAAAAAAACTTTGGCAAAACATATCGTGCACTTAGCCCTAATATCCTACAAGTCCATCTCACGCGATCCCATACTCGTATATATAGAACATCATTTCCAACATTCGAAATTCATATACAACGATTCGATTAACACCAAATCATCATAAGATATATACATGTATACATTTTGCTATTCAAGTCAGAGTGCGTTTGATAAACTACCAATTTGTTGACTAGACTCTAAGGCAGGCCCAATATCTGGGAGTGCATGCAAGTACTACACACATATAGGTCTAAGTTCATTGTTTATCACTCGATTTGTAGGGGTTTTACTGTCATTTCGTGTTTGATTTTTATGGTATAAATCCGTTTGATTGCAAAAACCTTATAATAACAAGATAAGTAACACCATAAGATATTTTTATACGAGAGCCGACTCCTCTCTTGAAATTTAATTCAAACGACAGGGGCAGCCACTCCCCTTTTTAAGCTTTCTAGATTTCAGAAGGAAATTTTAATTTTACATTATTACGGTCTCAATTTTGGTCTTACATATATCGTTTGTTTTAAATCTTGTTATGATAAGGTCTTTGCTTGCACTCCTAGATCTACAAAATAATTGAAACCCCTTGCGAGAGACGATAGTGAAGCATATCTATTAGGACGGCAGCATTAAACGCAAAATCGATTTGTAAATTACAAATACAATAATTTATAATAACAACCATCTAGCAATCAACGCTCTCTGTTTTGTAAATCTTAACAAGTTATTTAAATAAAATTTATTTAAAATAAACGTCTTACACCATGAATGCGTTTGGTTATTACTATGTGGTACAGTTTTATTATTTTATTTCGTGTCTGTGGCTAAGATCAAATATGAAATGTGAAAATATAGATGTATTGGCGTATGAGTCGCAAAAGCCAAACAATCAAAAGCAAAATGTCTCGTATTCATAATTTAACTGAATACACAGCGGGAGTGTATATATAATTATCTTAATTACCGACATCGAAAATATGTCTTGTTGCTATCGTTCCTTGCTTGGGGCTTGTGAATCCACTTACTCGTCCTTGGATGCCACTGAATCGCCCTCGCTCTCCTTGAACAATATCTCCTGGATCTTAGAGCGAACGTACATCTTGCGATTGATGGAAAGATGGCGCATGATGGGCACCAGACTTAGGGCAAAGTAGTAATCGTCGTCCTTTGTTTGCTCCTCGTGGTTCTGCTGGATGATGTAGCTCAGCTGCTCACTGACAGTAGTCAAACGGTCGATAGACGTTTCCAGGTTGTTTTTCAGCTGCTTGGCCGGGGAGCTGGCCGAGCTAGATGCCACCACGGTGGCCACCACTGGTGTGGCACTGGGCCGACTACCGGTTGCTGCACCAACGCTGGTGTTGGCCACTACATGAACCTTCTCGCCCGTCTCCAGGGTCTCATCTTCCATAACATGTATGGGGCTATAGCATAGCGGATCCTCGCTGTATATGATGTCCTTAATATCGTCGCTGATCTCGTCGTTTTGCTCATACTCCTCCCACTTTTGCGGCAGGGCCCCGGTCTCGCCAACATACGAGCCAGTGACCTCTATCTTCGGCTTGGCCAGCCGCAGGGGCTCGCGCAGCTGCTTGGCCTTGGTTATCCGCACGGTTTTTTCTGAAAGCATATGCGATAGGAGCTATATCAATGGCTGTTCAATAGTGCGGTAGCGATGTATTCGCGATACATATTGAAAGAAAGGTCGAATAAATGAAAATAATCATATTCAGAGATGGACGTTTTTGCCGCGGCCAGACGGTCGATAGCTGTACACAAAGCGGGATCGGTGGCGGGCCGCGCGGGAACTGGTGCGCCCTTTACCTTTCTTGATTATCGGAAAGCCCCGCGTCGGGCGCTGCTGGACGGGACTGACCAGGACCTCGTCGCTGTGCTTGTGACGCAGATGCGTCCATAAATTGGTCGTATTGTTGCCCTTCAGGTTGCTAGCCATGCCGCCACGCGATATATTGTTACCGCAGTAGCGGCATATCGCGAAGTTTTCGCACTCCTCGTTGATGTCGTAGTGCTGCCACACATTGCTTACACGTCCTTTTGGCATTTTTAATGACTTTCCTATAACTTCTCGGATGCTAAACTGATTTTCGTCTTCTTTTTTTCGTATAATTGAGATATCGGCGTTGCTGCTGTCAGTGCTGGTCAGTGCCGCCACTACTAGTGTTGGAAAGCGCACGAAAACAGGGGTGAAAACAAAGGAAAAACAAAAATTGAACAAATAAAAATAAAAAAGGGAATACAATTTTTTGTGGAAATATCAACTGCAGATAATTGGTTGTTAAATTGGGTTTGATTTTAATTGAAATTTAGTTTTGCCCTTATCGTATAAGAACCCAACACTGGGTGTGGGGGCACTCGTTTCACTACAAACACTTGCGCCCGTCCAAGCGGATTTTATATGGATTTTATCCCGCTTTAAGTTGGCGCGACCCGTCGTGCTATGCCAACGTGCGGATTACCGTGGACTTATCGCTGAGGTGCTATCGCGATGGCAGTTGGCGGTGATCCGTGCTCAGTGTCTCCGGGCACGGGCACGGAGCGGAGCACGCGTGGCAGTGAGGGGGCGTGCGTGATATTTCGGATCCTGAACTTACCGTTACTCGAGTGGAGACATCGGTGGCGCAGTAGGCTCCCCGTGCCGGTTTTCCCGCTGTAGGAAAGAAGATCTCCGCAGGTTTTGCAGCACGCATAGGGCTCGATTTGCTCGTCGCAGGACACCAGATTGAAAAACCTCCAGACGCAGCTTTTTGTGTTCCGGGGCTCTACCAGCTTGCAGCGCTTGTCCCCGGACTTCAGCATGCTGCGCAGCTCAGATTTTCGTTCTACGTGCATTGTATTTTATCCCTGGATATTGGTTGGTAAACCAAAACAGATCCAAATTACAAAATCCACACAAACACAAAGAAATACACGCATGTCACGAAGTTCAGTCACGCACAAAACGGTGCTGGAAAACACCAAAAGACGTTCGCGGCAGGGTGCTTGAAGTGCAAGGTGGTGCATGGTTAAACGATTCTAGTTCTACGAATCGATTGCCATCTGTTTTCAATATAAAATGCTCAGATTCATGATAATACAAATTTAAAATGTAAAGCGGAGAATAACTATAAAATGACAACAGTTAACCGCGAAAAGGTCCCGTACAGCTACGACTACATTAAGTCTCTCATTCAAGCTGGAACGCTTCAATTTAGCAACAAGCGCAGCAGGAGCCGGGTGTGGGATGTATTCGCCAGGATCGAGGACCAAAGCGGTGTCCAAATCTCCAACCTTGTGGTCTGCCGCACCTGCTCCAGTATATACCAGTACCAAGGCAGTACCTCCAACATGGTGCGCCACAAGTGCTACAGGAGCAAGGTGCTCAGCGCGAATGTGGATCCCCTTGGCTCCGAGGAGCGCAGCCCCGACGCTGTAGAGGAATCCACTGCTGAGGTGGAAGCCACCGACAAGGTCAGACATGCAATGGTAGAGTGGTGCGTGAAGAACTGTCGTCCCTTCAACATTGCTAAGGATTTGGGTCTAAGGAAGCTATGTTCGATCCTCCTGGAGATTGGTTCGGAGTATGGTCGCAATATTTGTGTCGAGGATCTGCTGCCGGATCAAGGAGTAATTGCCTGGAACGTGGAGAACTGGTATGATGACGTCCTGCAACAGGTGCGGCGCGAGATGTCCGCTGCCCGGCAATCCGGCTACAGTATCGCCATTGCTGAGACCAGGGACTCCACAGGGGAAAGCTTCTATCTCTCCACCACCATCCACTACGTGCGCGATGGACGGAAGAGGAACCAATTACTTGGAGTGACCCAGGTGCCCAGGAACAAGTCCACCACAGGTGAGAAGCTGGAAATCCTCTTGATAACATTATTTTCTTATGTATTTTTTACCTGTTTGGCAGACGCTTACATTCTCAAACTGATCGATGCCGCTCTGAAGGATTTGAACTGTGAGATGTCTGAAGATAATCCTATTTTGTGTATGACGAACGTACGACCATTAAGACGGTTTTCGAAGGACGAAGAACAATTTTTTGCTTCAACACATTGCTGGATAGAGTCGTAGAGAAAACCTTCCACGACGTGCCGGAACTAAGGTTAATATTAAACAAAGCCAAAGAGCTGGTTATCCTTGGGGTGCTGCCAACCCCAACGTCGAAGGGCCTGGTCAGGATCTCGCACATTTTCAAGTCCTTGGAGGCCAACTGGAGCATAATCGCAGACGAGGATGAGAAGCTTGTAGAGGGTTGCAGCAGCACTGGCCTAACGGCCATTAACAACCTTCTGGGTCACTTCGAGAAGTGCTACCGCACTCTGGAGTCCGGCACGGGACCCACTCTGCACTTGGTCATTCCACACATACACCGGCTGCGAAAGTTCTGCAGCGGAGAGTCCATCCACGAGGTAGAGGTGGAACTAAAGCATACTCTGCTAGATAACATCGATTGGATAGTGATGCCCTGCATTACCAAGTACCACATGATGGCCCATTTTCTTTTCCCGCCCACTAACAGGCTGTTGCAATGCACCCAGGTGGAGCGAGAAGAGACCATCAAGAACTGTAAGGAGTTCATGCAGTGGCACGGCTCCACGCAGCACCCAACAACCCGTAGAACGGAGGAGGTACTGATCAAAGGAGAGGGTGAGGTGCTCGAACAACAAGATTTTGAAACGGACGATGATCTCTTCTCGGACTTCGTGGCCATGGACAACCAAGAGGATAGGATCACAAAGGAAATGCGAGGATATCAGGGCATCCAGATGGCCTACCACGATGGCTTTCATGTCCTGGAATGGTGGCACTCCAATAGAGATCAATTTCCGCTGCTCTACAAGACCAGTTGCCAGATTCTAGCCACTCCCGCCAGCAATGCACCTTCTGATTTAGTGTTCTCGCAGGCCAGTAATTTAATCAAAGATCCCGCGTGCAGCATCGATGAACTGAACCGAGTCATGTTTCTAAAAACGAATATGGGTGTGATCACACCAGAAACTACTATTAATTAAACACTTATATGTATTAAGCTAAAGTCCCTATGCTTAGGATACATGTGGGCTGTTTCAAATGTTGTTTGTACTCGTTAATCAAGTATATTCCTTCCAAATTCTTCAGTTTGCCTTCGGCATTTCTTTTTTATAAATTTTGATTAAAAAAGTACAAGTTTTTTAAAAGGACTGTGTGCCCAGTTCCTCTGAGCCTTTGGTAAAGAATTCTGGTATTTTTACAACCTGTTAAAGCATTTTTAGGCGCCCACTGCTCCGGTCATATTGACGCGTTGCCGTTTTTAACAGAATATCCGTTAACTGGCCACTAAAATCAAAAAATCTATACTGCAATGGCTATTTATAGGTCAACAGAGATATTGACTGCACTGGGAAATCCTCGGGGAAACCACCAACGGCGCCACCAGCAGAAGGTGACGCCACCAATCTTCTGCTCAGATGTTTTGGTGTTTCAAGAAGTGACTCATCATCCGCCGGCTGTGGGCTCTCTGTTTTCACTTTTGTTGTGGCCCCGAAACGGCATTTAAGGCATTCCGGTGTAGACAGCGGGCCAGAAAACAAGTACACGCAGCAGTTCCGCAATTACGCAGCACACACAGAGACCCACCCACAGTACCAGACAATCAATATGTTCGACTTCAATTTGGAATTCGCGCGTGGAGGCGCCCGCTTCACCACCGAACTCTTCCAGCTTTTGGCCACTGGCGGATTCAAGGAGAACGTTGTGTTCTCGCCCTTCTCTATCCAAACCTGCATTGCCCTGGCCTTTGCCGGTGCTCAGGGGGAAACCGCCGATGAGATCGCCAAGGCCCTGCACTTTGTGTCCAACTTCCCGCCGGAGGTGGCCCAGACCTTCCAGTTTGTGCTTGAGCAGTACCGGAACAGCAACCTGCTGCGCGTGGCCAACAAGCTGTACGTACAGGAGGGCAAGCAGCTAAAGCCAGCCTACCAGGCCGCCATCAAAGAGCAGTACCACTCGGAGGCCGAGTCCATTAACTTTGCCTTGAGCGATGCCGCCGCTCAGGCTATCAATGCCTGGGTGAATGCCAAGACGCAGGGCAAGATCACGGAGCTGGTCAGTGCGGATTCCTTTAATGACAACACCCGACTGGTTCTGCTCAATGCCCTGCACTTCAAGGGCAGCTGGGCGCACAAGTTCAGCGAGGATCGCACCGAGGAGGATGACTTCTGGGTTGGCGAGGAGGAGCAGGTGAAGGTCAGCTACATGAACCAGAAGGCCAAGTTTGCCTACGGCTATTTCGAGGATCTGGGCTGCACTGCCCTTGATATGCCCTACCAGGATTCGGATCTATCCATGTTTGTGCTGTTGCCACAGGAGCGTACCGGCATTTACGATCTGGCTGAGAAGCTCAAGGGCGTAAATCTGGTGGATTTATCAGCCAAGATGGCCGTGGAGGAGGTTAACGTCAAGTTCCCCAAGTTCAAGGTGGACTACTCCCTGGAATTGGCCGAGAAACTTAAGCAGGTGAGGGAGGAGTGACACATTTTTAGTATAATTACGATTAATTCATGGTCAGCTTTCGCCTAAACGTTGTTTGACATAGTTACTTGACCCACTTTCATGATAAATGGTTTCCTTTTGAAGGGTAGGTGAAGTTATTTGAATATAACAGCTCATTATTCTTAAAAAAAACGAAAGTAGTCACTTTTACAGCCACGTTGCATCACTGCAAACCGCTCCCAAAAACCATTTATTGAGTTCCTTATCTCACAAATTTCTTTGCTTGATGTATGGAATTATTTATAGTAGCTTATCGCCTTTAAGAGGTGTCTAAGATAACTTAGAATTGAACTGCGATATTCTTGTGGTCACCACTTTTATTGACTCAACCTGCGGTTCATGTTAAAGATCATGTATCAGCGGCTCTATCCCATAAAGCTATACAATTTTAGCTGCAGTCGGATGTGAAACACACACCCTAATAGGGTTATCTTATCTTATCGATCGAGTGGCTATGACTTCATTAGTTATTATTTATCCAACACACAAAGTATTAATACTCTATTTGTTTATTTATATACACTTTCAGCTGGGCATCACGAAAATGTTCACCGACGGAGCCGAGTTCAACAATCTGCTGGAATCCCCCGAGGATATTTTTGTTTCCCAAGTCCTGCACAAGGCCACCATTGAGGTGAATGAGGAGGGCACAGAGGCGGCGGCTGCCACCGGCATGATCATGATGACCCGCATGATGACTTTCCCCCTGCAGTTCCAAGCGGACCGCCCCTTCCTGTATGTTATTTGGAACAAAAAGAATATCCTCTTTGCCGGAGCCTTTGTAAAGGCTGCCTAACAAGCTTTGTTTTCTCTCACTAGACTCAGGTTCAATTATTTTGGTATTCTTTTAATTGAAAAGTATTTGTAAAATAAAAAAACGCATCATAAAAAAATCAATAAACAGGGGCTTTCTTAAAATAAACTTTGGCTTGGTTTAAAATTGAAAAAAAAAAAACAAAATTATTAGAATTTGAATAATGTTAGAAAATTAAAAGTTCGAGCCCAAGTATGACCGTTTTCTAACTTAACCAATACTAAAAAAGTACACAAAATATATAATGACTGCGTTATTTTTGCTCTATTTTCCTCCGGCCACATGCTAAATTTTCCGGGCCTTTCCACGAAGCAAAACTAAACAAATTTATTATATTTTATGCTAAATTTTCCCAGACCCGCATTATTATGCTCATGAGTCGCGCGCTCTGCCGGAGCTGGCTCTCCCAGGTGGCGTAAGTAAGCGGGGCGACCACCGCCAAGTCGCGGCATGCCGGAGTAATCACGTTTCAACCAAACATAAACTCTTGCAGCCACAGATGTCATCATGCCAAAGCGCCGCCGATCCTGCCATACAGACACACCATAACCTCCGGCCATCCGGCGACGAGATCATGCCGCCGGCACTTTCATGGCAACCGGAAGCAGAGCACCAGAGACCTTAAGCCGGAGAGCGGTGAGCCGGCGGCGGCGGAGCAAAACACTTCCGTGCCGCTGAACAATGTGATCAAGGCGGTGGCCTTTACTGGAGCAGTAAGCGGTGGACTCGTCTGGATTAAGACTCATGCTAATGAATGTATATATGTACCCCACGCTAGTTTACGGTGGGTTGCTTCGCCGGAGCCACGATTCTGGAATATGAGAACACACGCAGCGCCATCCTGGCAAAAGCGCGACAGGCAAGATTTGGCTGGTGGCAAAGCCGATCACTGGCGGACCGCAACTATTGGACACAGCTGAAGCAAGACATCCAGCGCCACTGGGATGCCCTGACACCGGGAGACAAGATGTTTGCGCCTATTTTCCTGTGTAATGCCCTGGCCTTTGCACTGTGGCGGGTGCCCTCCTTGCGAACGACCATGATGACATACTTTACCTCCAATCCTGCGGCGCGTGAGTCTGATAGAGCCAAGTTATCCTTGCACGGTTATAGTTTTCCAAAGTAAGCTGTTGAAAATCAATCAAAGGTGTCTTAACAGTTCTATTGTTATATCTTTGCAAGGATATGGTACAGCTTCTTTTACATCAGCTAACAACCAAATGATATTCTCTCCATAGGAGTCGTCTGTTGGCCCATGTTCCTGTCCACATTTAGCCACTACTCCGCCATGCACATATTCGCCAATATGTACGTGCTGCACAGCTTTGCCAATGCGGCGGTTCTTTCGCTGGGGAAGGAACAGTTCCTGGCCGTCTACCTCAGTGCCGGCGTCTTCTCCAGCCTGATGAGCATGCTCTACAAGGCCGGGACAAGTTCGGCGGGAATGTCATTGGGGGCGGTAAGGATGCCACAGGAAAATTTACACTGAATTCGTATTATTATGTGCTCGAAATTTGCTTTTTTTAGTCTGGTGCCATAATGACGGTTCTGGCTTATGTGTGCGCCCAATATCCGGATACGCAGCTCAGCATTCTGTTCCTTCCCGCGCTGACGTTCTCTGCCGGGGCCGGCATAAAGGTGATCATGGGCATTGACTTTGCCGGCTGTGTCCTGGGCTGGAAGTTCTTTGATCATGCGGCTCACTTGGGTGGCGCCATGTTTGGCATGTGAGTTGCATTTTATGTAGTGGATAAACTCTCTCTTTTAATCCTGCCGCAATTTATAGCTTCTGGGCCACGTACGGAGCACAGATATGGGCGAAGCGCATTGGTCTGCTGAACTACTACCATGATCTGCGTCGAACAAAACAGAAATAGGCTGGCATTCTGGCCAGCTACGGAGCGGAGGTTTCGCAACGTGGAGATAAACAAATGACATCGTTCTGCCTTAGAGGTTCATTGCAATGAGTTAAGTTGAATAAAGCGTCACGATCTAGTACTCATTTGGATTCTCGACTCTGTTTGTGGGGCGGCTCCCTATCCCGACGATTGCGTCGGATGCGAAAAGCCACCTCCTGCCTGCGCTTTAGAAGCTTCTCCCGGAGCTCCTCCAGAGATTCTCTCTCAGGCGCGTAGGAAATGTGCAGGATGCCGCCGTAAAATTGACGAGCATCCAACATCTGTTTGGCCCTTCTGGCCACCTCCAGGCGCTCGAATTTGGCGGCAAAAACATCGGTAAAGGCCTCCAGGTCCACTAGAGATAACTAAGAGTTTAATTCAATGATCATGTGGGGGGGGGGGGTTGGACAAAACTTACTCTTTAAAGCCATCTCCGAAGTTATGCAAATACAAGACTCCAGCCTTCCGAAGCCCTGTAGTTTGCTCTTTAGATTCGCTTGAAGGTTTATCTTTGGCACACCAAATATTAGAAGGTGTCTGGACTCGCTGGCCACTGTATACACCTGGATTTCCAAGTATTATTACAAGTTGCACTTCCCAAAGGATAATATTCGCACCTTCACAGCTTTTAACTCTCGCCCTTGACGGTATTGCAACCTGGTGGTGCAATACTCCATTCGCTTGTGGTGTTCCGAAGATGTTCCTTCCATACTTTGGACAATCAAAACTTTATTTTTTAGGGAAACCTCAATAAATAGTTTATTATTGTATTTTAATTGTAATATACACTCTGGCAACGCAGCTTGCTCATGAACGAGAACTAACAACACTGGTCGCACTCAAAAGTGACGCAGCGCCGCGCATAGTGCTGCCAGACTTTCGTTCATCAGCAGCCAGTGCTGCCAGAACTTATCGCTTATCAAGCGATCGATAGGTTGATACATCGATATTACACTATCGATAGAACCATTTATTTTTTTGCAGCTGTTGTACCATACCTGAAATTGGCGGCAAATCGAACAGCATAAAAACCTCGGAGGCAAAATTTTCCAACTCATTTGCCGCCTAAATTTTGGACTTGATACTAAAGATTAACCGATTTTAATAGTGAATTTCAACAGTGCTACTGCTGCAGAAAAAAACGAGCAACAAGCTAGGACAAATAAAATTACAAACATGTCTCAAATGGCGTCAAAGGAAAACATTGCGGACAACTTGGAGAAGTTCTCGCTTAAGGTAATTGACACGTTTATGCAACGCGAGCGTAGTGCATAATTAAATGCAATAGTTCGGGGCTATACATAGAATTTCGCAAGTATCTGTGTCTGCTTGGGTTCCCGGGGGAAAAATACAACTACGCAGCGAAAAATACAGTCTATGTGTGTTCTTTTGTTCTTCATTCTCGCCGTGTAAACAGAGCCCCAGCAAGAAGGTCTTGACCGACAACGCCAGCAACGTTCGCAAAATGTCCATTGGCCAGGAGGACAACGGTGGCCAGACGGCCAAGGAGCAGGCTGAAATTGGAGTCGGCAAGTCGGCATCTATCATGGATAAGTCGGTAGCGCCCTTCGACCCCTCGCTGGAGCCGCTGCTGCGAGAGAATCCCCGGAGATTCGTCATCTTTCCCATCCAGTATCACGACATCTGGCAGATGTACAAGAAGGTGTGTATGCATGTGTTGGTGGCTGTACCGGTGGTGGCGCGTGTAATTGTGTGCGTGGTGAAAATCCAATGTTTTGGGCGGCAAAAATTGTGGAAGGGCGGGCGTTTCGTGATAAAGCGCGCCAAAAGCCGGTCACGTCGGCGACGTGTTGTGATACCATGAATCAATGTTTGTGATATCCCCCTCCCCGGTTGTCGGCCCTTGCCCCGTCCACTGATTCAGTGCATAATGTTTACTATATGGCTGCGTTTTGGCGGGAGAGTTAACAAGTGCGATAAGAACTATTTGTTAGTGTTATATTATCACGAAATAGTTAAACAGTATTTCGTATTTTCTCGTATCTAGGCCGAGGCCTCCTTTTGGACCGTGGAAGAGGTGGATCTGTCCAAGGATTTAACCGACTGGCATCGCCTTAAGGATGACGAACGTCATTTCATCTCCCATGTGCTGGCGTTCTTTGCCGCCTCCGATGGCATCGTCAACGAGAACCTGGTCGAGCGTTTCAGTCAGGAGGTGCAGATCACAGAGGCCCGCTGCTTCTATGGCTTCCAGATCGCCATGGAGAACGTCCATTCGGAGATGTACAGTGTGCTGATCGACACTTACATCCGGGATCCGCATCAGCGGGACTACCTGTTTAATGCCATCGAGACCATGCCGGCGGTGAAGCGCAAAGCTGACTGGGCCCTGTCCTGGATCTCCTCCAAGTCTGCCAACTTTGGAGAGCGGATCATTGCATTTGCCGCCGTCGAGGGCATCTTCTTCAGCGGCAGCTTTGCCTCTATTTTCTGGCTGAAGAAGCGCGGCCTGATGCCTGGCCTGACCTTCTCCAACGAGCTCATCTCCCGCGACGAGGGTCTGCACTGCGACTTTGCGGTGCTGATGTTCCAGCATCTGGTGCAGCGACCGCGTCGCGAGCGCATCATCGAGATCATTCGTGACGCTGTGGACATTGAACAGGAGTTCTTGACCGATGCCCTGCCCGTGAATCTGATCGGCATGAACTGCGACCTAATGTCGCAGTACATTGAGTTTGTGGCTGATCGCCTGCTCGTCGAGTTGGGCGTTGGAAAAATCTACAACACCAAGAACCCGTTCAACTTCATGGAGATGATCTCGCTGGACGGCAAGACCAACTTTTTTGAGAAGAAGGTGGGCGAGTACCAGCGCATGGGCGTCGCCACCAACCGCCTGGACAATGTCTTTACCCTGGACGCCGACTTTTAGGGCTGGTCCCGGGTCTTCATACCACACGAATTCAAATTTAATTCAATATTTAATCTAATTCAATGCAATCCTTCAAGTGGACGCAAGGGCTGGCTTCTCATGCACTATCCTTTAAGCAGACCGCCTTTATGTGTTGTCCGTTTTAAGTTAACTTAGGCTAAGACCGATCACTGACCCGTGCACCATCTTCATCATTTTGTCATTACTAATTTGAAACCCAGGGAAGCGCTCGATGATTGAAATATTCTCAAAAACTTGACTAGAAGCGACCTCTTTTCGAATTCATTGTACATACAACATTTTAAATAAACTTATGCATAGACAATTATTAAGCACTACTATATGCATATATTATTATTATTTTTGTTAGTATATAGATTCTGCTACGGTCTTAAGTTTCATCTTTAATAACTTATGTTTTAGTTGCGAATGAAACAATCAGATAAATTTACTATAAGGTCTGACCTTATCAATGCAATTATTTAATTAACAATTTTAAGGTTGAGTTAAATGCGGTTTTTATAAATAAATCAGTTTAATTTAATTAATGAATTTATATCACCGGAATTAAAACTGCATACAAGCTGGCAGCCCTTTTTAATTGTAAATAAGTAACTTAAGCCTTTATTTCACTTTAAAGGGAACAATTGGATAAATACAAGATATTGTTACGCTGTTTGCTTCTAAAAGCAGCCAAGTCAGCAGGTTAGGCAAGAAAAAATATGAAACATTCCGATATCGAAAGTATTTCTAAAAGGTTGTTAAATCAGGAGGTTAAAAAAAATTAGTTTTATTGTAAAACTGGAAACTCCCTGATTGAAATTTTCCATGGGAAAACCACTCCCTGAAAACTTTATAAGGTTGGTTATTGTTTTCAGTCCTAAGTTTCTTGCTCCGAGCTTTAAATTCGAAGATCGAACCTTTATTTATATATATAAATATACCCTTCCAATCTATTATAATTTTATCTATTTTCAAAGCATGTCTATCTTTTAAAGGATATATTGATATTCAATGATTTAGTCATTTCGGTTTTTATATAGGAACATTAGCTAAAATTTAATTTCGTTTTTTCGATCGATTTGCAATTAAATTCCGTTACAATCTACAAAGATATAGAATGTTCGGATTTCCAAAGTTAGTTATCTATTATGTTTTTATCAAAACCGATTAGATATATTGGTCATAAATGATGACGTCTTGAAGCCAATGGTTGATAAAGAGACCAAACAACTATAAAGACTTACAATTTTTCCCTCTAAACTTTTTACGGGCATTGCGAAATAAAAACATTAATTAAATGTTAGTGGTAATAAAAATAAAATGTTTAATGTCGATACTCTCTTAAGAAAACATATCGATAGTCACGAGCTTTACGTTTTTTCGGCAATCAGCTGAACAGTTAACAGATTTTATCACCGTTTCGAGCTGTTGCAATAAAAAACTCCGATTGGTTGTGACTCGAAGCGGGAGTGACTCGAGAGCACCATACGCTTATCGTTATCAAAAGCACTCAGTTCCCTGGATAAGATGCGGGACTGCCGGTCCCTAAAATGAAATGCGGCCAAACCGACCGCGACCGTTAGCGAACTAAGGGGCAAATGCACGGCACTTGGACAGCGGAAAATGGCGAGGAGCAGAGTTCCTTGCTGGCGACGGCGGCGGATAGTTCCGCCACTGGGTCTGACGATGAGGCTCACCATCGTACCAAGGTCAAGTTGAGGAAGCTACAACGGCGCAATCGCTTGCCGCTGCCAAGGAGCTTGAGACGCCTCGGCTGTTACACTCTGAGCGCCTGCATTGTGTTGTTGCTGATCTTCGTCTACCTGCCGCTCATCTACATGGATGTGCACAGGCGTAGTGGTAAGACAATGGATGCATTGTAATCCAAACCTCATTCATTTTTACGTTTTTGCAGCTGGTCTGCCCGACTGGACCCTGGAGGCCTCCCGGAGCATAGGCGACTATCTAGATCCCGGACAGGAAACGGCGGACATTGTACCCCGTGACCTTTGTCGAAACAAGACCTTCCTGGTAATCGCCGTCTGCTCGGGCCTGGGCAACTTTGTTCAGCGCCAGACCATACGCGAGACCTGGGGAAACACCACCGAGTTCAATTACCCGGCCTTCCTTAAACTCCATGGCCACCTCAAGGGTCGGTACCTGCCGCCGCTGCCGGAGCGTCTCAAGCTATACGCCGATTACCTGCGCGGCGTGAGTGATTCCCTAACCGCCACAGTGCGCATTGTCTTTGTTATTGGTCGCAGCCGGGATGAGGCACTCTTAGGAAACGAGACCCTGACTCGTATTCACAGCGAAGCGGAGCAGTACAATGACATAATTCAGGGGAATTTTGTGGACAGCTACAACAACCTCACCCTAAAGTCGGTGATGGCTCTGAAGCACATCAATAGGAGCTGCTCGAATACCTCCGCCTTCTTCCTCAAGTGCGACGATGATACCTTCCTGAATGTACCCAATCTCTTGCACTTCCTGCTGGGAGGCACTATACCACTGTACAACGACACATTAGACTACCATGACCGCATCACCTTTCTGGCCACATCGCCGCAGAACCGGATGAACGACACCTATGGGGTTATGTACGGCCATCAGTTCTGCAATGTTGTGCCGGTCAGTGATGTGACTAGCAAGTGGTACATGCCCTCGTACATGTATCCGCTAGAGGCGTATCCAAAGTATCTCTCCGGCGCCGGCTACCTCCTCTCCATTGACGTGGTGCAGCGGCTGTACGAGGCGTCGCTCAATACAACGCTGGTCTATCTGGAGGATGTGTACATCACGGGTCTATGTGCGCAGCGGGCCAATGTCAAGCGTCGCCACCATCCGCTCTTCAGCTTTGCCCACTCGAAGAAGCCGTGTGCCTTCAAGGGCACCATCTTACAGCACCAGGTGAAGGATGACAGTATGGTGGAAGCCTGGAACCACGTGTCCAACTACTCCATCAAGTGTCCCCCGCCCGAGCGGTACTTCAGCCAACTGCGACTGCACAAACGACCCAACTGTTAGGACCCGGCGATTTCCCAATAACATTTTCCTTCTAACATTTTTTATTAGTCTGCATAGGATAAGATATCAGTTATCAGTAATTACATAGTATCAGTTATCTGCTAAATTCGTTGCCTGTAAAAGCTGATACTTATAACCCTTCACTTAATTCTCTTCTAGGTTAATTTGCGAACATTTAATCAATACTCGCGGTTTTATGTTTCTAAATTCTTTTAAACGAATTTTGCTATAGGTTATTTTCCTCGTTACGCTGACTAAATCTATTATATCCTTAGCCCAGACTCATAACTCTTACTAATTCTAATTGACGAACACGAGCCTCCTTAAATTTTAAGGCCCCTCTGCGATATATTTATATACGTAAATGTTACTTAGTTATGTCCCATATATAAGCACCCTGTAACCTTTTAACCCCATATCAATGTTAAAAGTAATGCACACATATACATATATCGTACGGAAACATCCCTTCTGGCTTCCGGACAAGGACCCTAGACCCTATATCATACAAATAGATTTAATGCTAGATCTGTAAGTATTTATTTTTTTAAGTACTGATATCAGTTACTACTGTCCTGCTGCATCTTGCATTATTTATATTTCCTCGATTCAGACCTGTTTTTAATGTTGTATTGTAACTTTATTTGGCTGATCCACGCACAGAAACTGTAACATAATATATAATCAGTTGGTAAACGTGTGATACAGAAAAACGGAACAATATTAAATCAGATTGCCAATATATAGTTGTTTGTTCAAACTGCAAAAGAAATGAGAATAAAATTCGAAAAATTCGAGTTTAGCTCAGTATTCCTTTTATTTGTCATAAGATAGCTTAGAGTTAAACACATATAATATCTGTTCAGCCTAAAGTCTAATTATCGGCAATTGGCTTGTGTGTTTTATATTTATTCTAGCTGTCAATGATCGATGAGAGAAGTCTAAGGAAGTATTTCACCCCGGATTGCTTTTTACACACACATATACTCCTTGGGATTACCGGCTTTGTAAGCGTTTCGAAAACATAACAATGCATTAGGAAATGCGGGTCTTACATAAATATTATTAAATATTATAGGTGCATAATATTTCTTTAAAATAATGAACATTTTCTTAGCATTCCCCTTTTTATACAATTGATGTCTTCTCTTAGTTTTTATTTCTTAGCAGACATGATAATGACCGTCAAATCGAAAAAAAAAACAATTAGTTTCCTTAAAAAAATGTCCTAAATAAAAAATTCCTAAAATGTATAATTATTTTTAAAAGAATCGTAGATCTACGATGTTTAATATACAAAATTGTGGCTTGTTTAGCATCCTTTGTCTTTCGTCTGTTTAGGAAGAACCTTAGGTCCTCGCGTTAAGTTTTTCCTTCTGTGGAGGGACCTCTTATGATCACCACAAACTAGCCTTGTATGTGTCCCGTGGCAGCGACATCTTCGGGTGCGGTAGCCTCACCGGCCTCCTCCTGGTCGGTCCCACCGTTTTCACCACTGTTGATTATAGGTGCCTCACTATTTCCAGTCTCTCCATTGTCGTCTTCTTTGAGAAGGATCTCAGGAGGCTCTGTGGTTTCCAGTGGAAGGGTTTCTATTAGTTCATCAGCATTCAAATCAGTCGCGTCTAGGGTGGCATTTTCGGAAGTGAGAGCACTGGGACTACTGGCCAAGGCTTTCATCAGCTCTTCAGTGGCACAACTCAGTTCGATGCCATCCATGGAAATTACTTCGTCGATACCGCAATCGAGTAATTCTTTAGGAGGTTCGTCTAATTCAATCACATCCATGCCTTCTACAAGCTCACCTGCCAAGGACTTCCCATTATCAGTCGATGTGTCCATAGCTTCAAGTAGGTCCGCGGCTGGGTCTTGTTTTGTGAGTTCTTCATTCTGGAAAATGGATTCTTGTGGCACAACTTTATCTGCATCTGGGCTTGGGTCTGCCTCTAAAGGAGCTGCTGCTTCGGTAGGCGCTTCTGAGACAGTTTCAGTAGGAGCTTTCTTATCTTTTTCATCTGACTGATAGCTTTCTGGGATTTTGTCGGTCAAGGATTCATCTTCATCAATAGCCCGTTCCTTTTCGGACGCCGGTGGTTCCTTTTCCTTAGATGATTCTTGATCTGGGTCCTCTTCTTCAATGACTTCTGTCCCATCTACTTTCTTTAAAGTAGTATTAGACTTAAGATCCTTTTCTTTCTCAACAGTTTTTTTTCTGAAACAACTTCCTTCTTTTTCTTCTGTTCAGTTTTATCTTTTTCTGCTAGTTTTTCAGTCTGAGACGCGGATTCCTTTTTCTTTTCGTCGGGACTATCCTTTTCTGATATATTCTCCGAGATAGCTTTGTCTACTTGACCTTCTTCCCCTACAGCCTTGTTCTGCTCTGCTGTTACCGCCTTTTCTCTCTCTTCTGTTAGTCTTTTTTCTTCTGTTTTTACTTCTCCTCCTGTTTGTGCTTTCTGTGATATTTTTATCTTGATGGCAGTCTTTAACATTTCTCCGATTTTTTCCTTCTTTACGGGTTTATCTTTATTCTTGTCGTCCGGAAGTGGTTGCTTATCGGATTCTTTTAGCTTTAAGTCTTCGGACTCCTTTTCCTTGCTCGTAATTTCTTTTTCTTGCAATTCAGGAGCCAAAGTATTTAGTTGAATTTCAATTTCCATAGGCTGGTGATCGTTGTTTGGCGGAGAATTCTTCGCTGACTCCTCAAGATCAATTTCACTTGGAGCTTTGGCTGGCGATGCTTCCGCAGTATCAGTGATCTTGGTGGCATCTCCTTGAGCATCCTGATCCCGCTGTCTGAATCTATCCATCCATTGGCGAGCCACCTCAAACTCGTCCTCAGCGCGTCGGAGTTTTACCACGCACTTCTTTTTCAACTTGACATCGGATCGCTTCAGCTCCTCCATACGTTGGCGTTCTAGCTGCAGCAATGCTGGATTGGGTTTGTTCGTGGTCTTCTTGCGCGGCTGCTTCTTCTGACCGGGAGAAATGGCCTTGGGGTCACCGGAGCCCTCGTGTATGTCCACTTCTAGCAGGCTGGCCAAGATCGTGGAGCTGAAGGCAGCCACATCGATATCAGTTTGGTTCTCTATCACTTCCTTCTTCGGAGCCGCCGATGTCACCGATACAATCTTCATCATGGCCTTCTGTTGTGTTGAGGTCGAGGGAGTGTCATCGTCGTTATCGGAATCTATGGTAATCGTATCCGTTTTGGGCTCCACAATCTCGATTTCGTTGTCTTCGTCATCGCTGGCTTGTTTCTCTGCAAGATGAAGGAAAATTGATTAATTATATATAGTTTAAATACTAAAATGCATTTAATCATCATCACATCGGATAAACAGCAATAATTACATGAGGAAGTTGGCAAAAGGTTTTATTCAAGGCTTAACTATAATCTCGAAATACTAACTAAAGTAAACCAAACTACACTGTGGAATGTAATGCCTAAGTGTTGAGAAAACGCATCTCTTCAAGCGGGAAATTGGCTCGCATCTTTTGGAGCTTCAGCTCGCTGGCCCGCGTCGGTAGTTGTCGCTCCATCTCGCGGCAATAGCATTCGTACGCAAATTTGGCCATTTGCCAGCGCAGCTTACAGGCCTTGGCATCCCGCTTAAATCGTGGCAACCTCCGGGCCACCTCTGGCCACAGACGCTCCCTGGCTCCCACATCGTTGTAGTCCACATGGCGGGGATTCCATAAAGTAGGATAAGCCCGTATAGCCAGCACCAGTTGTTGAACAAACTGCTTGTCGTCTGGCATATCCTTTAGCTTGCCGGCCAGGTCGCTACCATTAGGCACGCAATCCTGCAAAGGCTCAAACTCGTCGCGCAGGTCCTGCTCATCGATTTTGTACAAGAAATACAGGCTGGCCAAGTACTTTGAATACTTTAACTCGAGATTCGCAAAAATTCCCTTGTCCTTAATGCTCTTAAGGCGGAAGGACTTGTACATCTCATACATTTGTTGCCAGCGCTCCACCAGGTACTCGCATGCATAATCTAAAAAAAAAAAGAATTTTTAAGAAACAAAAGAGGTTTGGAGTTCGAACTCTTACTAGGCGCCGACTTCCAAAAGTTTTGCCACAAAGACTTTCTGGTTTGCTCGTCAATACTGTTAAACTCTGGATCGGTGGATTTGCGCCAGAGCACGGGATGGCTCTTGGCGAAGGTTATAATGCGCTGATCGATGGCACGCACCTCCAGGGGTCGCATAGGAAAACGCGGCTTAGGTTTACTTGGTGACAGTGGCGGAGGAGGCGCCTTCTGCTCCTTGTGTTCCATTGTGTTCTCAATGACGTCCAATTGCTTTCGTTCAAACCATCGCCATCGTCTTCGCCACAATCCACCGCCAGCCACTCGCTTCTGGGACGATCTCTGTTGGCCAAATAGTTGGTGGCCTTGTCGAAATAACCCTTAAAGCGCTTTCCCTGCTTCAGTCGGCGCTCGATCCGAACGTAGCGCTTGCGTACGTTCTTCCATCGCAGCTTGATGTCGTCGCCACGGGGAAAATGGGTTGCAATCACCCGCCACTGTTTGAGAGTAACCTCTTTTTTTCCATAGTCCGGATGACGGGTGCACCAGAGCGATGGATATTCGCGGAGCAGGCGTGTCAGCTTTCGGTCGTAGGCGTGGGCTTGTTCGTTGCGATTCATGCTCTCCTCGGTACCCAGTTCGCCGCACTCCTCGTTATCCAGATCATCATCATCCAAGTCATCATCTAAATCCTCCTCATCGTAATCAAAATCGTTTGCTTCTTCCTCGGCATCTTGTTTCTGTTCTGGCTCCAACTCAGGAGTTTCCTCCTCATCGATCGGATCGCCTTCGGCTCGAACTCCAAGCGGCATGAGCGGCGGCAGTGGCTCGCAGTCCTCGCCCTCCTTCAAATTGGCATGCAGACTTTTGCGGTACTCATACACCTGGTTGTGGAAACTGTTGCAGCCAGTGTTAAAGAGATCCACATCATCCAGCTGGCCATAGCAGACATAGTCGACGGCTGCAAGAAGCGAGAGACCAATAATAAGGCTTTAACAACTACTGCTCGGTTCCATCCCATTGCCTGTTCCTTGGATAGTATTTTGCTAACACATGGACCAAGCTTAAACCAAATCGTTTCTTTCCATCACAGCCAATGAAATGGAACTCGCAGAGTTTTTCATAAATCAAAGGATACTTACATACAGGCTCTCATCGCTGATATATTATGTAAACAAAAAAATAATAATCACACGCGCAAAACGTAAACCGAAGTGACAACGTCGCCGCCCGTCCATGTGTCGAAAATATTCACCAAAAACAGATATAGGGATGGGGATGCCTCCTCAAAATTCCATCAAGGGTTTTACATTCCCATAAAGTTTTGTAATAAAAAAAATATATTCTTTGTCGTAAACACAAAACAAAAACCTACCAACCCTACACACCTTATCACTAATAAAATTAAGTAAAGTAACTAACACAAATGTGCAATATAAAATATATAATTGAAACTCACCGGCAGCTAGTTGCCCGTTTTCGAGACTATTTGCATCGTTCTTGAAGCCCATCTCCCGCATGTCCACCAGGCACTTCTCCTGCAGATGCTTGAACCGCCCGATGGCGTAAGTCATGAGGTAGGACATGTGAATGTACAGCTCCTTTAGGTCAAGGTAATTGCGAACCTGGTTGTACGCATTTGAGTGGGTAAGTGACACCACTTTGCCGGTGAGGTGGGTGCAAATGTCCATGGCGCTGAAGATCTGCTCCTGCAGCTGGGAACGTGCTTGCCCCAACGTCGTGTTGGGGAAATTGTGCCGCACAAGACTTGGAGTCTTAGGAGGACCGGGCACAGGAGTAATCATCAAGGTCTGTCCACTACCTGCACTCCCGTTGACGTTCGGTGTTTGGACCTGTGCTGGCGTTGGAGTGGTCGCCTGGTTTTGGTTAATTCGCACAATTTGCGGTGCCCGCTGCTGCTGATTGGTCTGCGGATTGTAGATTCCAATGTTGTTGCCAAATGCGTTACCCTGCATTGGCGGTCTGCCAATAGGAACCGGACCTCGCGGACGAATGACCACACCCGGGTTCATTGGAGGAAGAACGATCGGCGCTGTTGGTGCCGGTGATGCCACGGGCGGTGGGTTAGATATCGGCATCTGGCGTTTGACTTGAATTAGTCGTCCATTGGGAAGGCGGTAGGAGTCCTGTTGGGCAGCGCTGTTCAGATCGACACGGAACCCATTGATGGTGTGGAACACAGGACCACTGTTCCGCACCACATTGGGCACCACAGTGCGTCGCACACTCGTGACACTGCTAGGAGAACTCTGACGATACCGAATTCCTGAACCACTAAGCACCAAAGGCGGCGGCAGGCTAGTCCGTGGCGCTCCCATCGAGGTGGAGGGGCCGGTACCATTGCTGGAGCTGCTCGTGCTGGGACTCGGTCCCGTGTAATTCTGCTGGACGGTGACAATCCTCGGGGTAGTCGTAATACCAGACGCCGGCCCCGGCTGACGCCCTGGCGGTTTGGGGAGCATGGAGAGCTGACAGTCGGGCTCTAGGATGCTGAGCAGATCGGGTGTGCACACGACCTCGTCATTGGAGGATTTAGAGCGTTTAGTGGCCGGTCCCGGACTCGCCTTCGGCGGTAGTGTCCTCTTGCCCGAATTTGCCGAGCTGCCCTGACTGCGTTTCGATGTATTCGACTCCAAGCTCTCCATAGAGTCAGAGAGACTTGTAGCTTTCGCCTTGGCCAGGCGACAGCAACTCGTGTTGTCCTTGAGCATATGGCGGCGGGCTTCTAGCTCAGACATCTGCATAGATTGTAGAGCTCTGTGGATTTAAGAACATTTAAAGGAGTTTAGGTGGAAAGGTACTCTAAACTCACTTCTTTGTGGATTGGATGTAGTTGACCAGCGCCCAGTGCTGAGCCCGCAGTGGCCAGAGGATCTTCGAGGTGCAATTGAAGCAGTTCCAGTGCTCGTTTTGTTCAATGTCCACAATGACGCCCTTGGACAGGTTCTTAACGATGCACGACTTGCAGAAGACGTACGGGCAGGTGGAGCAGCAATAGACCTCGCCTCCCTGACCGCACCATCGGCAGTACAGCTCCGAGCCATCCTCGCCTTTGGAGAATTCGCCGCTGTTGTAGAAGTCGTGGCACTTGACGCAGTGCGTCACACGCAGTATGGGATGCATTTTGATGTTGTTCTCGCCTGCGAGGGCGGTGCCCAGATGCTGGCGGCACACGGTGCAGTGAACTCTGCGCTGGTTCACAATGTCCACGCTGGGATACATCTTCAGATAGAAACGACGCTCCTCTTCCGACAGCGATGCATGCATCTCGAACTTGGAACCTGATAACGCCAAAGGACGAAGGCATTATTGGGACCACCACGCTGGACGACGACTTATCAACACTCACCCAAATAGTCGACATCAATTTTTGCCATCGGCGAGGGTGATGGCGTTGCCGCCTTCACCAGCGCTAGATCGCTGCCTCCCGGAGTGCTCATGATGTGTCCTGCTCCTGGGGGCAAATCCTGTTTCCGTGCAAACTCCTAAAAATGCCAAGACTCCGCAGAATCACACAATGCGCTGGCCGCCGCAACAACAAAGCGGCGCGCTAATCGCTGTTTTTGTTTGCCAACAAAAACCCGCCCTCTGGTGCGTGTATTATACTTTTTTGTTGTTGTTTTTAACCGGCAAAAGATCTTCAGCAAGTCGAAAATTTCCTTAGATTATGTGTTCACATCAAACTGTTCGGAAAATGAGAGTAAAGATTTTTTTCACCCGAGAATGTCAGCCAGCTGAATTTCAATATGGCGGCTACTTCGGCTAGTTCCGAATGAAATTTTTTGCACACGAAGCAGTACGAAGTGTACATATATAACAAGATTGTATACTGAATTATGTCCGATTTGTAAAGTTTAGTTAGGGATTTTCTTCGTAAAGTTGATCTTAATCTTTTGTGATCCTTCAGGACAACATAATTTCCCAAAACGTTGATCATCAGCAATTAATTTGCTAAAAAACGGAGTTAACCTTAAAAGCCGGTTTAAAGATCACAAATTTATGGAAGTAATTAAGTTCTATAAAAGAAGGGATAATATTAATATATTTAATAATAATTAAATACTGAGTTTTCAATCTTTGCAGATCTCGGCAACCCTTAAACATACTAGTTGTCTCTTTCCCACTTACAGCAAGGCCATAAGAACCCGAACGCGGTAAGAAAGAGAACCATGATGATTTAAATTTAAATTTTATATGTTTAGTTCATAAAATATAGTTATTTCTGTTTATAATGTGATTAATAAACAACTCATTTCCCCACAAGTTGCCATTTTAGACATATTTTTCGTAATCGAACCAGTTCATAACTGCGTAAGTCAATGTGACCGTATTAATTGTTGATAACAATTACTGCTACACAAAGTTATATATACATAAAAAATAAAATTAAAGCGTTTAAATGGAAGAGTGAAGTCGAATTAAATTTGGATATATTTTAAATTTATGTTTTTTTTTATATTTTCTATTTTATATTTTCGTCAGTTTTTTAAACTTAAAAAAAAACAAAATTTAACATTCCATGATTTAAGAGAACTTAAAATTCTTTAATTCGTGCATTTTTCAAACTTCTTTTATATATATGCTCAGAAATCATCTTATGTTTTTTTTTCGCATAGATATTATCCTTTAAAGATGCGATAGATATCGATATCATATTTGTCGAACCCAATAGTCGATATCGATATTGTTATTCTCTCAATATATTTTAAAAGTTAATTGGCGGTAATTCAAAATGAATAAGTTTTGGACAAAATAGTTAATAACTTTCTGCTACAATGAGTAATAGATAGAAAAGGAATAACTATTCCCCAAATATTAAAATTTAAGTATGCATTTTTATTTGTTCGGATATAGGAGTTATTTTCAAACATTTAAATAGTTATATGATTTTTGCAATAATAATGAAGTAAAAATCAAATGTCCAATTGAATTTAATGTATTTATTAGAATAAGGAACTACAACTAGTTGATTTTGTGGATACTGTTGCACCCTGCACGCTGCCTACCATCCAGATTCAGCGATGTCACTATAGTTAATATCCCTTCTAACTAGGTCGTTTCTGTGATCTGTATACAAATTATAAAGAAAATATACATATATGATGGACTTGTTTACACATAAAATATTTATAACTAAAAAGCGGCGATAACGATAATTTTGGATTTCCTTTAATTTGGGGTTCTTCTACTCCATTATCTCTTTCTTTCAGTTTTCTATCTGCTTTGCTACAATCATACGCGTTTCTGTTTTATCACAATTGTATTCCTTTTAGTTGGCTTTGCATGGTGTTTGCATGTGTAAACAAGAAAATATATATCTATATATGCGTATAGATTTTGGGTATAAAATAATCCTGGTTCCATGCCCGAGCACCGGCTGTCTCTCTGTGCTGAGTAAGTGAATGTGGATGACTTAACTTAGGAAAATATACAACATGAAGATGATGAACTAAGTGAATGTCCGGGCTCAGGACATGATGCAATGGCGGCTTCCGATTATCTCTCCCTCTTCTTCATTGTCTCTTGGCTAGTTTTTTGCTCCTAGAGCTTCCGCAACCCCTGATGCTTCTGCTTCTTGGCCAGCAGCTGCTTCAGGCTGAACGAGGAGAGGGCTATGCCAAAAAGTGCCAGCATGGTGGCCGAGCGGGTCACAACACGGTTTGGCGCCGACGAGCTGGTGGTAAAGCCATGGCTGAGGTGCGTAGTGGCCTGTGCGGACAGCTGCGGCGCCTGTGTGAAAGATGATAAGAGAACAATTAGTTTAGGTTGTGAGACATTTTAGGGTATTTATAGCTGGCCAAACAATAAACTTGGCCCACTGCCCGACACGCCCTCCCACCTAGGCAAACTACGCAGCGAAAAACATCAACCGTTGGCAACGAGTCTCAAGTGCTTTGGTCCGGCCACACGAAGTCGATTACCCCACACACATTCCTACGTTCATTGAACTGATATTAGCCAAGGGGGGGCGATGTAATGCCTGATTAGATTCTCACTAACACTGTGGTCACGCTTATCTGTGCCTTATCAGGTTAAGCCAGCTTCACGGATAATCTCGACTTGAAAGGTACCGCTGTCTGAGTGACGCAGTTGGTGCTACGACCTCCTTTCCAAAGTTCACGTTTGCTGATAGCAAGTTTAATGCTACATATCTCTCTTGGCCACTTGAACATGCGGTAGACGCGTGCCTAGCATTATTAATCTGCAAAACGCGTCGCCAAAAAGTGTATATATAATACAAACAAAGCGTAATTGTTTATAAATAAACGAACTTGAATTGTGGTCCGTCGAATGCATGCATAATTTCATATGCAAATTTATTTGAAATTCTGGAAAAACGTTAAAAAAGGTCCAGTTTATGACGTTCGCTTGGCATCTGCAGTCGTTTCCATTTGTTCAATCATTTGCATCACCGCCTGGGCGCGTGGTCTTCGGCCCATGGCCGGACGCGGCGTATTCCTTCCTCCTCCACGGGCCACTGGCTTTCCCGCTGCGGAATGTCGGCTTACTGCGTCCATAAATGACTTCGTTGGATTTATTTCCGGAATACTGATAATGATATTAAAAGCCGGTTGGGCGTCAGCAGCAGAGGGACTTCGTGGCTGCGTGGATGCTTTCTGCGGCGGGGAAATGAATGGATCTCCCTTTGGGCTGGTTGGATTCATAGGCTTAGCAGGCTGCGTTTCATACTCTTGCTTCGCTGGATGCTGTATTTTTGGAGCTGGTGACTTGGCCTTAGGGTTAATCTGCCTTCCTTGAGCCTTGAGCTTTGGCGAAAGCAATAGTGTGACGGGAATTAGTGGTATTTCCGCTTTAGCTATCGTGGCCTTTTGGGGTTTGCTGATCTGCTCGGAAATTTTTAAATCCAGGCAGCTAAAATCGGGTAGCTGTGGCTCCAGGCTAGGTTTAACTTTTACTACCTCTTCCACTGGCGTCTCTAGATCCGGCAGAGAGTCGAGATTCAATTTAGGCTCTCGTGCTGATTCATCGGAGTCTGATTCCGTGACTGGAGTGAGTTGCTGCAGCAACTGACGGATAAATTCGTCGTCATCGACCGCAACGGGGTCTTCAAATGGAATCCGACTTTTCTCCCAAGTGGCATTAATTGGGGTATCAGCAGGGAGATTTTCAAGCAGAGAAGGCAGAGATTTTTGAGGCATAGATGGTGGCGGAGCTGATGGCAAAGAATCCGGCGTAACTGGTGGCATAGATTGTAAAGGAGTTATTGAATCTGATGTCTCAAACTCCACCTCTTCGTCTGAGGAAACCTCATCATTGTGTGGCCACAAACAAGTCCTTGCCTCGCACTTGAGCAACGTTTCCTCCGCGAGATTCAGGTAGAAGAGGCGCAGCTTGTGATCCCTGCCCTGTGACAAGCACTCCTGGCACGGATCACCTACCCGTAGCTGCTCCATTTCGGTCTGTTGAATGTGTGTGGGTAAGCGTAGGGGCTGCCCCCGAGACTCGCCACGCGCGGCCTAGAGCAGCTTTCCGTTGTTCTGGTTTAATGTCGAGTGCTCACCTGACCGAAGGTTAAACGGAAAGCGTACAGACCGAGATTGGTTGTTTTCATGGTCCGTTCCAGTTGCTGATAATCGGGATCTGCGGGCAAGTACACAAAAGTTCCGGTTATTCTAGCGCAGGCTGAGCTTACATAACACGAATTGATTTTTCACTGAATTTTCTCAGCACTGCTCGGTGCTTGACAAACGACAAGTGACGACAATAAAATGAGGCACTGTTATCACTTACGTTTCGGGGAGCGCTCTCCAATCGCCACAGCAGTGCAGCAGTCGGATTCTCTATTATTTAAAATAGAGCAAATCAAAACCAAGAAACTGAAGAGAATAAGAATTAATTCTAAGTGTGAGAGCTATTGGTGGCACTCATTAGACTCGATAGTCTATTTATCGAATAGTATTGGCTAAACTTTTTATTCGATACTTTTACAAAACAAGTGTATATCGATATGCGTAACAAAAACGAAAAATACCGGTTTCTTAGCATTTTTAATTTAATATGATGTTGTAGACGATCGAATATTATAATCGATGGGCGTAGTTAATATATTAAGAAAGACAAAAAATACTAATGGATTTGGAGCCCAAGTAGATATTTAAAAAAAGCATGTGAAAAGTCGTGTTTTCACGAATTTCTTAATATATCGGCTAATAAAACGGGTGCAGCAATATTAGATATGCCAAAATGAAGGACATTTATTGTAGTTTTACCCTACCAAGTTTCAATTTCTTTAAACCTTCAGTTTTTCAGCAAATCGCATAACAGGGATTTAACCTCGAGGTCGGCTCCATACAAAATAGGGCTTCAAAAATTGTAAGGCATGCACCTATGCCCGGTGTATAGGCTTACTTGGGGAAGATTAGCGAGTATTTGATGAAAATTTCAATTGTTTTTAACAGTCAGATTTCGAGAAAATCGAATAACAGTGAGTGGTGTATTTGGGCTGAAAGCTAAGGCGCGAACTATGAAAATGGAACCTGCCGAGAACCACTCGCTGAACTAGCGACGACTAAATATATCCGGCATCACTGCCTGCCTAAAATTAAGTCAATTTGATTTAAACTTTATGGTTAAACCTATGCAACAGGAAGGTATTAAAATAAACGGCATCACAGTTCTGAACATTTTGATCCATGTTTCATCAAAATCCGTTCAGCCGTTCATAAGAAATCCCGACTTTTTCATTTATTTCCATTTATGTACCGGCGAAATATAAATGTATATCCGGCAGCGCTGTTTGCCTAAAAACATGAAAACTTGATTTAAACTCTATGGTTAAACCTATGCAAAAGGAAGATTGTCCCATAGACGGCATCGCAGTTCTAAACATTTTGATGTATGTTTCATCAAAATCCGTTCAGTCGTTAATGAGAAATCCTGACTTTTTCATTTATTGCCATAAATGTATGTATGTGTGTATGTTCGACGAAGAATATTAAATAAAAAAAAACATTATTTGAACTTAATGGTAGGACGTATTTATGCAAAAGCAATAAAGGGCAATGGAGTTCTAAACATTTTAATCCATTATATGTGTACTGTTGAGAGTATATAGAAGATTAACTGCAAAGTTTTATTAAGATAGCTTTAAATATGAGGGTCTAGTTTGCTTATAATTGGACAGACAGACAGATCAATATGGCTAGATAGACTTGGCTGTTGATGCTGATCAAGAATATATATACTTTATCGAGTCGGAAATAATTTATTCACTGCTTTGCTAATTTTTGACCTGAAATCATATTACAAGGCAAGGGCATTGAAGCACTAGATTTGAGAATCAAATTTTCGAAATAACATTTAATAGTCTGCCCAATAAATTATATCGTTATTCTAAGCAATTTGGTAGGTGTTTCATCGAAATCCGATCAGTTGTTTTGGAGAAATTAATATTTGAATTACTAATTTATATACGAAGGAGTCATGACTATGCACCCCTGGTACCTAACTGCAATAAATAAAAAAGTCGGGGTTTCTCATTAACGACAGAATGGATTTTAATGAAACATAGATCAAAATGTCCATAACTGCCATGCCGTCTATGGGGCAATCTTCCTTTTGCATAGGTTTAACTATAGAGTTTAAATCAAGTTTTCATGTTTTTAGGCAGACAGGGCTGCCGGATATACATTTATATTTCGCCGGTACATAAATAGAAATAAATGAAAAAGTCGGGATTTCTTATGAACGACTGAACGGATTTTGATAAAACATGGATCAAAATGTTCAGAACTGTGATGCCGTTTATTTTAATACCTTCCTGTTGCATAGGTTTAACCATAAAGTTTAAATCAAATTGACTTAATTTTAGGCAGGCAGTGATGCCGGATATATTTTTTCTTCGCTAGTTCAGCGAGTGGTTCTCGGCAGGTTCCATTTTCATAGTTCGCGCCTTAGCTTTCAGCCCAAATACGCCACTCACCGTTATTCGATTTTCTCGAAATCTGACTGTTAAAAACAATTGAAATTTTCATCAAATACTCGCTAATCTTCCCCAAGTAAGCCTATACACCGGGCATAGGTGCATGCCTTAAAGTTTTTGATGCCTGTTTATGTATGGAGCCGACCCCGAGGTTAAATCACTGTTATGCGATTTGCTGGAAACCTGACGGTTTGAAGAAATTGAAACTTGTTAGGGTAAAACTACTATTTTGGCATATTTGGTATTGCTGCACTCGTTTGATTAGCCGAGATATTAAGATATCCGTGAAAACATGATTTTTCACATGCTGTTTTTTTTTTAATATATATTCAAATATCAAATACTTTCAAACCCAGTAATAAAATAATAGTAAATTCATTTTTTTTTTTAAGTAAAGATCCCCCACGTTCCATATGCCCACCGTGACATATCGACTCTATCTCGTATATATATTTTCCTATAAAGAATACCACACACTTTGGGTCTTCCTGGTAGTATTCTAGTCCGTAAAACGATGAATACCACCTAACTTCATACAAAAAAATCATCTCTATCGATATTAAAACATATCGCTTATCGAAACTTACATCGAAGTTTCGTTCACCTCTAATTGCAACAATCGTCTAAAACAAGCCAGTCATTCGGAGCGGCCTTTTCTTTAAAAAACAAAGTTTAATTCTACAAATAAAAAGTAGAGAATGGATCCCAGCTTTGATTTTACCGATACTCCCGTCAGCACCGGCGTAAGTGTGCCCCCGCATATCGCCCGCCAACCTTGTTTTAAGGCTGAATTTCTGCATTTCAGACCACAATCATGGCGGTGGAGTTCGACGGTGGAGTTGTAATTGGAGCGGATTCCCGCACCAGCTCCGGGGCCTATGTGGCTAACCGAGTCACCGACAAGCTGACCCGCATCACGGATAAAATATACTGCTGCCGCAGTGGCTCCGCCGCCGATACCCAGGCCATCGCAGATATCGTGGCCTACTCGTTAAACTACCATGAGAACCAGACCAACAAAGAGGCTCTGGTCTTCGAGGCCGCCTCCGAGTTCCGTAACTTCTGCTACAATTATCGGGATTCCCTGCTCGCCGGCATCATTGTGGCCGGATGGGACGCGCAGGCCGGCGGTCAGGTGTACAGCATTCCGTTGGGTGGTATGCTGACGCGCGAGGCCTGCACTATTGGTGGTTCCGGATCCAGCTTCATCTATGGATTTGTGCGCGAACACTATCGTCCCAACATGTCGCAAGAAGAGTGTGTGACGTTTGTGAAAAAGGGTGAGTGGGCATTTTCTAGAAACCACTATTAACAGCGTTGAACCGTATACCATCTCATACACAGCTGTTCAGCACGCCATCTACCATGACGGTAGCTCCGGTGGAGTGGTGCGCATCGGCATCATCACCAAGGATGGCATTGAGCGCCGCCTGTTCTACAACACTGAATCCGGCGCCTCCGAGGTCTCGAGCACTCCGAGCTTCATCACAGCATAGGTAATCGATTCTCCCAATTAACGCATAAGATCTATCCGAGACAGAGTTGCAAACTCGGCTCATGGGAATAAAATTGGTTTTTGTAATATGGATATTTGATAATTTTGTATTTTGGCTCTTGAGGCAGTACAAAAGTTAAGTCTCTACGGGCTAAATGGTAATAAATAGTCGAAAACCTAATCCTAGAGGCGTAGTCATACAAATCGTCCTGCTCCCGACACTGGTGCTGACTCACAACCCTAATAACTATTGCGGCGACTCCGAGGAAGAAATCTTTCCGTGCGCCTCCTATCACAAGACAGTCAATACCGAATTCCTCCTTCACTTAAACCCTAATCCAGACCAGTTCACGTGTTGAGCTTCGTCACTTCCTCGGCGGCGTCCACGGTGGTGTCCATAGATTTGGAAGTGGTGCGTCGCTGCCTGCGGTTGCGGTAGAAAATCTCCGGGGTCCAAACAAGCACCACCAGCAAGAGAATGGCTCCCTGGGCGTACAGACACATCACGTAGGAGTCGGCATAGTCACGCACCCATCCCAGCATCTGACCCACTGTGATCACAATTACTCCCTTTGACATCATGTTCAGACCCAGTCCGCCGGCCAGTTTGTCCGGGCGACAGTGCGCCGATACGGTGAGATTGTTGTTTAGCACAGTGGCTGATTTCATCACGCCCATTAGTATAGACATGGAAATTATGGCGGTGAGGTCCCGACTCTCAGCAATCACACATCGGGCAACAAAGAGGCCAGCGGTGCCGATAAGGAACACCACACGGTATGGGATCCTTAGATGATCAGTGATAATGGGCAACAGCAAGCGACAGATGATATCGGCTCCCGCCACTGCGGACAAGCAGAAAGCAACCAGCTGGCTGTTCAATCCTGCCGTCTGCTCAAGAAAGCCAGGAAATATCATCGTGAAGTTAATGGTGGCCGTGTAGACCAGGGCCATGCCCACAATAATGCTCCAGAACACCAGATCCTTGAGCAGCTCCAGGTCCATGGCCTGTACCAGGCGCTGGCCCATTCGGCCGCAAAGTGTATCCGTCTTTTTCGGTGGGATCTCTTCGCCCTTGCCTTGGCAAGATGGCACTATCACCACTTGCAGAGGACTGGATTGAGCCTTCTCTGCATCCGGCTCGGCCATCAGGCGCATGTGGCGGCGGTTATTGTGCTTGGCCGGTGGATTTAGAGGCTTCAAAAACGCGGCACCAAAAAGCTGTGTAGAGTCGTAACCATTAGATGAGAATATAAAACGGTAGTCTTTTTAAACTCACCCCAATTAGAGATAAAGCCGACATGGCCAGGACTGCGTAGCGAAAACCGTGATTTTCAAGAAGGTATCGCACCAGGTGCGGTATGAGAACCTGACCAAGTCCAGCCCCAGCCAGGGACACGCCCACCGCTCGTCCTCGCTTGCTACTAAAGTAAGAGTTGATGGCCATAAATGTAGAGGGCGAGATTAGGCCCAAGCCGAATCCAACAAAGAAGCTGTAACCGACAATAAAGTGCCAGCTTTCGGTGGCGAAGGCGCAAAGAGCCAAACCCAAGGAGACCAGAACGCAGCCGGTGGCGGCCACATTGCGCGGCTTAAAGCTCTTGATGGCCGGGCCAATAAACAGACCCGAAAAGTTAAGGGCTAGACTGTTCAGATTGGTGATCAGAGCTGCTGTAAAGGTGTCCGCGTGCATCAAGCGAAGCTCGCTCACAAAGAGCTGTCCAAATACGGACAAAATGGACTGGTTCGACATCTGCAGGCGGGAGTTAATTAAATACTTTAGCATAAGTTTTAATAGGAGAATTTCGGCAATGACTTACATTTATCAAGGCCACGGCGGCCACCACCACCCAGCCGTAGCCGCCATCAGGAACAACACGACTCGTCAGCACCTCCATGTCAGTGCTCTCCGGTGTGGTCAATAAGATTAAACTGGCTGGAAATAATCATGAGCAGCAGAGATAAGTCAGGGATTGTTAAAACGACATCTTTTGTTTATGGCGTCTAGTTCTAGGTGTGTGGAAACGTGCGTCCCCCGATAAGCCAGCCAACAACGCACTTACTTGTCTGTACGGAGGCGAATGGCTTGTCTCTGAGGTTTCCCCAATTGGCGTGGCCATTTCGTAAACACAAGTATTAAAAAATTAAGCCGAATTAAAGACTAAATTAAAATAAATTAATCCCAAAGGTCTGCTAGTGATGGCACAAATCAGCTGCTCTAAGAATCAGCGGTCTATCGATAACTGCGGATGTCGCCACTAGACCCGTCAGCTGTGCCACAGATCGCATTTATTTGATAAATAAAACGCATTTTGTGCGCACTTTTACACATTTACAACGACAAATGCCGTGTTTTTTGTGCACTCAGCATGTGGACGACGATGTGGGCAACATAGTGTTCACCTCCGAAGAGGCTAACTTATTGGGCCTGCAATCTATCATCGAGAAACATTTCTGGCTTCGGGTAAACATAAGAAGCATTTTTCCTCGCCCGTCTCGAAATCCCAATTAACGTGTAATCCCCCGACTTGTAGATTCATGACTCAGGCAGCGGGTACGTGTGCGGCGCCTGTTGGGAGCAGCTGCTGCTCTTTCACAGTTTCTATCTCAGCGTGGAGCAAGCCCACAAGGCGCTGGAGCAGACGACCCATGTGACGTTGCCTTCTTTTCCCCCAGAAGTGGTTTCGGCAATTCTGGGAGAAGGAGAAGGTGTGGTGAAGAGCGAGGATGTTGAGAGCGTCGCGGCTACCGTCAAACGCCGCCGGGGACGTCCCCGCAAAACGGACGCAAAGGAAGCCAGCGAGGACCTTAAGACCGTATTGGAGCAGATCAATCTAAACGAGATCAAAATTGAATATCCCGAGACTGATCTGACCGTAGCCGATGTCTTGGAAGACCAGAAAGAGCACGACTACGTGCCCAGCGATTGCGGCAGTGAGCAAGATGGTGTCGAAGACATGGAGGAGGAGCAGCCGAAGCCGCCCAAGGTCTTGCGAAAGGCTCGAGGGCGTCCCAGAGGACGTGGACGTGGCCGTGGACGGGGAAAAGTGCGACTGGCTGAGCGACCAAAGAGAACCGGTGTGCCAAACATGGAGAAATCGAAGGAGTTCAACGAGTACATTAGGGAGCACTTTAAGGTGCACTGCCCCGTCTGCAACTTGCCTATGGAGGGCTTTTCGGAAATGTTAGTGCATGTGCGACGAGAGCACAACCAGCGTGGCTACTCCACATGTTGCAACATCAAGTTCTGGAAGCGGGGCGTCCTCGTCGATCACTTGCGTCGTCACCAGGATCCGGAACTCTTCAAGTGTACCATCTGCTCTCGCGTTATGGGCCAGCGCCGCAGTCTAGAGCTGCACATGCGAATGCACGAGGTTAAGGCGAATGGACGCCTCTACCAGTGCGAACATTGCTCCAAAAGCTTCTACAGTTCGGTGGTGTGCGAGCGACATAAACTAACACACATTCCCAGGGATCTGTGGCAGATCAAGTGCACACACTGCGAGAAGACGTGAGTCCACACACTGTAGTAATCATTCGCTAGCTATTAATCCTTGTCTTTGCCTAGTTTTCCCACTCAGTATACGATGAAGCAGCACGTGAAGCTGGTCCATTTAAATTTATACGCCAGGATCTGTGACGTTTGTGGAAAATCCATCCGTGGAAGGGAGGCCCTGGCCCGCCATATGGAGGAGCACACAGGAGTGCCACTAGCACCTATCAGCTGTCATCTTTGTGACTCAAAGCTGACCACCAAGTATGGTCTGGCCCGGCATATAAAAATGATGCACACCGCCGAGAACCTTCAGCCGATGCAGTGCGAGCACTGCCTCAAGATTTCGCCCAGTCTGCAGGCGCACCAGCACCACATAACGTACACCCACAACACAGCACGCACTCACCAGTGCCCGATGTGCGAGAAGGCCTTCAAGCGACCCAACGAGTTGAAGGTGAACTATTGTTTCTTTATAACGACTTGTTTCGAATGATGTAATTTCCTTTATAGGAGCACATGACCACCCATACCGGAGAGGTCCTATACACCTGTCCCCACTGTCCGCAGACCTTCAACTCAAACGCGAATATGCATGCCCATCGAAAGAAGGTACATCGCAAGGAATGGGAGGAGAATCGCCAAAGGCGTAATCACCAGCCTCGAAAAACTGACACGATCATTGCCGTAAGCGTTCGCAAGACGACGGAGGCACGGCTCGATGGAGAGGCAAAGGCTGCTCCAGCGATAGCAGCAAGCCCTGGAGCTGAGTGCTAGCCCTTGGTGACCCTTTGACCTAATAAAAACCAAAATAAGACACCGCGGATGTTGTTGTAATAACTAATTAATTGAAAACCCCTGCTCAGATGAAATCAACCGCCCATAACCGGTTTGTTCGACAGCAGGCCGATCATCGTGAACTGGTATAACGGACATCGGAGCCGGCGTTATCAGCGATTAAGGTCGAATCTGGTAATTTATAAACGCATATAGCACATGGTTCAGCTTTGGTAATCTTATTTTGACGACGATCAAGCCGCGTTTTCAGGCTCCGGGGCAGACGAGCAAACCGGTTCGAGGCGGTTTTAGAAGTGGATTGGGTCCTTATCAGCGGATTGGCATTATCATACTCAGTTCAAAGGTACCATCGGCGAATGTTTGTACGATTTTCTAGTCTTCTGCGGAATGCTAGATCTATGCCATAGAAATGACGAGACCAATTCCATTTGCCTTGTTATTATGTTAGAAAACCATTTTATTTACCAATGGAATATTTTTGAGAAACCACACATGTCGTCTTTGGTCTTTGGTGGGGGACATCCCTATACAATGAAGTGATTCCCAGGTCTATCTATTATATTCTTTGATTAATTTTTTAGGGGATTTTTAATTAAAATCTGATTTAGAACAAAGATGTAAACGTGTTTCCCGGTACTTGTTTTCCCCAAGAATATTTAATATACTTTAAAAGCCAATAAAATGCCATATCCTTTTTAAGTTAAAATAAGAACCAAATATGTTTTGAGGTGTATTGACCTCCGATTCTTTTTTCGAATATTATATTGCGCATTATATATTATAGTTCAAAGCTAATTTTTATTTTCATGATTTTTAAAGACTGGAAACATCATATTATATCTCAATCTAATGTTGAATCAATCCTATTTGTCCAAGGTAAAATGTATTTTTTACTACTCGTCTACTAATTGTCTTTAAATGTACTTAGGAAATATATAGTGTTAATTGCATAAATAATTTAATTTTAAAGACAACTGATTTTGAGTTGAACACTTTTACAATAATATAATTAAATCCAAACGAGTATAGCTCCTTAATTAGATCAAATGTTAAATCTTATATTCGATTTACACAGCTTTATTTAGCCAACCATCCGCCTTAATTTCAATATTTATAATTTCACAACAACATTATGATCTAAATTAAAAGAGATAATAATGACCCGATCTAAATTGACACTTACTTGTTTGTAATAAGGCAATTAAAATATTCAGCGAGTCACTGAGCTCCAAATCTGTTTACTTTTCAATGTCTTGTTTGTTTAATTTCACACTATCACTGGAGCTCTCCTAGATTTGATGCTTATCGCGCGACGAGCAAATATTGTTTGAGCAAAATCCCAGACTCTCTGCCTTTATATTCATAATTGGAACCTGAAAACAACGAGATATTTCCTGATTATATGAAGCGAAATATCACTTTTAATTTCGCAACTTGATTTTGGCGCCACATAATCGATGACTATCGATTGCAGTTCATATTCTTTTTACTATTTATTTATTAATTTTTTTAAAATTAATTCTTAAGTTTTGCAGAAAATGTAATAAAAACCGTTATTTTCTTGAGGCTCCATTATACTTCACCGAATTAAGCTTTCCAACCCTTTTCGATAGGCTTTTGCCTACGCCCCTGGCGGCACCCACCTCGGCTCAGCTGTTGCACTTGCCTCTTTTTCGCCCACCACCAAACGTGTGAACGTGTCAACATTTTGTTTTCCCCCGGATTTCCCTTGTTTTTGGCTAGAATCAGGACACAATGGTGGACGACAGCACCCGGAAAACGCTGAGCAACATTCCCCTGCTTCAGATTCGCGCTGGACCACGTGAGAAAGATGTGTGGGTGCAACGCTTAAAGGAGGAGTACCAGGCGCTGATCAAGGTGAATAGTTACTAATCTCGTTTGCAGCCCCACTAAGACTTGATATCTTTCAGTACGTTGAGAACAACAAGCAGTCCGGCAGCGACTGGTTCCGCCTGGAGTCAAACAAGGAGGGCACCAAATGGTTCGGCAAGTGCTGGTACATGCACAATCTGCTTAAGTACGAGTTCGATGTGGAGTTCGACATTCCAGTGACTTACCCAACGACAGCGCCAGAGATTGCTCTACCAGAGCTCGATGGCAAGACGGCGAAGATGTATCGCGGCGGAAAGATTTGCCTTACGGATCACTTTAAGCCCCTGTGGGCACGCAATGTTCCCAAGTTCGGCATCGCCCATGCCATGGCACTAGGTGTAAGTGGCCTCCTACGCTACCATCCGTTGCTCTATGTGTTGAACCATCTCTCTGTCGTTACAGCTCGCTCCCTGGTTAGCCGTAGAGGTGCCGGACCTCATCGAAAAGGGCATCATCACGTACAAGGAAAAGTAGACAGTTGATGTAGATGAATTCACCACGGGCAACAAAATAATGAACAAAGTTTGATATGAAAGTCATTATCTTTGCGTTTATTAGTCAAAAGTCAAATTGGAAAAGATCATGCTGCGTTCCTGCCTCGTCGCGTATCCTAGGTGTCTAAGTGGTAAGAATTTCATTTGGTTGATTCGGTTTGATCAGTGAGCTTGCTCCTCGTCCTCCCCTTAGTTCATTTGGTTGTTGTTACGCTGCGAGGACTGGCGCCATGTGTCCGACCAAATTGAGCTGGGCGAAGTAAAGGGATCGTACTGCGTGGGCAGGCTGGTCTCCCCCGGACCTGATACCTCAGCTCTGGTGCCTGCTATCCCCGATTCTTGTGCGAGATTGTGCGCTGTTCCGAGCATCTGACGCGTAGCCAAGTTCTGCTCCAAGCCTGGCGGTGGACGCAAGACCCCGAGATTATTGGTTGCAGCATCCGGCCAGGAGGAGTACCCCAGGGGTGACCAGTGGTTGGCCCAGTTATTCGTCTCTAAATTCGCCAGCAGTTGCTGCTGTTGCTGTAGCTGCTGTTGCCTTTGCTGCAACTCCAGCTGCTGGGCTTGCTGGAGGAGCAGTTGCTGCTGCATAATCAACTCGCTGCGCTGCCACTGTTGTCGTTCGCGCTCTTGTTGCTCGTATATAGCTGTTGAAATATAAGGAGTTTCGATTAGGATAAGGATGATATGCCTCAAATTCTTAATGCTGTCTTACCATCTCCTGTAGGAATATTTACGTCAGCGTTGGCAAATAGCGAGTTGCTTGCCGTGGCTGAGAGAGGTTCCCATAGAGACGTCACCGCCGGCGGCGTGGAGGTCTTTCGGCTGTCTCCGATCGGCCCGAGGTCACTCGAAGACGAAGCTTGACTCCAGTCGAAACCATTGGTGGTGGGTGCAAATTGTTTCGTTTGCAGTACGTCGCTGAAGGAGACCTTACTGCTCGTTTCCCAAGGCGAAGAGATGCATTTGATGGAATCCGGCGAAGCTGGGGGCGAGGTGCTGTTTGTCGACGATTGTCCAAAGTTTAGCTTCTGGCGTTGTTTTCGCTCCGGTCTCCTAGCTCCCACTCCACTCCCAGTTGTGCCATTTATAGCCTTCTGGTCCTTGCGGCGCTCTCTGCCCGGTGTCTTGCCCATTTTTTTCGCCGATCCGTTCTGCTCTTTGACCACAACGCGCTGTTCTACAACCTTGTTGCTGTTAAGCTTTGGCGAAATGTTCTCCTGCTGCGGTGGACTAGATTTCATCATGGGCTTCTCGTACAACTCCACAATGGAGGGCGTTGAGGGATCCGGCTTGGATTTCGATGGCACAGGGGACACTATAGACGTCGGCTTCACCTTCTTCTGTGGCCGCATCGAATCTGGAGCGGAAGCTGCCTGCGGCGATAGTGTCGAGGACTTCTTCATGAACTTCACCTCAGGTTGATTAGAAGAAGCCGGAGGTGTTACAGGCGTGCTCACCAAAGGCTTTGGCTTGGCTTTCTGCAAATGCTTGCTTAGCACATTCATATCCATGCTCCATGGTGTCCATGATGACTTGGCTTTTCGCGAAGGCGCTGTCGTGCTCAGTATACTCCGCTTACGCAGTTCTTTCAGCTGGCCATTCTTTACCTTCTGCTGCTGCACTGCCTCGGCTTTAGCTGCCGCCTCCTCTACTTGCATCTTAACTATATTGCGTAGATTAAAGGTTGGCTGCAGGGGTCCCTTGTTCCTGGCGGCATCGTAGGCGTTTTGCTGCGCCATTATGGCTTTCGCGTCGAAGACAGCGGCCAACAGGACTAGACCGAAGCTAGCTAAGAGCACCACAAGGGCGGCATTCTTCAGCGATGACTCCCATCCGGGTCTAACCAGGAGAGAGGCGCACAGCTCCACACTTTCCGCCGGCATTTGGGCCAGCAGCTGGTAGTTGATGTCGTAGGTGAGGTTCGTAAGGAGCGTCAAGGAGCGTTTGACTCGTGAGGAAGTGAAGTCCGTGCTGAAGGAGATCTCCACCTTACGTGTCTCATTCTCACCCAGCTCGAAGCCCTCGCAGTCTATCACCTTGAAGCCGAAGTCCTCGCAGGGCAGGGAGCCAACAAGGAAACCCTCGATTTTCATTGGGATAACACCCGAGTTGCGGGCCGTGAAACTGCGACTCGCCACCACAGCGCCATTTCCAGATTTACAGCCCTGGAACTGATCGGTGGACAGCTCGAAGAGCAAAGCTGACGCAGACCCTGGGCGACGATTACCAAAACGGAACTGCGATTGCACGGCTCGAGCCTGCAGCCACACGGCTTCGTAGAGAGTAAGGTTGCTTCGCACGTGCAAGAGCGTGCAGTATTTCTCCGGTTGCTGGGCGCTGAACGTGATCGGTATGTTTAGGCTGGCTCCGCCGGGCAGAAGAATGGGATTCCCAGCGTCTGGCAGGGAAAACACCTTTTTGTCGGTAAGATAGCAACTCGTGGAGCTAACGTCAATGACTTCGTGCGGAAGGGATATCTGCGTCCGTCGGGCATATACAGGATCCGAAAGATAATAGTCGAGCAGAAGGGGATGTTGCGAGGGATTGGTCAGTGTGATCCACTGGCGCTGCACCTGCCCAACTTCAATGGCCGGCGTGGGCGGGATGGGCTGGAATTGCACTAGCTTCGGCCATTCGATATTTATGGAAAAGTCCAGCTCTAGTGGCGGCAACTGCTCGCTGTGGAGCGTTAACGACATGGATGCCAGTTGACGTCGCAGCTGCCGGAAGAGCTCTGTGCGCTGTCGCAGTTCCACTCCATCATAGATGACATTATTGTTGACAATGGTAGTGCTGGCATCGACGACGAAGATTTCGTGCTCCTTCGTAGACTCCTTGATGTAGCATTGATTCCGACACATGGCCGCTGGCTCGAAGTATATCCGTCCCACCTTTGTAAGCGTCTGCGGAGCAATCGTTGTGCCCTTGGCATTGAAGTCCTTAAAGCGCAAGCCTAAAGGCCTGGCAAAGGTTATGCTTTTGACGTGCACCGGCTGCGTGAAGCTGGACCGGATGCTGAGCACCGCGGTACACATCTTGCCGGGAAAACAGTTTTTAAAATCGAGCTGCTCCTGCTCGATCTCCAGCTGTCCCACCGAGGCCTCGAACTTGACGCGCACGCGGATAAGCTCGTAGGGCGTCGAAATTTTAAGCGTGCCATAGGTGGCCTCCGCCTCGTAGGTCTGGATTGCCACCTTGAATACAGCGCTGTCACCGGGGCTCAACTCGGTACAGAGGTGCCACAGACTGGTCTCGTTTTGAGCGCTCTTGTGGTCCCAATCTTCCGCCCTCCGACAGCCCAGAAAGCTGCTCTGGGAGTAGACTGTCTTTGGATGCTTCAAGAACCAGTTGGTGATCTTCACAGGAACCGGGTTGTCATTGTGGAGGAGTACGAAGCCATCGCGAGACATCTCGGCAAATGGCACTGTGCCTAGATCCAAGTCCAGGCTGTAAACACTCTCCTTCTGCACCTCCTGGTCGAGCCTGAGCTTGAAAGGCTGAGTCGACACATGCAGGCGTCCACTGCATGAAACCAGGGGCAGCTCAAAAATCGTCACATTCGTTTCGATTCGCAGGAAGGACTCGAACGGCACCTCTTCGTTAAGCAAGTTCAGCCGCAACAGTTCCACGGATTCACCGGGCTGCAACACTACTCTTGGAGAGCCCAGCAGGGTTACCTCTAAGAGGGATTCGTCCACGGGTACACTGAGACTAACGTTGAACAGGATGAGTGGCTGGGCGAAGTTATTGCGCACTATAAGAGAACGATTCCTTTCCAGCGGTGCAGCCTCTTCGCCATCCAGTGAGCTGGACACAAACTTGGTGACATTTCCGTCGAATGAGAGCCCGCCTTGAAATATCTCCGCTCGTACCAGCACCGTAAAGGCCGGATCTGTATCCGAATCCGAACTAGACTGGTTACTGGTGTTAATCACCAGCAAATCATTGATAGACTCGGTGCCCTCGAACAGCCTGGGATCCAACACGATGCTCGTGTTGTTGGCGTCAAACGAGAGGCCCGGAATATTGCGCAAATAACTACCGAAGAGGCGGTGGCTCTTGTCGTTCCGAACATCCAGTTTAAACTGCAACGTGTCCGGAGCATTTAAGGTGGCCAGACGACCAAAATCCGCGAGCGGATTGCGGGCGTACGCCGAGTGTCGCGGCAGAATCTCGAACTCGACGGGTATAACCAGGATGTTCTCCTGGCCTATGTCCAGCTCCTGCTCGGCGATCTTGATGCGTATGTAGGCGCTGTGGTTGCCGGCGGTGCGGCCGTGAAATGAGATCCGAATGACCGGCTTAAGTGTGTGCGGGGGAATCTCCCAAAGATTCTGTGGTCCCTCTGATCCTCCGCTGGGCAGCTCCAACTGGAACTCGCCTCCGCTGCTGTATATCTGGAAAATAGAAAGGGATTAGAAGTCAACCTGCAGGACCTTGCGTCCCCCTACCTCTAATATCTGCAGCGGTCGCTCATGTGGATTATACATATGGATCTCCGGCGTGAGCGTCGCATTCATAGGCGCCTTAATCCCCACCAGCGGCTTCAGGCGGTATGGGCATTCGCTGCCCTCGCCCTGGACCGCCAGTTCGGCCTGGCCGAACGAGGTGTGGATAAGCAGATCCGCGGCAACGGCGCCCAGTTGCCGGGGCAGGAATACCACATTAAAGGTGGTATTACCCTGGGGCGGCACCTCCCTGGTTCCCAGGAAACTACTATAGAACGCCGGACTTGGCCCAGCCACGGCGTTCAGCTGGAGCGTACGGTTGGCATGTTGATTAAACAGCGTCACCGTCTGGGAACGCGCCTGGCCCACGGACCACGTTCCAAAGTCTAGGCGAGACGGCACGAGCCGCAGGTCGCGCAGCAGTTCACCCAGGTCGTGGGCCGACGGCTTCTGCATCCCCATGAAACTCTCTTGCAGCACCTTCTCGCCACTGGCCTCTAAGGTGAGCAGAAGGACCAGGATAAGCAAGAATGGCTCGGCGAATAGGCGCGGGAGCGGTTTCAGCTGAGCCTGTGTGGCCATGGTGTGTGTGTTTGAGGCGGTGGCGCTGGTGTGGCGGGGCCGCTTCCAGTCCAGCTGCAATTCTCTGGGGTTTCCTTTGACGCAGTGCTTTATTTATATTATCCAATATCGTTCGCTGACCAAAACTTATTATCGTTCAGTCCTCGCGTATTCCCCTCTCGTTCTATCACGGGCTGCCAACTTGGTTAAAGCGCTTACTTAGTCTGGCAACGCCAAAATGTAACCCACTTGCTGTTTTCCCGCCTGACAAAGTGTGACCAGTCTGCCGAAAGCGCGCGCTCTTTCGGCAAATTCCGCCACACACCGCAGCTTTTTGAAGATAAAAAGCGGCGGTCACTCAGATATAGGAAAACGAAAAAACCAAAAGAAAGTTGCAGTTAGTTTACGTGTTTTAATTAATCAGTGGACGTGAAGCTGTTATAATTAAAGTGAGTTCCCCGGATATCTCGATAATCCTTCCCAACTCTTTCCGAGAATCGAGCGGTTCCACAGGTGTCAAAGGCAGAGAAAAACATGACTGAAAGAGACTTGGCACCGATCGGTCGGCTTGCTATGCACTAACACGCACACATACACGGCACAATCTTGCAGAAATATTTATGAATATTCTTTTTTGCAAATCTGCAAGCGATTAGCCTCGCCCCCATCTGCGATAAATCATGCACGACGTTGTATGGATTGCCAAATATTTGACCTGCGGACGGTGATGCAACTACTTTATTGATTTTGCCCACTTTCTCCGCTTACAACATTCACCCAGCACCAGTGCCAGTTTCCAGTTTTCGATTTTCGGTTTAGTTTTAGTTTCACCAACGCAACCGATTTCCATACCTCTGCTTACTTCCCCTTCCGCCTATAGCGGCCGCGTGAACTTCGTGTCCAGATGTAAATGAGCCCGCACTGGACTGGGTGTGTGTTTGGTGTACTTGCAAAGTCATCAGCCCCCTTCATGTGTGTCTTTCAAATTAGATTCCAAGCCAAGTGCTAGGCTCTGGTGACGATTTCCGACCGCTCTTTCTGCTGCGTATTTGGGAGAAAGTTCAACGCAGGCCGAGGCGCTCAGGTGGATATCGAACGCAACAGCTATTAAGATTGACCCGTTGCACTACTGCTGGTAATGGTGATGACAACCGGTTCCGAAATACGACATTAGCGACCCACTCAATGGTCCAGTGCCAGCTAACGGTGCCTGTTGTTGTCTCCAGGCACACACTCAGACCAGAGAGCGAGAGCGAGCTGCCGAAATTCTAAAGAGTCGAACCCGAAGCAGAAGCAGTGACGAAATCAGAATCGGACTCGGATCGCCGCCGCCGCACGCTTGTTGCTTGGCTCTGTTTCATGGCTGGTGCTGGCGCTCATTCGATTTCAGTTTAGCCCCAGACTCGACGCCGTGCAGGTTGACTAACTGCCAGGCTCCCTAAACACGAAACACCCAAAGCAAACACAATCGCTCGCTTGCCCGCCCAACGCACACATATAGACGCCAGCGAGCTCGAAACCTATTGCACCTGCGTTCCCTAATCAATTCTAAGTAAATAAATCAAAGTTTGAAAGTACAGACAATGTCAAGCCACGTTACGCGCGAATAGCCTTCTAAACACCTTTGAATAGATCACTTTACTTAGCAATAAAGTACTTACACAACCTCTTCTTAATTCCTTGCAGTCCCAGCATGTCGGCGAAAGCAATTACGGAGGCCTCCGGCAAGGACATCCTGAACCGCCATCTCAACACGCACGGCGCCGGCGCAGCCACTTGCCGTTTTGCCACAGTGAACGCAACAACAGATTGGTCCAAGCTCAGCATCGACCAGCCTTGGCTGCTGACCACGGTGAGTGCCAGTTAAAAATAGACGGGAACTGGGAGCGTGCTGATTGCGAATCAGCCGATATGCTGCAGGCAGGAACAACAATTAGGCCAGCCAGCCAGCAGCGACAACAATACTCTCCTAGAGGTTGTCATTGAACTTGACCTCGCCGACCACGAATCTGCACAGAGCTGCTTCCAGCGCCACCACACTGGCAATGGGTGACTAAGCGTTGGCTCTTCCTGATAAGCACGAATTGGGCGACACTCGATCGAGTGATTCGCTAGAAGCTGCAGCGTAAACGTAGACAGACGGGCGGGAAGCGGAGAACGGAAACGAAGCGAGTACTCACTCACCCGATGGCGCCCTCTCTTGTTTATCGGTCTGTTAGATAGCCTGATTCGGTGCCCATTCCCAGCTGTAGGTCGCGTGGCATGGCGTGGTTTGATTAGTTATCAGCTGGCGGATCAGCCTCGGCATTACCTCACCTCATTTGCGGGTGTGCACGAAAAGTGTGCGTGGAGACTGGGATTCTCTATCACGCACCTATCTCCGATTGACCTTCCGATCGATCGTGGAAACTTTGGCTGAAGCTAGAACTTATCTGGAGGTGGGGTCTGTTTAATGGGGTCGAGCACCTATTCGAGGAAGCTCAACAGCTCAACACAACTATTTTAAATCTTATCTGTCAGGTAGAATCGCAATCGTAGAAATCCTAGTATAGAAATCTTATCTACAAGTTGTTTGTTGACATTAGAGGGAGCGTCCTCATCGTTGCAAATAGTTATCTATACTTTCGTGTAAAAGAATCTTATCATTCAGTTTTTCGATAGAAGAATCCCTTTTATTGGGAACTACATAAATTTAGGGTTAAAAACACTGGAATAAAAAAATCGAATCTTGGAGCCTACACATTAATAGCCTAAAATGTGTGACTAAGTCTTTTGGAAGAATCGCTCATGGTAAATGGTTTAGTAGGTAAACATACCCGAAGATTCTTATCAATGGTACACGCAATAGTAAATCTATAATTACACCCACAATGTTGTAGATCACCTGACGACGTCGACGACTCGGCTGACATTTGGTACTCAGTTCGAGCTTGCTTAATTTACACTCGTACGATCTTCTAATAAGCATCTCGGATGTGTGTTTTGTGCGCAGGCACAAGTACACAAGTTCGGGTACAAGTACAAGCATTATTGTCATTGCCAATGACGTGGGACTGGGCCGAGCTGGAACGACCCCTGGTGTTATCGACTGATCTGAGCGCTGGAACCGGCTTTTCGCTGAGCTCAGTGCCTCTCAGGAGGCACAAGTTCAACGATTTGTCGCTTATTTCATTATATATATGCTCATAAAAACACATTTAATTAGCATCTCGCCCTCTCGCCTTTGTTGCAGCCGCTGGTGGTCAAGCCGGATCAACTGATTAAGCGCCGCGGCAAGCTGGGTTTGATTGGCGTGAAGAAGAACTTTGACCAGGTGAAGCAGTGGATTGGAGAGCGCCTCAACAAGGACCAGAAAATCGGAAATGCCGTGGGCAAACTGCGCAACTTTATCATTGAGCCCTTCGTGCCACACACTGATGTAAGTACTGAGCTTTCAATAGTTTCCCATATAAAATTTACCATTAACTTGAATGTTTATGAAAATTTTAGGCTGAGGAGATGTACGTATGCATCTATTCTCACCGCGCCGCAGACACCATACTGTTCTATCACCAGGGCGGCGTTGATATTGGCGATGTGGATGCTAAGGCCGTAAAACTTGACGTGCCGGTGAACTCCAAACTGTCGCTGGCCGACGTGAAGAGCAAGCTACTGAAGGAGGTCAAGGATGCTGGCACCAAGGAACGCATTGCCAAGTTCATTAGCGCTCTGTACACTACCTTCGTGGACCTGTACTTTACGTATCTGGAAATCAATCCCCTGGTCGTGACGGCCGACAACCTGTACATTCTGGATTTGGCGGCCAAGCTGGACTCGACCGCCGATTTCATTTGCCGTCCCAAGTGGGGTGAAATCGACTACCCGCCGCCATTCGGCCGTGATGCCTACCCCGAGGAGGCCTACATTGCCGATCTGGATGCCAAGAGCGGTGCTTCCCTCAAGCTGACGATCCTCAATCGTAATGGACGCATTTGGACTATGGTTGCAGGAGGCGGAGCCAGTGTTATCTACTCGGACACTATCTGCGACTTGGGTGGAGCCTCAGAGCTAGCCAACTATGGCGAGTACAGCGGCGCCCCATCAGAGCAGCAGACGTACGAGTACGCCAAGACGATCCTTAACCTGATGACCTCTTCGCCGAAGCATCCCGACGGAAAGGTGCTGATTACTGGCGGTGGCATTGCGAACTTCACCAATGTGGCGGCGACCTTCCAAGGTGAGTGTTGGCTGTTCTCGTTTCCTTATCTTATCATGACCATCGATCTAAATGTCATTTGCTTTGCAGGCATCATCACCGCCTTGCGCGAGTTCCAGCCCAAGCTGGCGGAGCACAACGTATCGATCTTTGTGCGACGTGCCGGACCCAACTACCAGGAGGGCCTGCGACGGATGCGTGACTTTGGCAGTACCCTAGGCATACCGCTGCACGTCTTCGGACCCGAAACGCACATGACTGCTATTTGCGGTATGGCCCTGGGCAAGCGACCCATTCCCCAGGCGGCCAGCGTGGAGTTCTCCACGGCCAACTTCCTGCTGCCCGGCGGACAGCAGGCGCAGGCGGATCTTAAGGCGGCCAGTGAGGTCGGCGAGACTCTGGGCTCCGGTAAGTGTGGATGGCAGATTGGCATGGATTGTGACGTAGCTGTATAAGATTTGTGTGCGGCTAACACCCCTCACTAATCCATTTTAGCGGTGACCTGTAACGGGATGCATATGTAGATCAACCGATCGTCCGCACTTATATCTGATCTGTCTCTGTATTTTCTCTCTCTCTCTGTATTTTGTATGTTTGCATTGATCGCCCTCGACAACAACCAACGACAACAAAACTTGTCGCCACACTCACCAAAAAAATTTACAAAAAATCCACATAAACCAAATTTAAAAAAAAAAACCTATTCGAAATATCGCTCGTTTGGCCAACACCGTTCTGCAACCGATCCCTCATAACCCCGTGTTCGTTCGCTCGTTCGTTCGTGTAATCTGTGTGTTTTGTGTATCGTACTGGGCTTGTCAATCTTCTACACGTCCTGATCTCGCTCTCTGCTCCTCCTCCATCATCATCCAACCGATACCCGACATCGATCTCGTCTCTCGACTCGTTCGTTCCATTCGTTCGTTGGGATAGCCCTGAGCCCGACCGCAGCTAAACCGATTAAACTACCACCTATCTCAGCAGATGAGGGCGACAATAGCGCCAGCGCTGGCGGTGCCCATCGTAATGGATCGAGTCTGAACCGCAAGTTCTTCTCAAACACCACCAAGGCAATTGTGTGGGGCATGCAGCAGCGGGCGGTGCAGTCTATGCTTGACTTTGACTTTATCTGCAGGTGAGTCGAAATAGTGTACAAAAAATATCAATTAAAGAGCGATAAATTGATCACTTATTTTTGCGATATACATTTCTATAAATCAATTTCTTTCAATCAATCAAACTTCCAGAAACTGCTTATCATCATATCGCATCTTCTTATCTCTTCCAGACGCGATGAGCCCTCTGTGGTAGCCATGGTCTATCCCTTCACCGGCGATCACAAGCAAAAGTACTACTGGGGCCACAAGGAGATCCTAATTCCCGTTTACAAGAAAATGTCCGATGCCATCCACAAGCACAAGGAGGTCGATGTCATGGTAAACTTTGCGTCCATGCGCAGCGCCTACGAGTCCACCCTGGAGGTGCTAGAGTTCCCCCAGATCCGCACCGTGGCCATCATAGCCGAGGGCATTCCCGAGAATATGACCCGCAAGCTGATTATCGAGGCGGACAAAAAAGGTGTGGCAATCATTGGACCGGCCACAGTGGGTGGCGTTAAACCAGGTTGCTTCAAAATTGGTAACACCGGCGGCATGCTGGACAACATCCTGCACTCGAAACTGTACCGTCCTGGCAGTGTTGCGTATGTCTCCCGCTCCGGAGGAATGTCCAACGAGCTGAACAACATCATCTCCAAGGCCACAGACGGCGTCATCGAGGGTATCGCCATTGGCGGTGATCGCTACCCGGGCTCCACCTTCATGGATCACATTCTTCGCTACCAGGCCGATCCGGAGACGAAGCTGATCGTCCTTCTGGGCGAAGTGGGAGGCACCGAGGAGTATGATGTGTGCGCCGCCTTGAAGGACGGACGCATAACGAAGCCCTTGGTGGCCTGGTGCATTGGCACATGTGCCAGCATGTTTACCTCAGAGGTGCAGTTCGGCCACGCCGGATCCTGCGCCAATTCCGATCGCGAGACGGCAACGGCCAAGAACAAAGGACTCCGAGAGGCCGGTGCCTACGTGCCAGACTCCTTCGACACGCTGGGCGAGCTCATTCACCACGTGTACGGAGAGCTGGTAAAGACGGGTCGCGTCGTGCCCAAAGAGGAGGTTCCGCCGCCGACAGTGCCTATGGATTACTCGTGGGCTCGCGAGCTGGGCCTGATTCGTAAGCCCGCCTCCTTCATGACCTCCATTTGCGACGAGCGTGGACAGGAGCTGATCTACGCAGGAATGCCCATCAGCGAAGTGCTGAGCAAGGACGTGGGTATCGGCGGTGTCATCTCGCTGCTCTGGTTCCAGCGCTGCCTGCCCTCCTACGTGTGCAAGTTCTTCGAGATGTGCTTGATGGTCACCGCGGATCACGGCCCAGCTGTTTCTGGAGCTCACAATACCATAGTGTGCGCCCGTGCCGGCAAGGATCTGGTGTCTTCCGTTGTCAGCGGTCTGCTGACAATCGTAAGTGAAGAATCTTAGGGGCAAACAAATGAACATGCTAATCCAAAACTTTTTTCGCAGGGTGATCGTTTCGGAGGTGCTTTGGACGGATCTGCGCGACAGTTCTCTGAGGCGTACGACACCAACCTGCATCCAATGGAGTTTGTGAATAAGATGCGCAAGGAAGGCAAGCTCATCCTGGGCATTGGCCACCGCGTGAAATCCATCAACAATCCCGATGTGCGTGTGAAGATCATTAAGGAGTTCGTGCTGGAGAATTTCCCGGCGTGCCCGCTCCTCAAATACGCCCTCGAGGTGGAGAAGATCACCACCAACAAGAAGCCGAATCTGATCCTCAATGTGGATGGCGTGATAGCTACTGCCTTTGTGGATATGCTGCGCAACAGCGGTTCCTTCACCAGGTGAGCTGATGGGCAAGGGATCCCTTCGATGGCTAGAAAACTAAATTTCGTCCATTTGATTTTTAGTGAGGAGGCACAGGAATATATCAATGTTGGCGCCATCAACTCTCTGTTTGTGCTGGGTCGCAGCATAGGATTTATCGGACATTACATGGACCAAAAGCGTCTCAAGCAGGGTCTTTACCGCCATCCGTGGGACGACATCTCCTACGTCATTCCCGAGCAGTACAACTAAGCGGCGGCGGCGGCGGCGTATATACAAGCATATATAAATATTATTCGGAAGTTGTTGTAGTTAAGCACAGATGTACGATGTTAGGCAAGGAGGCACCCAGTCCCGGCCCACCTCCCTCTCCCTCCCATCCCCATCCTTATCACTTAACCTGCATTTAAAGTTCTTAAGTTACCATCATTGCCCAAGGCGCATGACTCGGAGCCCGTAGGGGTTTTGGGATCCAAGTCTAGTGAAAGCTAGTGCTCCGAGGAAAAGGCACAAAACATAACCCAGCATGACTCTCTATTTGATACTTTTATACTTTAGTTGGATGCTCATACACAATTGTCTAGACAACAAGTGAATAAATTGTTGCAAAATCTTAGGTTTATGTTGATCACCCTTCTCGTTTGCCCATTATTTGAATCCCATGCTCCATTTGGCCGGCCTATCGAAGCGAGTTTTGGACACTGCACCAGTTCTTGTTGCACTGAAGCACAAATTTTGTAAAATTACAAGCACACGCACACACTCGAATCCATGTATGGTTCTTTTATTTGATAATCCGCCCGGGCGCGATCAGTCCAAATACTTAGGAAAATTCAGAGCCTGAGTTTTCAGATCACACGTGTGGTCCGTAACAAAAATCACTGAAATTAAACCGCACAAATGCTTTGACAAAATCAACACCCATGGGGGATTGCTTTTCTGTCTCCGAGCAATTTAATTTACCGAATGAACATTAACAATTTGGATACACACATACAACTAAGCGTAAAATCTCATTGGAACCAGGAACCAACCTTAACCCCGAACCACTAGAGCGAGCGGCACCTTGGACGGTGGTTGTGGTGACGACTCCTACCTCATGCGCCGCATCTTGCGCTCCATTTTCTTTTGCTTCTTTTCGTCCACTTCGGGATTCTCCTCCTGGGCATTTCGCTGGGACAGCCACGGCTGGATGACGGTACCCCAGAGCATCCAACCAGCACGGACCGGCGCCAGCAGAAGCACCAGCCAAAAGTAGTTGGAGATCAAAGCAAGCAGCAGCGTGCCAGAAGTCAAGATGATCAGGTCCTTGACATTTCTGTAGAAAATCAAGTGTCAGCCAAGTGAGCAAAGGTCTGCAGATTGGTTAACTTACTCCGCAATGCCGCCCTCCATGTTTAGATCATTACCCGAGTCCACAAGAGCCCCGCTCTCAGAGTATTTCGGCCGCGACATGAAGGCCATGAACTGGTAGGCCCCGACAAGGATTAGCAATGCCAGGATGTGCATGAACTGTGGGGTTGTTGGTCATGATAAAATGCGTCAGATTAAAGCACATTTCCGGAGACATACCACAGACGTCTTGGTGATCTCGAAGACCAGGGAACTTAACAGAAGAGCCGGTGCAGCGCAACCAATAGCCATGTTTCTGTAGAAAGCCAGTGTAGTCTTGTTTTCCTCCACGATTTGCTTGGCGCCCTTTGTGCCCTGCTTGCCCTTCTGTGTCGGCTGCAAGTAGAGAAAAGCGTCCATGAAATCCTTGCTAGCATCGTCCTAAATCCGGGATTACCTACAGCCATGATGAAATTGCTGTTGTGTGTCAGGTATTTCAAAATAATATCGGATTTACGTGGCGAGAAATCTGTAAAAGACAGAAGTGCTGTAAAACGTCTCCCTGATAGTGTGGCGGTGTTGTAAAATGGTCACATCTTCGTCTGTTGCATTGGTGCTTATTAATAATGAATGTTTACCGAATTAGAAATACAATATTATAAAACAAATTAAAAAGTGGGCTTATATACGATAAATGTCTTCTTCGTCATACAATACATACCTATTTTAATATTTCCAACTACGCCCATGTTCCCCGCCTTTTTCAAAGCGAAAGTATTGCCGTTCACTGCGAAACAGCGTCACAGCTGATGGCCCCACAGCAAACGTTCGACCTTTGGATTTTGGATTGGGCTTAAAATTCAATTTGCGGTCACAACATGAATATGGATCGACTGGTGCAGTTAAACAACCAAGCGGGCGGCCGGGACAAGATTGCTAGGCTCATCCAGTATGCCTCCCGTGCGATGTGGGACTCGCTGGAGACCTCGAACTCAAGTCCGGCGTTGGTGGATAATTTCAAGACGATCGAGTACATTTTGAGCACCTTCCGGAAGCGTACGTATCCTTCGGCCAAGTTCAAATCCGTCGCTAATTCCCTGTCGATTCAGTGCTCCGCTTTGGAAAGTGCGTGGACGTCTTCTATGGCACCCTGAAGACCATACACTATCCGGATCTCACCATCCGGGTGACGCTTACCCTAAGCAAGCTGTCGCAGTCGCTGTTCCTCTTCGCTGACCACTTCCTTTGGCTGGCTAGAACTGGACTAACGGCAGTGGACGCCAAGCGGTGGTCAAGTCTCGCCAACAAGTACTGGCTCTTCTCGATCATTATGAATCTTTGCCGCGACTTTTACGAGATCCTGAGGGTTTTGGATCTGCATCGATCCGGCTGCAAGGGAGGCATATCGCGTTGTCGCCTTCCCACGAGCATCAACTCGCCCGAGGACTTCAAGCGTTTTGCCCTGCAATCCTTTGTGCTAGTTCAGGGACACAAGGACATTGTCGTTGACACGGTGAAGAATGTGTGCGACTTCTTCATCCCGCTCACGGCGCTTGGTTACACAAAGCTCACACCAAGGACAATAGGACTTCTGGGAGCGGTGTCATCGCTGGCTGGACTGTGGGCTTTGCTGGAGCCCAGGGCCAAGCTAACGCCTGCGTAATACCCAGCGACCTGATAAATAGGCAACCTCGTAGATAGGCTGTCCGTGTAGCTATTTTAATTGTTATATTGTATTTGTATTTGTGCTCGGATTAAGTGAAAAGATAAACGAACGATTTGATGTATTAAGGAACCACCTATTAATTCTACACCCCTGCCAGCGCCTTTCGGCGAATGCCAAACAGCTGATGAACGCAGACCCCGCCGTGAATGGCACTTTTCTTGTATTGTGTTTTTCGTTTGTTTCGGTTGGCTTTTATCACTCGCCTTTGGCTAATGGTCCGCAGTCCGGCCGCGTTATCAGGCAATTGGTGAGACCGATGCGTCACCTGTGCGTGTGCTGCATCCGAGAACCATGAACTACTCCTATTCGTCGCTCTCCACCGGTGGCGGTGGAGCAGGACCCGGTGGCGTAGACCACAATCGCTGTTGCGGGAACCGGGCCTGGTGTGTCAAGGACATCTGCGGCATTGTGTGCGTGGTAATGACCTGGCTGCTAATCCTTTTCGCCGAGTTCGTGGTCATGCGCCTCATCCTGCTGCCCAGCAACTACACGGTGTTCAGCACACTCAACATGATCGTATTTCAGTCGCTTGCATTCCTTGCGTTCGCGTCCCACATACGCACAATGCTCTCGGACCCGGTGAGTGTGGGTGGGATTTATCTAGGTGCTTAGCCTTATCTACGTAATGGACAACTGCCTGAAGAGGATGAGTTTCCAATATTGCCACATTTGTATGTACATATCTGAACTGCTTGATTTATGCCTGATTTCTTCATGCCCAGGGCGCTGTACCCCGTGGCAATGCCACAAAGGAAATGATCGAACAGATGGGATATCGCGAGGGTCAGATGTTCTACAAGTGCCCCAAGTGCTGCAGCATCAAGCCAGACCGTGCGCATCACTGCTCTGTTTGCCAGCGCTGCATCAGGAAGATGGATCACCACTGTCCCTGGGTCAACAACTGCGTGGGCGAGAACAACCAAAAGTACTTTGTACTCTTCACGGTAAGTGTTGCACTCTTTCCCTCATAACTGTTCTCATTCCCACCTCTCTGCTTTTAAGTTTTATATAGCTTCGATCTCCGTGCACACACTCTTCCTGGTTCTCACTCAATTTGCGGAGTGCGTTAAAAACGACTGGCGCACTTGCTCTCCGTACTCGCCACCGGCCACCATATTTTTGCTGCTCTTTCTCACCTTTGAAGGCCTAATGTTCGGTATATTCACCATCATCATGCTGGCCACTCAGCTGACGGCCATCCTCAACGATCAGACGGTGAGTATCCGTTCTCCCTCTCACGAATGATTGTACGTATAACGTTCTACACTCTCACTCTCTCTCTCATATGCTTACAGGGCATCGAGCAGCTGAAGAAGGAGGAAGCCCGCTGGGCCAAGAAGTCGCGCCTCAAGAGCATTCAGTCGGTGTTTGGACGCTTTTCGCTGGCTTGGTTCTCACCGTTCACGGAACCCTCCTCCTGCCGAACGAAGTTCCATTCGCACTTTTACTCTGTGTGAAGAAGGCTTTGTCTTGAAAACTGGATTAGCTTAATCGAACAATACTTGAACCAACGTACAAGGGCAACAAGTAACCGCCACTTGTTGCTCCGCTGCAAATTGTGCAATTTTTGTATTTTCAATCAATTTTCTTAACATTATTTACCTTAATAGTATGTGTGTGTGTTTAGGAATTAAATATACGCAGCCTTAGCCAGGTGGAGAGTTGTACTTACCTGAAAGCCGTACTAAATTAATCCCTGTCGTTTGTTTTTCGTGGTTTTCTGCATGCTTCATGTGCTTCTGAGAGCCCTGATAGAGCACACATGCGCAGAGTCTCTGCTCATCCTCAGGAGAACTTGTCGATCTCACCGCTCTTTCTCGTGTTGGCCAAAATTATCCCACATACGACATGGACAGGCGAGGCCGAGGCTACCGATGCTGCTGGTGCTGATCTGTCTGCTCAGTTCAGTTTAGTCTGAGAAAAACGATCGGAGATCCAGGAGGTGTCTGCTGGACGTGGTGCGCGCCCTCGACGTCGACGCTGTGTTGTACATATTATTTATATATAGAAAAGAACATCTCTGTGTGTTCCCCAAATGTGTCAATCTCTCTAAGTGTGAGTGTGTCTGGTGGATTTCGACTTGGAATTGGAATTGAAATCCCAATTGGTATCAGTAAAGAGGAATACGTGTATAAAATCTGCTGCACCGCGGTCGAAAATGTGAATATACCCTAATTGCATATTTTCCGAGCCATTGTGACCAACGAATACGCGTAATTACCAGCGGAAAATTTCATTTCAGTGATTCGGAAACGGAAAAATTCACGAAAATTTTTAACGTTGATTGTGTGCGGCGGCATCGGCGCGTTCTAAATATAAATAAAAAAAGAAATCGCTTTCGGAAAAGTATACCCGTCACAATACTGCGCCCTAATCCTACACACAGCACAAGTCCTGAAAACGCAAAGCCCCATATTCCCGACCCATGCCAAAGTGGCCCTGTTTTGCAGCTAATTATATAGTGAGACCTGAACATGGAAAGATCGCCAGTAGCCAATGCGGCGGACGAGACAGCCATTGCAGTGGGTAAGTGAGTGGTGCCGGGAAAGTATCTCCTTTTTTTCGGTCCGTTCCCGATTCCGAACAATGTACTTTATGGCTATTTGTGTTTTATTTTTATGGCGTGCCACGGGTTCCGTCTTCGTTTGCTCCTCTTGTTCTGCTACGCCGTGATACGGCGGCCCCCGTGCGGTTACGTAATTTTCTGTGAGATATTTTCATAATTGCAAGTTGGAATAAACCCTGGTCGAGTGCCATCCGCATCCCGGCGAGGACCGAGCGGTGTCCAACACCGATATACTATGTGCGAATCACTTTTGATTACACGGCTCCCCCATGCAGAAAGATTCGACATGCTGGCAGCAAATAGTGCCTGTGGTGTGTTGGCGTATGAATAATATTTGGAACTATTTTTAGTGCATATTTTGAATATTCATTTGTGTTTTGGGCAGGTTATGGCAATGTGCACGGTAAAAACAAACACCAAACACTAAAGATGCTTCTTGATTGGAATTTACGAATTCGAGTCAGTCTTAAATGAATATTAAAATGTTGAAGTAGATATAATTATATAGTTTCAGGGTATTATCATTATAGTCCGAAGCTTAGATCATTGGTTTTTCATCCCAAGAATGAGTTTCAAAGAGTTCCTTTAATTTACCTTGATTAGAGAGCATTTTCTAGTCGAATCTCAATAGCACAATGCCACCCTTTCGTCGTTTTTCTTGCCGGCATAAATATGTGTCTGTTTATGTGGCAACTTTTGACATTTCGCAAATATTTATGATAATTCGTTCGGCTGGCAGCATCCTCCTTATTCGCCGCTGCCGTTGCCGGCTAAACTTATAAAGCGATTAGTCACGCTTATAATTATCAAACTGCCAACGCCGCCTGACCACTTTGCAGAACCTCCTGGCCAGGATAGAGAGTCAGCCGAATCGAGCCAACGCCGACCACATCGCATCACGTTTAGCGAGAACTCCAGTTCCTTGATCCGCTGCATCCCCAACGAGCGCGCTACTTTCTTCGTGAAGATCGACTGCGACGAGAAGGATGAGCAGGAACTGCTGCCCTTCAAATTCGAATGGTAAGTCATAAATCTTTCGCAGCCAATCTATTTTTCTCGCCTTACCTGTGCACTCCGTCCGCGTGAATCACCGCCGTCCTTGCTCCGCCCGGCCGGTTGTGTGTGTGCATTTTGCCAAAATTTTGCGCATTAACATATGATTTCTTCTTCACGGTTGCCTCCGATGGATTCTCTCAATCGGATACTACGGAGAGCAGGTCCATCGGCGTCTGCGCCACTAGAGAGAGCGAGAGAGAGAGTCACCCATTCATTTCGGGGTGCCCAGGTTGCTCTGACGCCTCTTGAGCGGTCAGTTCCACTTTGACGATCGGCGCATTAACATATCCGTTGCCCAGCGGACGGACATCGAGAACGGCAGCATTAGCAGCGCTATACGAGAGTTCTATATATACGCCACTGCGTATACGTACTGGTGCGTGGAATCCGGGGGTGTCCACGCGATGCATACTTAATAAATCACATGCGTATCGAAATCAATCAGTTTTGGTGGAATTCCATCGGGATGTCGCACCAGCCAGCACCTGGCATATGCGGGACTCGGGATCGGTGCTCGAAATATGTTACAATCGGCTATATATAGACGTATTTACAAATCGCGTCGAGTCCGCGGAACTTCGTCTACATTTATGTCTTTCGCGCCGCTTTTGGGGGGATGGCCTGTTGTTGGGCGGCAAAGACAGGAATTTCGGCGTTTCCATTTAATGCCCAAAAATTTTTGAAAATAGTTTTTCAAACGAAAACGGAAAATTACATAATGCGCCTTCGCTTGACGCGTAGAAACAACGAGCGATGTGTGTGTTAGGTGGATAGAGGAGAGTCAGATGTTTGGCAATATCCGCGAGAGGCAACAACAGATAAATAAATAAAACAATTCTGGGCACAGAACACACAAAAGAAACACAAAACAATTTGAAAATTCTCGATCTCTGTTGAAGACGACAGCGAAACAACAAGTTATTAGCGCTCAACATCAAAAAAACACGCAGCCCAAAAATAAATTGGCAAAAGCAGGCGTCGTTGCCTCGCTGACTAGCCTGGCTAGCGTTTAAATTATTGCAGTCCGCGGCAGTGCTCTGCCTTCCTTTCGAACTTGCCGAATGCGAAATACAATTAATAGCGAAGCAAGTTCGAGCATTTATTTATAAACATTCTCGCTTCGATTCAGAGATACTCTGGTCATTATTCTCTTTCAGAACATTTTTCTATTATTGTTGTTTTTTTGCGGTAGTTCTTCTTGTTTGTGAATCTGTTTATTAGCCAATAATAAATGCCACATAAATAAATGGCTCTTACGCATCAAACGTTTCGGGTAAATGTTTGCACGTGCAAGTGGGATTAATAACACCAAGATTTTAATAAATAATTTTTAAACAGTAACAGTAAAAGTAACCAACTACCCAGAAATTTAAAAACATCTGTCCATCAAAAGGAACATTAAACAATGACAATTAGTACAACATTCCGAGAGGCAATCAAAGTGAAAATAATTAAACAATAAACTTTAATATAACTGTTAAACATACCTGTTAACCACAAGCTGTTAACCGTAAGCTGTTTACTATAGTCAAACGCCATGGGCAACGGATGTTCCAAATGCTGCCAGTGCAATGAGCACAAACAAATCCACGGCACACTCTCCTCGGCCTCGTCGGTCTACAGGAAAAGGTGAGACCCGCTATTCAGTTTTAGGGCAGCGGTAATCCATCAGCCCTATCAGGGACAATACGGCCTTGTCTTCTCCTTCAACCGCATACGGCCAGTTTCAAGCTGCAGACCTTAACAACGAAAGCCGTGTCGGCCGAAAAGCATAGTGGCTAGGCAACTGGAGTTGCAGCATCAGTAGCAGCGGAAAGTGCAACTAAATCATCTTGTAATTTACTTGCAGGAGCCGTGGTGAAATTCCCATCGAGAATTCCGACCGCTTTCGCATCACGGCTACCAGCAATGCCGTACAGCTGGCCGTGGAGCATGTGCAACGGGAGGACGCCGGCCACTACACGCTGTTTGCCAAGACGAAGAGCCAGGATGTGGTGCGCAGGCACGTTGAACTTATCGTGGAGGACAGATCCACCGGCGACGATCCACCGGTGTTCCTTCGACGCCTCGTTGATCTCTCTGTCAAGGTGGGCACCCGTACACGACTCCTCACTGAGATTAAGAGCTCGACAGACTTGAAGGTAAGTTGTTTACTCCAATTAAAATATTTCCCAACTATATTCGTGTGATGAATCACATCAATAAATTCAAAATGGACGACAATTAATCGATAGCTATTACAAGGACGTAGAAATTAAGAGGGGTTAACGAATGACTAAGCTATGCCGATTTTTTTGTGATTCATTGTGTATACAAACTAAATGTTTGAAGATAAATAACTTAATAGCGCCCAAATAAATAGGAATATACTCTTCCTCTATAAAATTATCTAGAAAAAATAATACATTTTCTTGCGTTATCAATCTATCGATATTCGATCGTGCTTTTTTACAGTTTCCTTTTTGCTTATGCAGTTTTTCATGTTTCTTTTTATAGCTCACTTGGTACAGAAATGATCGCAGGGTGTGTGCCAGTGACCGCATCACAGAGATCAACGAGGGAACCTTCCATTACCTTGAGGTGAGTCCTGTGACTTTGGAGGATGGCGGCCAATGGATGCTGATGGCGGAGAATTATGGCGGACGCAACTCTTGCCTGGGTACGCTAAACGTGCTGGTTCCCAAAGCGTACAAGACGCCAGAGTTTGTGGAGGAGCTGCGCGCTGTGCTCACAGAGCAGGGCACCGTTTCGCTGGAATGCAAGGTGGTGGGCGTGCCCACACCGCATCTGCGATGGTTCAAGGACTCCAAAGAAATCAAGGCCGGCGATATCTTCGCCCTGACAGCCAACGCAGATGACCCAACCAGCCTCGGCACGTATACGTGCGAGGCGCGCAACTGCATGGGCGTCACTTACTCCAGCTCCAAGGTGCATGTGGTGGGACGTGGTAGCCGCGAGGGATCCCTCAAGCCGGCGGACAGGTGAGTCCAAGGAGCCCTAGTGGGAGCTCTGTTACTAATCAGTCTGCTTCTTTTTCCGCAGCGTCGCTGGTAATGCGCCGCCTCCGATATTCACGAACGAACTGCGGGACATGAGCCTCCACATCGGCGAGACGATCATTCTGGGCTGTCAAGGTGAGCACTCGGAGATGAGCAGTAGCGTAGAGCTGTGAGCAAGAGCTGGCGTCGCTGCTGCCGATCTCCTGCTGGCACCGCGCCAAAATGTCTTTGTTTATCTACTCTCCGCCGCTCGAACACTCGGTCACTCAGAACTGTGTGCGTGATTGCAAATTTGGTTCAATTCCCACCTTCGCCGGCGCTTGTTGTTTTTAGACCGCGCGCCAAAAACTTGAACTCGATCGCACGGTTGGTATGGTATGCCTCGAATGTTGAGGTGGGTCATCAACATCGCGCCGAGCGGCGAGCGGCGAGCAAAACAAAACTGATAATTGCGCGCTGGCAGAGAGAAGGAAACGTAGACCGCGCATCGGAGAAATCGGCGTGCAATCGCTCTGCTCGTGCTCTCTCCGATCACTTGATTAGATACACAGATTGTTTACACGTTCTCCCCCATCTCTCCCGCAGTGGTGGTTCCGCCCTGGCCCAAAAGCGTGTGCTGGTACAATACGGAAGGCCGTGTGGAGACCGCCGAGCGGTATAAACTGATCGAGGACGGCCTGGGCGTCTACATGATCGAGGTCAAGCCTTCGGAGTCCTGCGATGCCGGCGAATGGAAATGCGTGGTGACCAGCTTTGATGGCAGTGTTGGCATCTCTTCGTGTAACGTCGCCATGGACAGTAAGTGGAAATTTGTGCGTCTAAAGCTACGCATTATGACCTATTCTCTTTACAGTTCCCCGAAATTATCGTAAGCCCCGATTCATGGAGAGTCTTCGCGCCGTGCTCACCGAGGAGGGACTTGTTTCCTTCGAATGTAAAGTGGTAGGTTTTCCAACGCCAGTGCTTAAATGGTTTAAAGATGGTCACGAACTGAAGCCAGGTGACGTGTATCAGCTAACCGGTACCAACTCTTTGGGTACCTACTGCTGCATTGCACGTAATTGCATGGGAGAGACCAGTAGCACTGCCGTCCTCACCGTGGAGGATATTCAAAACCAGCTGACCGACGAGGAGCGGCTGGTGTTCACAAACCAAAACCAAAACCAAGCGCCAAAGTTCCTCACTGGATTGAAGAGCACAGATGCGAAGATAAACGAACCTTTCCAGTTCAAGGTTGTGGTAAAGGCCACTCCAGATCCCATACTATCCTGGTTCCGCGACGAGCTGCCCATTGATCCGAACGAACGATATAATCACTACCGCGGTGAAAACGAAGAATGGCTGTTGGACATCAAGGCCGTTGAGTTTGTAGACCAGGCCGAGTGGAAGTGTGTCGCCGTCAACGATTTCGGGACCAGTATCACGTCTTGCTTTCTAAAGCTACAGATACCGCGTCACTATAAGAAGCCACGTTTCCTTGAATGCCTGCGAGCGGTGCTTACCGAGGAGGGAGCCGTAAATCTGGAATGCAAGGTTATTGGTGTCCCTCAACCGGCCCTGAAGTGGTACAAGGATGGCGTGGAACTGAAGCCGGGAGACATTCATCGCATCATTTCTGGTCAGGATGGCACCTGCTGTTTGGGCACCTACACCTGCGAGGCAAGGAATTGCATGGGAATCGTCGCAAGCTCTGCGTCGCTGCTAGGTTTCGAGGATGCGCAAAGGAGTCAGCAGCAAAAGAACGAGGAGCCGCGCGAAAACGAACTGCAGAGAAACTACTCACTGTCAACCATCCAGGAAGAGCGCACATCCCAAATGTATGAAACGCCCGTCGGCGACATTACCATCGATGATAAGGGCGATGTATCATTCTCCTTCGACGGCAAAGAGGTCTCCGTTTCACTCTACGAAACGCCTGATCTCACCGAGGAGGAGGCGCTTAAGATTGTGGAAATGTATGCCGATCAGATTTCGGAGCATGTGACTGAGCATAACATTGTGGAGCTGCCGCCGCTGCGTTTTGTCAAGGAAACCTCGCAGTCGGGCAAGCTGCTAATGGAAGCCGTGGTCATTGACATTTCGCCCGAGTATTTTACAGTGGAGGAGGATATGCGTACGGAGGCTGATATGGATGACATATCCATAACGGAGATCACAGTTCACGGCTCTTCCGGAAGGGAGGGCAAATTTGACAAGGAAACCGAGCAATATGTGCAGGAGTCCTTTGAGAAGATGGAGGAGGAATTGTCTCTATCAGCCCCAATTCGAAAGCGCAAAAAGTCAAAGCCTACGGAGACAGATGAATTCTTTAGCCTGTCCAAAGCCTCGGCGTCGGGCAGCCAAGGCGAGGAGGAAACGTCGGACTTGCAGACCTTTGCCAGCGCCCAGATGTCTGCCTCTCAAAAGGCAGCCGGCGAAGCTCAAACCAGTTCGGAGAGGGACAAGGAGTCAGTGGCGCCGCCAAAGAGAAAGAAGTCCAAGAAACCGACAGACAGTGACTCCTCGAAGACCACTGAAGACGATGCCCGACTGCAAGACATTTCAGGTGCTGTAGGAGATGGACTTTTGGTGACACCATCGTCGCACCCGAAAGCAGTTACTGATGAGAATGAAATCAATAAGAATCTCATGTCCCTCGTTCCGCTGGCGAAGCTACTCAAGGCCATTCATAATAATCTTACAGCCGTTGAGAATGAGGTCTTGGAACAATCCACCATGATGATGACCCCAGCTGCAGCGGATCAAAGCATTGCCATCATACGCAATATTATAGAACCGATCAAGCAAATCGAATCGAAACTACGGGTGTACTCCGGCGAGACACAAATCGACGCCCTCATCCAATCCATGGACGAAGATATTCGCCGACTACACATGGGTTTGCAGGTCATTGAAAAGTGTGTGGAAATTGATGAAACGGGAGCCACGCTCATACAGCGCACCAGTGTATGCATTATCGACAGCGTGGCCGATCAGATGAAGCGAGCCCTCGAAGAGCTAAAGGTTGTAAGCACAAAGTTTGAGTCGGAGTGCCTGCGTGCGCAAATTGAACTCACCGCTGATGACATTCAACAGGGATTGGAAATCACGCAAGGCACAATTAAGTCTCAGGCGCTTTTGCAGGAGGCACAAGAACTGGAGGCCGCCAAGCACTTCTCCGAAGCCGTTGAGAAAATGCAAGAAGTCCCCGATTCCATATCCTTTGCAACCATTTCGGAGGCAAATTGGCCGAGTGAAGCGAGCGCTCTGAAAGATATTTGCCAACCAGTGGCAAAGATTCAGGAAGCACTGGAACGTGTCGAAATGGAGTTGTCTTTGGAAGATTCAGAGGAGCAGATCTACAAAAAGGTCCACCAAAAAGTGCTCGAGAGCATTGTGGAGCCAATTAAGCAGTTGGAGAGCACCCTGCAGTCAATCGAAGATAAGACCCAGTCACTGGGGGTTACCGAATCTATGGAACAGAAAATCAACATGACCATTCTTGATATTGTAACGCCACCTCTTTTCGAACTCAAAAAGGGCTTGGAGGTCATCCTCAACGAGAAATCGGACAGCGTAGAAGGTGGCATGCTGACGGTCAGCACCGTGGAATCGATGGTACCACCGCTGCAGGAGATCCAAAATGGTCTTGCGCAGCTGGGCCAGGATCTAGAGAGTGGACAACCCTCAATCCCGATAGAGGATCATCGATCCGAGCCAGCTTTGGATGTGGCTGATACCCAAAAACTTTTGCAGTCATTTGCCCAAGCCGTTTTGCATTTTGAAACGAACATCGAAAGGATTTCGCCCAGACTTTCGCCCAACGTCAAAATCCGTTTACTTAATTTGAAGGACGAACTATCAGCTTTAATAAGCACCATTCTGGAAAAAGACATTACCGGCCACCATGTGGATTTACTGGACAGACTGAAGCGTCCTGTTGATGAGCTCAACTACTGTATCCGGCAGACGGAGGTTAAGTCTATGACTGGATCTCTAGCCGATCTAATTGAGCCCTTAAGCATGCTGCAGGAAAACACCCAGAAAGGCCACGGGGTGATGCTTACAGCTCGGGATCCCGACAAACAAGCTCTGCACACCCTGGAGAATATACGCAGCATTATTCGAAACGCCGTCATTGATATCGAGGAGCACGAATTCAAGATTTTGCAGCAGGAAATACAATTGGATGAGGAGAAGGCTTCACAGCAGCAGGATAAATCTTTCAGTGCCCTTCGAAAAGTTCTTGAAACGAAGGTGTCTCTTGAGGAGGCAGTTGGCAACATTGAAACGCTTCAGGAAACTCTGAATAAAATTAGCGAAAACCCAAAATCATCCGAAAAGGTAAAGGCATCCGCTAATGAAGCGCAAGTTTTCCTCTTGAGGATCTTGCAAATCGCCAAGGGGCTGGCTACGTTCAGCGAGGCAGAGACGACTCTCGATGTCAATGAGGCGAACACAAGCAGAATACTTTTTGAGTGTGGCAAAAGCTTTGCTGACTTGGCTAAAGCCCTGGAAAGCCCATCTGCTCTATCCGATAATCAATTTTTGAATGCTCTAAATCAGTTCACTGACATTGTTGAGCAGCAAAAGCCATTAATGGAGGAGAAACTTTCCATTGCTAGTCCCCTCTCAAATCTGATTCATATCCTCGAAAAACTAAAGCCCTCTAGAGCCTCAGTCGAAGACTTGTCGACTTTGGATGATATTTCAGTGCTTAAGTCAGCCGCAGAGTCTTTGCCCACAGAGCCAGAAGTGGAAACAATTAGCGGCGAAAAGCAATTGTCTGTAGCTGTTTTGCTGTCCGACTTAAACCAGGGCCTTACTTCGGTCCTCTCGCACTGCGATGATGCTGATGTCGCCTCGTTAGCCGGTGCGGCATCCCAGAAAGTACAAGCAGCCATTGTCAAAATTCAGGAACTGCAAAGTATTATAGCTCTGGTGCAAGAAACGGATGTTGTGGAAGCAGCGCAGCCTTTGTCAGAGGCTAGTCAACAGGGCACCTTCGCCGAGGCTCTTTGCAGCTTGGAGCAATGTGTTCTTCACGTGGAGGAATGTATGGCCCACAGTGGCGTCGAGAGCATCCCTGAACTTGAACTTGCGAAGCTTAAGACATTGGCTACTCCACTCCGCGAAGTAAGGCAGTATTGCGAACAGATTGATATGCAGGTGCTGGAAAATGTAACTGATTTATCTACCCAGGACGATATTTCTGATCTGAAAAGTGTTGGACACAAGCAAACTGTTTCAGATCATATTCAGGAGATGGCTGTTGTAGAAGAAGATGCGACGGTGGAAGTATTCGACATACAACAAGGTGTGGCAAGCGGCATTAAACAGCTAGAGGCTTGTCTCGAGGTCACACAGACTGATTCCAGCAAGGAACTCCAGAAGGTAGCCCAAATCATGGGGCAGCTAAAGTCAGATCTGCAGAATATTCAAACTGCTCTTGTCTCGGAAGGTGTTCAGCAAGAAACTGTCCTAGCCCAAGCGAAAATAGCCCGTACCATGTTTAGATTGAAGGAATCTCTAGTTCATACCTATGAGTCGGGCTTGGTGGACTCTTTGGAAAACGTTGAGAGTGCTTTTGAAGACATATTGCTTTCTTTGCCCGTTCTAGAGACCCAGCTAGCTCAGGAAATGTTTGGAAAAATTGAGAAAGCATTCAATGATTTCATTGTATATTGTGATTGCCAAGAAGCGATTGAACATAAAAAGCTTTCAACTCTGAAGAAACCCATTGAAAATCTAATTCAGTCTATTGCAGCTGTAGCCGCTCATCCCACAGTTGATATCGACAAGTCTTCGGCGGTTGTTGTACAATTTCAAACTAGTTTGATGTCGGCGTTTCGTAGCCTGAATGAAGTTAGCGAAAAGGCCAGCAATGAATATTTGGGTGGACTCTTAAAGACGCAGAGTAGCTTAGTAACCGTATTTGATTTTATTGAAAACAATGACACTACCATTCGCGTTATTGAACTCCTGCAAGAAATGGATTCCATTACTGCGGAATTAAAGGCATTGTCTCGAATTCCGGTTGAACCTACGGTGCAAATCGATATAAGTGAAATCATTGAAAGCGTTTCGTCTGGCAAAGCCTTCCTCACCGAAATTGAAGATGGTCTTCAAGCAAATAATCCCCAGTGCCTTCTCTTACTTGATGAAAACACGGACGATATTGCTCAACTACAGGCAACACTTGTGCAAATAGAGAAGGAAATACTTTCCCAGCCCCAATTAACGCAGATAACAGCGCAGCAAGTTAGTCTCATAGACACTCTGCACCTTCAGATAAATATTCTACAAGACAAGCTTAGTAAACTAAATGTATTCATTGATGAGCTGCAAAAGCAACCGGAAATTTCTTCTTCTGAATCGGTTTTAGGTTCAGACTTTAAGACTGAAGAAAGTGCTGAAAGCCAAGAAGATATTGAACCAGAATCTAAAAGGGCCAAAATTTTAGCAACAGATATGGCTTCTACTACAAAAGTTTCACAAGAATATAGAGATAGTGATGAGCAAGTAAAGCTAACTGATTCCACTGAAAAATTTATTGAAGAAATAAAGTCTGACATAAAAGATGCATTTAAAATAAAATCTGAACAGATATCGGAACCAGAAGTCCAGGAAATAACCGAACCGAATAACAAAGAGGAATTATCAACAAAAGACTTAATTGAAGTGTCGCATCTGGATGATACAAAAATAAAAGATGTTGATAAGAATTATGAGCAAGAAAAGGATCACGAAAAAATATCTAAGATTGTTGATCAAAAGAGTTCTCCAGAAGCCATTTTAGAGACTTTAACCGAAAAATTATCAGACTTGTCGCAGGCACTTGGCAGCGATACTGATAACGACACATTGAAGACATTTATTGCAGAAAGCCAAGATATTATTGAAAATGTCACCGACTACAACAAAGTGTGCAAATCAATATTTAAATTAAGAGAGCACATTGTTCACACTTATGACGGAAAGCCTCCTGAAGATCAGTTAGAGAAAGAACTTGTCGAATCATTTATTGAGTCTCTATTCGAGGTCTTTCCTGAAGCATCTCAGCAAATAACTGAAAATTATGTAAAAGAAATCAAAACCAACGTAATTTTAACTAAAGCAGCAATTCAGCTAATTGACGAGCAAAATTTGTCTATAAAGCCATCTTCCCTAGTGCCAAAATTGGTTAATCTGGAAAGTATTTCAGAAAAAATTCAATTCGATCAGCATGTCAATAAGTCCTCTGAAAAAATGATTAGCCTGCAACAAAACCTTATGGATATTTTCATTATTCTTGATGACCTGGTAGACGAAAAAATTGAAAACATTAAACCAAAAATAGAGGAAATCAAAACCTTATTGCTTAGCGAATTTGACTATATTGAGAAAAAAGAGGACGCTCTGATTACTGCAGTCATACAAGGAAAAATACAACTTATTACGCAAAAGATTCTTAATATTTCAGAAGAATTAAAGGATATTCTTGAAAATCAAAGTCAACACAAAGACACTGTTGATCACGTAACATCATTAGAGAAGCAAACTCTTGAAGAACAACAAATTGAAGCTCAGACACAAAAACCAGACAAGAAAGATGTCGACAAGGAAAAAGTTTCTGAACTCTCTGTAGAGAAGATTGCTGAAGCGAAGATTGATGAAACCAAAAAGGCTGAACTAACGGAAATCGAAATTGAAGCTGAACCACCCAAGGCTTTGGAGAAGCAACCCATTGATGAACAACACCTGGAAACTAAGACGCAGAAGCCAGGCGAAAAGGATGTCAGCAACCAACCTGAGATGGGAGAAGTTTCGGAGATCACTGCGGAAAAGATTGCTGAGGTGAAGATGGATGAAACCAAGAAGCCTGATCTATCGGAAAATAAGGCAAAAGCTGAGCAGGCTATGGCTTTGGAGAAGGAACCCGTTAAGGAGCAACAACTGGAAGTGAAGACGCAGAAGCCAAGCGAGAAGGATGTCGACAAGAAGCCCGAAAAGGGAGAAGTTTATGAGGTCCCCGTGGAAAAGATTTCAGAAGAGAATATTGATGAAACCAAGATGCCTGAGGCAACGAAAATGGAATCTAAACCTGAGCCACCCATGGCTTTGGAGAAGCAATCCATTGATGAACAACACCTGGAAACTAAGACGCAGAAGCCAGACGAGAAGGATGTCGACAAGAAGCCAGAACAGGGAGAAGTTTCTGAGGTCACTGCGGAGAAGATTTCTGAAGAAAAGATTAATGAATTCAAGATGCCTGAGGTTACACAAATTGAATCTAAACCTGAGCCACCCATTGCTTTGGAGAAGCAATCCATTGATGAACAACACCTGGAAACTAATATGCAGACGCCAGACGAGAAGGATGTCGACAAGAAGCCCGAAAAGGGAGAAGTTTATGAGGTCCCCGTGGAAAAGATTTCAGAAGAGAATATTGATGAAACCAAGATGCCTGAGGCAACGAAAATGGAATCTAAACCTGAGCCACCCATGGCTTTGGAGAAGCAATCCATTGATGAACAACACCTGGAAACTAAGACGCAGAAGCCAGACGAGAAGGATGTCGACAAGAAGCCAGAACAGGGAGAAGTTTCTGAGGTCACTGCGGAGAAGATTTCTGAAGAGAAGATGAATGAATTCAAGATGCCTGAGGTTACACAAATTGAATCTAAACCTGAGTCACCCAAGGCTTTGGAGAAGGAATCCATTGATGAACAACACCTGGAAACTAAGACGCAGAAGCCAGACGAGAAGGATGTCAGCAACCAACCTGAGATGGGAGAAGTTTCGGAGATCACTGCGGAAAAGATTTCTGAAGTGAAGATTGATGAAACCAAGAAGCCTGAGCTATCGGAAAATAAGGCTAAAGCTGAGCAGGCTATGGCTTTGGAGAAGGAACCCGTTAAGGAGCAACACCTGGAAGTGAAGACGCAGAAGCCAGACGAGAAGGATGTCGAAAAGAAGCCCGATAAGGGAGAAGTTTATGAGGTCCTCATAGAAAAGAGTTCAGAAGAGAATATTGATGAAACCAAGATGCCTGAGGTAACGGAAATTAAGTCTAAGCCACAGCTAGCTAAGGCATTAGAGAAAGAATCCGTTGAAGAGCAACAACTAAAAGCAAAGTCGGAGAAGCCCGACGAGAAGGATGTCGAAAAGAAGCCAGAACAGGGAGAAGTTTCGGAGGTCCCTGCGGGGAAGATTTCTGAAGTGAAGATTGATGAAACCAAGAAGCCTGAGCTATCGGAAAATAAGGCTAAAGCTGAGCAGGCTATGGCTTTGGAGAAGGAACCAGTTGAGGAGCAACAACTGGAAGTCAAGACGCAGAAGCCAGGCGAGAAGAATGTCGACAAGATGCCTGATAAGGGACAAGTTTCTGAGGTCACTGCTGAAAAGATTTCTGAAGAAAACATTGAAGAGGCTAAAAAGGCAGATGGCAAAGCAGCTGAATGTAAACCAGAGCAAGCGAAGTTTTTGGATAAACACTCCATTGAGGAAACACAAGTAAAAGATGAGGCCAAGAAGCAAGACGAGAAGGATGTCGCGAAAACAAAGCTTTTCGAAACAACTATTGATCAAGAACCATCACACGAAGATGTGGTGAAGACATTGAAAAACATTTTCTCTGAATTGGCCTGTGCTATAAATAACGGCAGTAAAAGGAACGACTTAAACTTGATTGTAGCTGATTGCCGAGATATTATCAACAACCTTAAAGATATTGACGAGGTTTCCAATTTTATATTTAAATTAAAAGATCATATAGTGCACACTTATGATGGGAAGTCTAGTGAGGATAAAAAGTACACAGAACTTTTAGAATCTTTCATGGAATCTCTTTTAGAGGCATGTCCTGCCGCAGCTGACCGAGTACTTCAGAACTATGTTAAAGAAATTAAAACAAATGTAATTTTAACCAAAGCCTGCATCCAACTTATTGATGACAGTAACATGTTTACCAAGCCATCCTTACTGGTCCCTAAGCTGGGTAACTTGGAGAAAATTTCTGTTAGAATTCAGACCGAGCGACTGGTTGACAAATCATCGGAGGGAATGATTTGTTTGCAACAGAATTTAATGGATATCTTCGTCATTGTCGACGATCTTTTAGACGAAAAGACTGCAATATTAAAACCACAAATCGATGATATCAAAACAATAGTTCTAAATGAATACGACTATATTGAGAAAAAGCAGGGCCAACTACATACTGTGGTGGTCAATGGCAAAATTAAAACTGTAACGCACAAGATTCTTGATATTTGCGAAAACTTAAATAAATTGGTTGCGAGCTTAAACCAAAACAGATTGGGATCAGAGTTAAAAGCCGCGCACCTTGAAACGTCTTTGGAGAAACAAACTCTCGAGGAGCAAAAATTGGTGGCTGAGACACAACAACAAGCTGAGGAAGATATTACAAAGAAGTCCGAGTCGGGAGAAGTTTCTGAGGTTACTGCAGAAAAAATATCCGAAGAAAAGGTGGAAGAAGCCAAGAAGCCTGACGTTAAGGAAGCTGAATCTAAGTCAAAGAAAGCAAAGGCTTTGGAAAAACAAACTCTCGAGGAGCAAAAATTGGTGGCTGAGACACAACAGCAAGCTGAGCAAGATATTACAAAGAAGTCTGAGTCGGGAGAAGTGTCTGAGGTTACTGCAGAAAAAATATCCGAAGAAAAGGTGGAAGAAGCCAAGAAGCCTGACGTTAAGGAAGCTGAATCTAAGTCAAAGAAAGCAAAGGCTTTGGAAAAACAAACTCTCGAGGAGCAAAAATTGGTGGCTGAGACACAACAGCAAGCTGAGCAAGATATTACAAAGAAGTCCGAGTCGGGAGAAGTTTCTGAGGTTACTGCTGAAAAAATATCCGAAGAAAAGGTTGATGAAGCCAAGAAGCCTGAGGTGAAGGAAGCTGAATCTAAGTCAAAGAAAGCAAAGGCTTTGGAAAAACAAACTCTCGAGGAACAAAAATTGGCGGCTGAGACACAACAGCAAGCTGAGAAAGAAATCGAAAAGAAGTCCGAGATGGGAGAAGTTTCTGAGGTTACTGTGGAAAAAATATCCGAAGAAAAGGTGGAAGAAGCCAAGAAGAAGTCCGAGACGGGAGAAGTTTCTGAGGTTACTGTGGAAAAAATATCCGAAGAAAAGGTGGAAGAAGCCAAGAAGAAGTCCGAGACGGGAGAAGTTTCTGAGGTTACCGCAGAAAAATATCCGAAGAAAAGGTGGAAGAAGCCAAGAAGCCTGACGTTAAGGAAGCTGAATCTAAGTCAAAGAAAGCAAAGGCTTTGGAAAAACAAACTCTCGAGGAACAAAAATTGGCGGCTGAGACACAACAGCAAGCTGAGAAAGAAATCGAAAAGAAGTCCGAGATGGGAGAAGTTTCTGAGGTTACTGTGGAAAAAATATCCGAAGAAAAGGTGGAAGAAGCCAAGAAGAAGTCCGAGACGGGAGAAGTTTCTGAGGTTACTGTGGAAAAAATATCCGAAGAAAAGGTGGAAGAAGCCAAGAAGAAGTCCGAGACGGGAGAAGTTTCTGAGGTTACCGCAGAAAAAATATCCGAAGAAAAGGTGGAAGAAGCCAAGAAGCCTGACGTTAAGGAAGCTGAATCTAAGTCAAAGAAAGCAAAGGCTTTGGAAAAACAAACTCTCGAGGAACAAAATTGGTGGCTGAGACACAACAGCAAGCTGAGCAAGATATTACAAAGAAGTCCGAGTCGGGAGAAGTTTCTGAGGTTACTGCTGAAAAAATATCCGAAAAAAAGGTTGAAGAAGCCAAGAAGCTTGAGGTGAAGGAATCTGAATCTCTGTCAAAGAAAGCAAAGGCTTTGGAAAAACAAACTCTCGAGGAGCAAAAATTGGCGGCTGAGACACAACAGCAAGCTGAGCAAGATATTACAAAGAAGTCCGAGACGGGAGAAGTTTCTGAGGTTACTGCTGAAATAATATCCGAAAAAAAGGTTGAAGAAGCCAAGAAGCTTGAGGTGAAGGAATCTGAATCTCTGTCAAAGAAAGCAAAGGCTTTGGAAAAACAAACTCTCGAGGAGCAAAAATTGGCGGCTGTGACACAACAGCAAGCTGAGAAAGAAATCGAAAAGAAGTCCGAGATGGGAGAAGTTTCTGAGGTTACTGTGGAAAAAATATCCGAAGAAAAGGTGGAAGAAGCCAAGAAGAAGTCCGAGACGGGAGAAGTTTCTGAGGTTACTGTGGAAAAAATATCCGAAGAAAAGGTGGAAGAAGCCAAGAAGAAGTCCGAGTCGGGAGAAGTGTCTGAGGTTACTGCAGAAAAAATATCCGAAGAAAAGGTTGATGAAGCCAAGAAGCCTGAGGTGAAGGAAGCTGAATCTAAGTCAAAGAAAGCAAAGGCTTTGGAAAAACAAACTCTCGAGGAGCAAAAATTGGCGGCTGAGACACAACAGCAAGCTGAGCAAGATATTACAAAGAAGTCCGAGTCGGGAGAAGTTTCTGAGGTTACTGCTGAAAAATATCCGAAAAAAAGGTTGAAGAAGCCAAGAAGCTTGAGGTGAAGGAATCTGAATCTCTGTCAAAGAAAGCAAAGGCTTTGGAAAAACAAACTCTCGAGGAGCAAAAATTGGCGGCTGAGACACAACAGCAAGCTGAGCAAGATATTACAAAGAAGTCCGAGACGGGAGAAGTTTCTGAGGTTACTGCTGAAATAATATCCGAAAAAAAGGTTGAAGAAGCCAAGAAGCTTGAGGTGAAGGAATCTGAATCTCTGTCAAAGAAAGCAAAGGCTTTGGAAAAACAAACTCTCGAGGAGCAAAAATTGGCGGCTGAGACACAACAGCAAGCTGAGAAAGAAATCGAAAAGAAGTCCGAGATGGGAGAAGTTTCTGAGGTTACTGTGGAAAAATATCCGAAGAAAAGGTGGAAGAAGCCAAGAAGAAGTCCGAGACGGGAGAAGTTTCTGAGGTTACTGTGGAAAAAATATCCGAAGAAAAGGTGGAAGAAGCCAAGAAGAAGTCCGAGTCGGGAGAAGTGTCTGAGGTTACTGCAGAAAAAATATCCGAAGAAAAGGTTGATGAAGCCAAGAAGCCTGAGGTGAAGGAAGCTGAATCTAAGTCAAAGAAAGCAAAGGCTTTGGAAAAACAAACTCTCGAGGAGCAAAAATTGGCGGCTGAGACACAACAGCAAGCTGAGCAAGATATTACAAAGAAGTCCGAGTCGGGAGAAGTTTCTGAGGTTACTGCTGAAAAAATATCCGAAGAAAAGGTTGATGAAGCCAAGAAGCCTGAGGTGAAGGAAGCTGAATCTAAGTCAAAGAAAGCAAAGGCTTTGGAAAAACAAACTCTCGAGGAGCAAAAATTGGCGGCTGAGACACAACAGCAAGCTGAGCAAGATATTACAAAGAAGTCCGAGTCGGGAGAAGTTTCTGAGGTTACTGCTGAAAAAATATCCGAAGAAAAGGTTGATGAAGCCAAGAAGCCTGAGGTGAAGGAAGCTGAATCTAAGTCAAAGAAAGCAAAGGCTTTAGAAAAACAAACTGTCGAGGAGCAAAATTGGCGGCTGAGACACAACAGCAAGCTGAGCAAGATATTACAAAGAAGTCCGAGACGGGAGAAGTTTCTGAGGTTACTGCTGAAAAAATATCCGAAAAAAAGGTTGAAGAAGCCAAGAAGCTTGAGGTGAAGGAATCTGAATCTCTGTCAAAGAAAGCAAAGGCTTTGGAAAAACAAACTCTCGAGGAGCAAAAATTGGCGGCTGAGACACAACAGCAAGCTGAGCAAGATATTACAAAGAAGTCCGAGACGGGAGAAGTTTCTGAGGTTACTGCTGAAATAATATCCGAAAAAAAGGTTGAAGAAGCCAAGAAGCTTGAGGTGAAGGAATCTGAATCTCTGTCAAAGAAAGCAAAGGCTTTGGAAAAACAAACTCTCGAGGAGCAAAAATTGGCGGCTGAGACACAACAGCAAGCTGAGAAAGAAATCGAAAAGAAGTCCGAGATGGGAGAAGTTTCTGAGGTTACTGTGGAAAAAATATCCGAAGAAAAGGTGGAAGAAGCCAAGAAGAAGTCCGAGACGGGAGAAGTTTCTGAGGTTACCGAAGAAAAAATATCCGAAGAAAAGGTGGAAGAAGCCAAGAAGCCTGACGTTAAGGAAGCTGAATCTAAGTCAAAGAAAGCAAAGGCTTTGGAAAAACAAACTGTCGAGGAGCAAAAATTGGCGGCTGAGACACAACAGCAAGCTGAGCAAGATATTACAAAGAAGTCCGAGACGGGAGAAGTTTCTGAGGTTACTGCTGAAAAAATATCCGAAGAAAAGGTTGATGAAGCCAAGAAGCCTGACGTTAAGGAAACTGAATCTAAGTCAAAGAAAGCAAAGGCTTTGGAAAAACAAACTCTCGAGGAGCAAAAATTGGCGGCTGAGACACAACATCAAGCTGAGCAAGATATTACAAAGAAGTCCGAGACGGGAGAAGTTTCTGAGGTTACTGCTGAAAAAATATCCGAAGAAAAGGTTGATGAAGCCAAGAAGCTTGAGGTGAAGGAAGCTGAATCTAAGTCAAAGAAAGCAAAGGCTTTGGAGAAACTAACTCTCGAGGAGCAAAAATTGGTGGCTGAGACACAACAGCAAGCTGAGAAAGAAATCGAAAAGAAGTCCGAGATGGGAGAAGTTTCTGCGGTTACTGTGGAAAAAATATCCGAAGAAAAGGTGGAAGAAGCCAAGAAGCCTGACGTTAAGGAAGCTGAATCTAAGTCAAAGAAAGCAAAGGCTTTGGAAAAACAAACTCTCGAGGAGCAAAAATTGGCGGCTGAGACACAAAAGCAAGCTGAGAAAGATATTACAAAGAAGTCAGAGACGGGAGAAGTTTCTGAGGTTACCGCAGAAAAAATATCCGAAGAAAAGGTTGAAGAAGCCAAGAAGACTGAGGTGAAGGAAGCTGAATCTAAGTCAAAGAAAGCAACGGCGTTGGAGAAACAATCTATCGAGGAACAAAAATTGGCGGCTGAGACTCAAAAGCAAGCTGAGAAAGAAATCGAAAAGATGTCCAAGAAGGGAGAAGTTTCTGAGGTTACTGTTGAAAAAATATCCGAAGAAAAGGTGGAAGAAGTCAAGAAACCTGACGTTAAGGAAGCTGAATCTAAGTCAAAGAAAGCAAAGGCTTTGGAAAAACAAACTCTCGAGGAACAAAAATTGGCGGCTGAAACACAAAAGCAAGCTGAGAAAGAAATCGAAGAGAAGTCCAAGAAGGGAGAGGTTTCTGAGGTTACTGCGGAAAAGATATCCGAAGAAAAGGTTGAAGAAACCAAGAAGCCTGACGTTAAGGAAGCTGAATCTAAGTCAAAGAAAGCAAAGGCTTTGGAGAAACTAACTCTCGAGGAGCAAAAATTGGCGGCTGAGACACAAAAGCAAGCTGAGAAAGATATTACAAAGAAGTCCGAGACGGGAGAAGTTTCTGAGGTTACCGCAGAAAAAATATCCGAAGAAAAGGTTGAAGAAGCCAAGAAGACTGAGGTGAAGGAAGCTGAATCTAAGTCAAAGAAAGCAAAGGCGTTGGAGAAACAATCTATCGAGGAACAAAAATTGGCGGCTGAGACACAAAAGCAAGCTGAGAAAGAAATCGAAAAGATGTCCAAGAAGGGAGAAGTTTCTGAGGTTACCGCAGAAAAAATATCCGAAGAAAAGGTTGAAGAAGCCAAGAAGCCTGAGGTGAAGGAAGCTGAATCTAAGTCAAAGAAAGCAAAGGCGTTGGAGAAACAATCAATCGAGGAGCAAAAATTGGCGGCTGAGACACAAAAGCAAGCTGAGCAAGATATTAAAAAGAAGTCCGAAAAGGGAAAGGATTCCAAAGACAAGGTTGAGGATGCCGAGAAGCTCACAGACAAGCCATCTTCTGAAGAACGAGAACAGAAACAGACAGAGACGGCTGTGAAGAGAAAGTCTAAGAAGGGAACTGAAGTTAAAGCGGAACTGGCCGAGGTTGTTGATAAACTATCACGAGTAGAACAGGAATTGAGAGCTAAGACGAAGGACCGTGCTGATAAGGAGGATGTGTCACAGTCTGGGGATTCTGATTCTTTACACACCCGTAAGTTTTAAAGCAAAACATATACATTATATTCTAGACATTTAATAATATCATATCTTTTTATTAACTATTAATTATTGCAGATGAAGAACAGTCAACAATCAAGAAAGCTAAGGTCTTTAAAGAAGAAATGAAAGAAACAGATTTCGATAAGGAACCACTTGAAGAACAGCACACCGTTCAGAAACATCAGTTAACTACCAAAAATGGCGACGATGAAATTGTGGGTGAAAAAATCGAGAGATCTGAAGACTTGGCCGACTCGGTTAGCCTGCAAACCTACAAGTCCATGGATTCGGAGTACAAGAACCGAAAGGAGTCGCGCAGTGCCAAGCGTAAGCCAACAGTGGATATTCAATTAACCAACCGGAATACGGCCTCGGGAAGCGACCTAAAACTGACATGCGGGCTATCGGGTCATGATATGAACGTGCAGTGGTTCAAGCAGAACAGCCACAGTCCCATCGAGAACGATGCCAAGTACAGGAGAACATTGAACGACGGACTCTCGTGCCTTGAAATTAAATCGGCCGAAGTGGGTGACTCTGGCATTTATCGCTGCATAGCGTCCAATCAAAATGGAGAAGTCGAAACTAGCTGTCTTGTGACTATATACGAAGCACCTTCAAGCAAATTTGGCACTCCGCCAATATTTACACGCAACATTCGAGGTAAGTGCCGTTTGTGCCCTGTCTACCTTCTACCTAGTGATCCAATGCCCGAATTTCAAACTTAATTAGTGGTAATTTGCAATTGAGGATATTTCTTTTACTTTACCAATGTGCATTACCTTGCATTTAGCGTATATTTGTTATTTAGTATATAGGAAGCTAGATCGTAAGGCCAGAATAAGTTAGCAAGACTCGCGATAAGTCGGGTGTGGTATACCTGTCTTGACTAACCCATCGCTTCGCACTTTCGGTTCGTAAATATGGCATGTGCCGAGTGCGAGAGTTGAGGAGGCACTTTATCATCGCATTTAAATAGACGCCTCTTAAATTAGCCAATTGGATTTGAACTTATATAATTCCGTTTACTTGAATGCCTGCATTGATTGAAAGTGGCCGGTATTTAAATAGAAATGCATTTTGGCAATCAATGTTATTGCATGTGTGTGTTTGTACAACGTCGGCGAACAAAACAGAATTCGTAAAATTGTTTTTAGCATAACAATCTATCTAATCGATTCGGCGGGGACTACTCAGATCGATCCGAGACGGGGAATGTGCTTTCGAAATTTTCACCACGTTCGGTGACAGTCGTGAATCTTCTTTAGCATCGAACGGACGTCTCACGTCCGAAAAACTCGATCGAACCGTTGCGGGCTCTACATATCTATATATTGATCTAGAAACTCGGACGGATATATAATTTTTATCGGTTTTCATTTACGAATTTTATTCCGTTCACGTTATCCTTCCGACCCCGCAAGCGGAACGAAAACAATCCGAAATCGAAATGGGAGAAACGGACGGAGATATCGAGCCACGGGCTTCCGCCGAACCGGAGGCGGCCGCTGCCCAGGATACCCTACAAGTGCCAACGCAAAAGAAGCGCAAGCTTAAGTCACCAACTCCGGGCAGCTTACGCGGACGCAGTGCCACGCCAATTCACGGCCGGAGTCAGACCCCGTTCACACTGTACATGACTCGGCGCAGTGCCACGCCGTCGACATGGCGCAGCATTACTCCCTTCCTGAAGCGGGAGGAAAAGGAGAAAACTCCCTTCGAGCTGGGACGGGACATCAAGAGCCAGACGACCTGCAACATCGCCGTCTTCGATCGGGCCCTTGTAATGGACATTTCCGAGCCATTGGACGTGCAGAAGCCCGTGCGTTACATAACTTCCGATCTGTCGGTGATCGATCGCGCTGCCGTAATGGATGTGTCCAACGTTGAGGTTATCTACGTCGTTGAGGAGTACGAGGAGGTCGAAGAGGAGGAGATAATTGAGGAGGTCAAACCGAAAAAGAAGGAGAAAAAGGCCCGGAAGCCGCGCGTTCAGCGCAAGTCTATCGACAAGGACATGAGTCCTTCCGGCGCCGAGGATGGCGAAGACTTGGGAGACTACGGTGGCGACGATCGGGAGGACAGTATCGATCTCGATGAAGGAGATGAGCCCGTCAAGAAGGGCAAGAAGAAGGCTCCGCCGAAGAAGAAGGAGAAGAAGGAAAATCCCCCAGTCCAAAATTGACCTTGAAACTGGAGATTGGAGGAGGCCAGAAGGCCAGCAAGAAAATGTTTGAGCAGCAACAGGCTGCGCCCAAGCCGCCGCCGAAGAAGAGCAAGATGGTGCTCCAGATGGAGGAGCAGGCAAGGGCCGCTGCCAAGGCCGCAGAGGAAGAGGCAGCCCGGGCCAAACCCAAGGGCGAGACCTATGAGGAGCGACAGAAACGCTTGCAGGCCGAGAAGGAAGAGCAGGAGCGACTGGAAGCCGAACAGCGGGCCCTCGAAGAGGCCGAGGCTGAGGAGGATGAAGAGGATCCATCGGCCATGGGAGAGGAAGGCGAGGAGGGCACCGAGGCCGGCTACGGAGACGAGGATCAGGAGTACGCCGGAGAGGACGGTGAGGCCGAAGAGGACCGTGATATCGAAGAGGAGGACGCAGTTACCGATCTGAAGAAGAAGGACGAAAAACGCCGTGGCAGTGACTCCTCCGACGACTTTGTTCGTCCCGATCCCCATGAGGAGGAGCGCTGGCAGCGCATTGCCGCAATCGAGGGCGAGGAGTTCATGCAGCAGATGCGCAAATATAGCCAGGCCAAGCGCATCAGTGAAAAGGAGCGCGACGCCGACTGGCAGCGCCGCCGTGAGCAGGCCCGCAATCCCAAGTTCATTAACTTCCTCTCCGATCGAGCCGCCGAAGCTGGCCAAAGTGTGCGTCTAGCGTGTGCCGTGGACGGTCCGGAGCTGTCGGCCAAGTGGTACCATAACCGCAAGCAGCTAGAGCGCGATGGCTGCCATCGCATCATCAACAATAACAACATCCTAGTGCTGGAGGTGCTAAATACCACCATTTTGGACTCCGGCGAGTACTCGTGTGTTATCTCGAACCAGAACGACGAGGTGACATCCTCGTGCATTGTCACCATCTACGAAGTGTTCAAGGACGAACCCAAACCCCCTTCCATTCAGTATATCAAAGGTATTTGTCCCTGGCAATTGATTTCGGTGCATCCCTAAGAGCTCCTTCTCTATGTGTGCCTGTTTCAGAGTACTATCATTTGCGCGACGACGAGCTGACCATCGAGTGCCACGTTCACGGTGTGCCCCGTCCCGTGATCACCTGGTGGCGTGGTGCCTTCCAAGTGAAGGCCAGCTACAAATTCACGATCCTGGAGGAGGCGCACGGTGTGTGCAAGCTGCTGATCTACAAGCCGGGTAACAAGGATGGTGGCATCTATACCCTTAAGGCCTTCAACTCCAGCGGTGAGGCGCAGATCAATCACACCGTCGAGGTAGCTAAGAATCTGCACTATCACGTGCCCGGCATCTTCCATGCCCGCGACAAGATCCAGCTAGACAGCTTGAAGCAGGCCAAGAAGGCCATGGAAGCGGCCCTCAAATCGAAGGCCGAGTCTGACCAGAAGCGAGCCGATGCCGAGGCCGAGCAGCAGCGCTTGCGTCCAGTCCGGGCGTCTCCAGAGCCCTTGGTGCCGGCCAAGCAGAAGCTCTCGTTCGCAACCCAGCTGCGTGACCGCATGGCGCTCGAGGGATCGACCATTAAGTTCGTGGCAACAGTAATCGGACCTCAGCCCAACACCCGCTGGATGAAGGACGACAAGTGGGTTGTGGTGGGCGGCAACATCAAGAACCTGTCGGAGGAGGGCAAGGCCATACTCGAGATCTCCGACGTCACCTCTGCGGACTCAGGCGTCTACAAGTGTGTGGCGAAGAACGATCTCAGCGAGATCGAGACCTCCTGCTACTTTAAGGTTTACACGGCGCAGGCGGATGGCGACGAGTCGGAGCCCATATTCGCCCTGCCACTTCGAGGTATCTCCTGTCTCCCCATCTCTCTGTCTCTCTCGATGTGTGTTCTCTGTCGCTTTGGTTACACGATCCCCATTCCCGAATGTGTGTGTCGTCTATTATCCGACCATCGATGTTCGATCAATTGAGGTCGTTCGCGTACGAAAATAGCTGGGAATTGATTGATTGACTTTGTTCTCAGATGTGTACCATGCCTCGCAGAACGATCTGATTCTCGACACGAAGGTGCGCGGCAATCCCCGGCCGGTGATCTCGTGGACCAAGGACCAGATACCCATCGTGCTCGACGATCGGGTGGTGCAGATCGAGCACTTGGACGGCATCTGCGAGCTGATCATCAACAAGCCGACGATCAATGACAACGGAATCTATGTTTGCACCGCCAAGAGCAAGCTGGGCACTCAGTCGACCACCCACACGGTTGTCGTCGACACCACCCATACCTCGAGGCGCTCGAGCATTCTGTCTGCTATTGCCATGCAGGAAGGAGGTGGTGAGCCAGCTGAGGGCGGTGGCGGCGGCAAGGCCAAGGCCAGGAGGAAGAAGAAGGACGACGATTCTGAGGGCGGTGGCGGTGACGGTGAAGGTGGCTATGAGCGCCGCAGCCGTATGCCCGATCCCTCACCCAAGCAGATGCTGTACTTCACGGTCAACCTGTCCAATCGGTATGTGGCCGAGGGCTCTAAGGTCAAGTTGCAGGCCGTGATCGGTGGCCCAGAGCCCATTATCAAGTGGCAAAAGGACGACCAGAATGTCACCTATGGACCGCGCATCCGCAACATGAACCGCGACAGCTTGGCGGTGCTGGAATTTGTAAACGCCCAGGCTGAGGACTCGGGCACATACTCCATTATTGCCCAGAACGAGTTCTGTAAGATCACCACCTCGGCCCTGCTGCATGTGTACCAGCCAAAGGTCAACACGGATGTGCAGCCAGTCTTCATTCGCTCTTTGAAAGGTAAGACCTCGGCTGCAGCATCGATCAATCGATTGATTTATATTTAGAGATCCATCTGATCCACATTGTGTGTGATTGTGCAACGACATCATCGATCGTTCGCCTCTATTATGCAATGCGTGTGTTTGTTACATAACTGCTCTTGGTGCTCTTCCACTCTAGAAACCTATCACCTCAACACTAACGAGCTGATTCTGGAGACGGCCGTGCGTGGACAGCCCACGCCCGAGGTTCAGTGGTTTAAGGACAGCGTGGAGATCCAGAGCGGTGGTCGCTACCAGCTCCTTGAACATCAGGACGGCACCTGTGAGCTCATCATCGATCGACCGGACAACAAGGATTCTGGAAAGTATGTGCTCAAGGCGGAGAACCGTGCGGGCAAGATGGAAATCTCCCACTATGTGCTCTTCGAAGGCAAAGCCCATCACATTGCGGACAACATCCATGGCGTCTTCCATGCCGACAAGAGCCTGATGCGCCCCAAAGAGGTTGAAAAGCCGGTGGAGAAGAAGCCGGCGGCTGCTGCTGCTCCTGAAGCCGAATCGGAAGCTGAGGATGGAGGAAAGGGCAAGCGTCGTCCCAAAAAGGACGATGACGCCGATGCATCGTCGGCCTATGCAACCGACTATGCCTCTGATACGGCAAGTTTGTCCAGTAAGCGTCGAGAGAAGAATATTGCCATCCACTTCAGTACCTCGATGCGAGATCGCGTCGTGGCCGAGGGGTCCAAGGTGAAGATTTCGTGCTTCCTGGACGCCAAGGAGCCGCAGGTCAAATGGTTTAAGGACGGCGAGCAGATCCAAAACAGTCCCAAGTGCAGGGGTCGGTACAGCGAGGGCCTGTGCTTGCTGGAGATCATGAGTGCCACAGCCGAGGACAATGGCGAGTACAAGTGCTGGGGTCGCGACGAAACCGGCGAGGCTTCCACCTCATGTCGTCTGGAAGTGTACGAGGATCCGGGCACCGGTGATGTGCCACCCACCTTTACGCGCAACATCAAGGACACGCTGCACGGCAAGATCAACGAGCTGCAGCTGGACGTGCATGTCCGCGGTTTGCCGACACCGTCGGTCACGTGGGTAAAGGACGGCGTTAAGGTGGAAAACAGCGACAAGTACCAGCAGGTAGACCACGATGACGGCACCTGCGAGCTGTTTATTAGTAACCCGAAGCCCTCGGACAGCGGCAAGTACGTGTGCCAGGCCGAGAACCGTGAGGGCAAAACTGAGATTGTTCATGTTATTACTGTGGAGCCGCGAGTCCGGGTACCGCGCCACTCTCCGCCCAGGGAGGGCAGGCCACCGCGTCCAGCTGGTGATGAGGAGGCACCGGCAACCGGTGAAGGCGCCGAGGAGGGCGAAGCTGGCGAGGGTGCAGAGGGTGCTGCTGCTGGTGGCGAAAAGCGTCGCAGGAAGCCAAAGCCCGACGAAGAGGAGCAGGCCAGTTCCAGGCGCGAGGTGCCACCTCCACCGGATCTAAGGAAGCGCCTTTACTTCAGGAACTTCCTGTCCAACCGCACGGTCAAGTCCGGCAGCAATGTCAAGTGGATGGTCAACATTGATGGACCGGAGCCAACGGCCAAGTGGTTCCACGGCGACCAGCCAATCGCATTCGGGCCCAAGAGCAAGATGTCCATGCAGGACGGTATCGCCTGGCTAAATCTCGTTGGTGTGACAGAAGAGGAAGCCGGCGAGTATACGTTGCGGGTCAGGGGTTCGGAAAATGAAATCGTGAGCACTTGCAACTTGTTCGTGTACAGCACGGGCAAACCGGAGGTTATTTCGCCCACCTTCGTAGTGGGCATTAAAGGTAGGAGGACGCTCTGTGTGTCCTCGTCCGAGTGCGTTCCGGTGAATGTCCTGGTATCTGAGAAATATGTAGCCTTATATGTAGTCTTAGGAGTAAGTTATATGTAAGCTAACAGTCCTGAAACCCATTCCTTTACCTCATCGTACTTTGTTTTATGTGAGTGGTTTGTCTTTTTTCGTGTTCCATGTTCCAGATGCATATCATTCCCAGAGCAACCAGTTGACTTTGGAGTGCAAAGTCTCAGGCAGTCCCAAGCCACATATTTACTGGCAGCGGGACAATACTCTGCTGTCCGTTGAAAATCCCAAGTATCAGTATGCGGAGCAGAGCGACGGTGTTAAGCTCTTGACCATTTCCAGCTTTGGCAGCGAGGATTCCGGTCTGTACACTTGCTACGCGGAGAGCGAGAACGGGCAGATGAAGATCAGCAAGTTTGTGCAGGCTTCGGATTATGTGAGGGAAAGAACTTCGGATAAAAAACCCATTGATGTGGTTATGCAGGAGATCAAGCGGGATGAATCCTCCACCGCTCCGACAAGCGACACTGCGGCGGTGAAGGCTCGTGCCCGAGAGGCCAAGTTGCGACTAAATCTGGAGACCAGCCTGAAGACCATGACCATTGGAAGTGGCAACAAGGCGCAGCTTATCTGCTATGTAACTGGCATCATTGAGGATGTGCACTGGCTAAGGAACGATGAGCGCGTGACAAAGGATGCTCGACACAAGATCTACAACATAAACGGAGCCATCAGCCTGGAGATTTACGATGCCCGGGTGGAGGACAGCGGCCACTACAGATGCGTGGTGAAAAACAGCAGGCAGACGGTGGAGAGTGCTGGTCAGCTTAGTGTATTGGATCAGGCAACGGGCAACTTGCCGAAGAGTTTCTCCACTGCCATAACAGGTAAGATTCCAGCATCTTTGTTAATTTTTATAGCTCAATTTATTATGTGTGATCACTCTTTTAGAGTCCTATGATGCCCAACGCAACGAAATTGTGCTGAGCTGCCAGGTTTACGGGCGCCCCAATGTCAGTTGGATGCGGGATGACCACACCATCTCCAACAATCGGTACAGGACTCTTGAAGAGGCCGGCGGTGTTCGAAAGCTGATCATACGAAATCCCATTCCCTCGGACTGCGGAATTTTCGCCTGCTATGCGGAGCATGAGGACCGTATTGACTCCATCAGCACCACCATAAAGGCCTTTGATCTCAAGCGCCTAGTCAACGTCAGTCAGGAGGACTTCCCCTCGCTTAGTGAGCAAGACTGGTCACGTAGTCAGTCGTATTTGAGTTCCAGCAGTCAGCCGCAGCTGCAGAAGGTGGTGAACGGCAATGGTGATCTTCATAGAGCTGGAGATCACCTCTTGCGCAGCGTGGGCAAGGCAAAGCCTCTCTTCCATACCCTACTTCACGACCGAACTGTTTCGGAGGGCGGCAATCTTCGCCTGATATGCGGCGTTTCGACAGATGAGAACACACACATTGAGTGGTTGAAGAATCACAAGCCCTTGCCGGCGGACAGTCGCTATCAGACGCTTTTCCAGAACGGAGAGGCCTCGCTAGAGATCTATGCCGCCGTGGCCGACGACAGTGGCAACTACACCTGCTGTGCTACCAACGACTTCGGGGAGAGCCTGACACACGCCCAGCTGCGTGTCTACAAGAACTTCAAGGAGGCCTCACTGCCAAGTACTTTTACGCAGCCAATCCGAGGTATTACCCAGCCGAGCTCCGGACTACATCTCCTCTTTTGTTCAAACTGGCTGCTGTTCTAACCGCTTGTTTTTTTGTTTACTTTAAGAAAGATTTACTAACAAAATTATCTTGACTTTTTCAGACACATATTCTCTCAACGAGAATGAGTTGGTTCTGGATTGCCGCGTGCGAGGCCAGCCCCGTCCCGAGATTGAGTGGATGAAGGGCACCGAGATCATTTCCAGCAATGAGAAGTACAAACTGACCGACCAGGCCGATGGCTACGCCAAGCTAGTAATCAACAATCCTACGGAGAAGGACTCCGGCATCTACTCGTGCGTGGCTCGCAACGAGGGAGCCGAGAACAAGATCTCCCATCAGGTGGACTTCAAGGGCCGTCAGCACTACTCGCTGGAGAAGACGCATGGCTTCTTCCATCGCGATCCTAACAAGCCGCACTTCTTGCTGCCGCTGGGCAACCAGACAGTTTGCAAGGGCGGCACCGTGGCCATTTCGGCGGAGTTCATGCAAACTAGCACGCCCATTGAAGTGAAATGGTATCGAGACCGCCAGGCGGTGGATGGACCCAATGTGAAGACCCTGGCCGATCGAGGCGTCTACACACTGACCATTATGAATGCCTTGCCAGAGATCGAGGGCACTTACACGTGCCGGGCCTCGAATGCTTTTGGTCGCATCGAGTCGCATGCCAACATTGATGTCTCCATGGCCGAGACCAAGGATGAGCGTCCGCCGCTGTTCTTGTCGCGACCGGACACCGAAATGAAGATTGCCGTGGGTGATCCGTTCTCCCTGTCCTTCCGCATTGGCGGCGATCCGAAACCTAAGCGTAAGTCCTATGGTTTTCTGTGAGAGGTGTATCCTGTGATCTCTGTTATCTCTCTGATACCTTACAGTCACATTCATGAAGGGCACCAAGGACATCACACAGTCGGACAGGGTCAGCAAAGAGGTATCGGATGACTACACCAGATTCACAGTGCAGCAAGCTCAGATCTCGGACTCTGGTACCTACTTCGTGGTGGCCCGTAACAACTTTGGCACTGACAGGATATTCGTCACCGTCACGGTAGGCTTTCCGTAGCTGTATTTGTGTCTCCAAATCTCTGTTACTTGTGGCTGTCTCCTCTTGATAATCGCTTTCGCTAAACTAACTGCTGCACTTCTTTCTTTCTCTCTGCTTTCTTCTCTTATTACAGATTAAGATACCTAAAAAGAAAGAATAATGCTTTATTAATACAAAATCTATTTTGCAAATTTCGAACGCCGCCTCCCTCAACCAGCACTAAACTATATACATATATATACTCAGACTACATTTTCCTGAATCTCTATGTGTTCATTCAAAGCAATATAATATATCGTTCTGACTACAAAACTTATAGGTAAACCCGCGCGCTCGCTCCGCCACGCCATCGCAACCACGTTGGGGCCTTCCCCTGGATAGTTACAGCGACACTTCGTACTTCAGAGGTGAGTTTCGCGTCCCTATATCAAGTGTAGTTGTATCCCTATGTCCGTCTGCCGTCTGCCCTCCGTCTTGTCGTTCTGTCTGTGTGTTCCAGTTCTAGTCCAGGCTGACAAGAATCTCTTACAGATCGACGGTTCAGCCGCCACAACAAACCACAAACGACAAAAGAAATTTCCTGTGAGATCGTAGAAACCCAGCAGCACACAGACACTATAAATTCGTGTATTTATCTTTTGTTAGTATTTCTGAACGATTGACTTAATTACTTTTATTATCGTACCTACATATATAAATAATGTATTATATAAAGCACAGCAATCCAGCTTATACATTTACGTAGTGGAAACAAGAAAATAAAAAATATATTTCTCCGGGGCGTGATGCGTTTTAATTGAGGCCTTCTATCCCTCTGCCTTCCATCTCCTCTCGAATCCTCATTCATTAACGCATCTTCTCTTTTGTCAGATCCGCCGGGTTGCATTTCCACGGAGCCCCTGGTTGTTGACTCCGGACCCACGCACATCTCGCTGTCGTGGGGAAAGCCGGTGACTGCCAACTCCGCGCCAGTGATCGCCTACAAGGTTGAGGCCTGGGTTGTGGGCCATGAGGGCGGCGCCTACTGGCGGGAGCTCGGCCTCACGCCCATCAACTCGTTCGACGCCTTCAACCTGAAGCCAAACCTGGAGTATCATTTCCGGGTTACGCCCAAGAACCGCTATGGCTGGGGACCTACTGTCCAGACGAGCTCCGCCCTGCAAGTAGGCGGCGTCGAGTGTCTGCCCGAATTCGTCAAGATTCTGCCAGGTCAGGCGAAAGCTCTGCTTGGCTCATCCTTCACCCTGCAGTGCAATATGCGTGGAGCGCCTCGCCCGCAGGTCACCTGGTTCAAGGATGGCATTCAACTAAGCAGCAGCTCTGAGCGCGTCAAGATCCGTCAAATCGGCTCCACGTGTGCCCTAACTATTGCCACCGTAAGCGAACTGGACTCGGGTCGTTACACATGTGAGGCAACCAACTCCAAGGGCAGAGTCTCCACCTTTGCCCGCCTTCAAGTCGTTGCCGATTCGAGAATCTACGAGGCGGATTCGCGTCTTAAGGAGATCGCTCATGGACGAAATGTGGCCGATGTGGGCGACTCGCTGCCCATTTTCACTATGCGCCTGCGTGATCGTCGTGTTCAATTCACCTACCCCGTGAGACTTACCTGCCAGATCGTTGGTTATCCCGTCCCGAGATATTGTGGTACAAGGACGAGCAGCTAATCCAGACCGATAGAAAACATCTCATCAGCTCTGAGGGGCAATTCTTCACGTTGGAGATAGCGGCCACCACGCTAGACGACAGCGGCACTTACACCTGCCTGGCAAAGAATGAACTGGGCTCCGTGTCCTGTCACTGCACCCTTGTGGTGGATAAGGGCATTCGGGCATACATCTCACCTGACTTTTATGTGCCTTTGGATCCCTTCTACATATTCCGCGAGGGTTCCGAAATACGTCTCTCTACTAAAGTGGAGGCCTATCCCGCCGTAGGCGTGACCTGGCACCGTAATGGCATGCGCCTACGTCCAAGTCGGCGCCTGACCGCCACCTTAGATTCGAATGGATACGTTGAACTAATTATTGCCGAGGCCACGTTAAGGGATGCCGGAATATATGTCTGTGTTGCCAACAACGTGGTTGGCAAGGTGGAAACCATCTGTCGAGTAGCCATCGAGGAAGAGGTGAACAAGATAGCAACCCCTCAACGGTCCCTAGATATACCTCTCATCAAGACTGACGACTTGCCGTAAGTATTGGCCTTGTGGTATTAGAATATGCAGACATGAGATCCCCTATATAATGTATCCCTTTTCATCCCTAGATACTCTAAGGAGCCCCTGTTTGTGGTCAAGCCTCGTTCCAGCGAAGCCTACGAAGGTGACAACGTCATTATATTCTGCGAGGTGGTTGGCGATCCCAAGCCAGAAGTCGTTTGGCTGCGAGATTTTCTGAATGTGAGTAATGGTTGAGAATGTGACGTCAGGCGAGAGGCAACTCACTCAGGCGCGCAGGCGCAACTAGTGGCTTGTCGGTGGGTCGGTCAGTTGCATTCACGGTGCCAACAAATGTGGGTCGTATTATCGTGCTACGGCTGCCTGCTCTCGCTTTCAGTCTCCAGTCTCAGTTTGTTTTATCAGGGGCACAAGTGGGCCCTATTCTCCGGCACCAGGAAGTCTGAATCGTTAGTTTCCGCTTTGGTTTTTCTATAAAAAGTGAACTCCCCAGTGGGCCAGACACTTTAGTGATCTTTTTTTCGAGTTTGCCACAGTTGCCCGCGCGGATAAAATTTTTGTTTAATTGATTCGCGAGTGAGAACAAAATGGCAAGAGATCCCTAACAGAATCCGATACGACAACAAAGTTGGTACAAAAGCAGGTGAAGAATAGCCCGCAGAGGCTCGGATTACGGACAAGTGCGTCATACTGCAGCGTTATACAAGTCCACTTGGACAACTAGACATCTTACAAATCCGATTCGCTGTCAAACGCTAATTCAAGCTCAAGCCATATCAAATAACAGGCTTGTTGTGCTCGCAAAAAAACAATTACGCGAGCCAAAAAGGAAAAAAATATTAGCCACTGTCGTCGTCGGTCGTGCGACGTACCAAGGAAGCGAGAGCAGGCGGAGGAGGTCAGGGTGGGCAACGTAGTTACCAGTTTTCCTATTCAACAGTCTCGAAACTGAATTTTGTGCTTATATGGTTATAAGCTCAATACAATAATAACAACGGAACAGCAGGCAGCATTAGCACCGCAGTCGTGATTCATGCTCGCCGCGAGCCGCACTGATCCTTATAGAAGCCATTCGAAGTGACCTTGAACGTCTTTAGTTCACTCACAACATCATCTTGTCTCGTCTCATCCGCAGCCGGAGTATTACAAGGACGCCCCTCACTTCCGCCGCATCGGAGACGGACCCGAGTACAGGCTGGAGATACCCAGTGCCAAGTTGGACTTCACCGGTACCTACTCCGTAATAGCCAGCAACTGTCATGGCGAGGCCAAGGCTGTAATTTCGCTACAAATATTCGCCAAAGGTAAGTCGAGTATTTAGATTTATTGACTAGTCAATGTGTCGTCACCCCACCTGGGGGTAGATATTCGCAAGGCGCGGGAATACAGCATCCCGCCAGAAATCCTCGGCCATGGTGAGCAGGCTGGACACGAACTCCGGATCCGACTGTACCCAAACGTAGTGCAGAGCTCCGCTTGTCTCGAACGTCGGACTGAGCACACAGTAGAGCGCCTTCTTAACGTTGGCCATGAACATCTGAATCTGGATCTGGGCCATGTATTTCGGGGCTATTGATTCACGAGCCTCCAGGTACTTCTCAAAGTCCTCCTCAGTCTTTGGCGATTTGATTTCGACGATGTGATCGTCCGTTATGCCGTCCGGAGCGGCACACAAGAAGGGATAGCTTTCGTCGAGTAGCAGGCCGCACTCGATGTACTGCTTGTTCTCCAGCTTCTCCGTCTGCTTCAGAATAAAGCGCTTGTGCTGCTTCTGTTGCACCCGATCATCGGTGTTCCGGTCGCGACCCTTGCAGAACATCATATTGAAGATCTGCTCGTCTTCCTCGGCCGACCTGCGATTCACAATCATGTGCATCATAGAGCAGCGGATTCGCATGTACTGCGCCTCAATCCACAGTTTAGACTTGTACTGGTTGCGGGTCACCTCGTTGAGGCTTTCGAAGATTCCCGTCTGTGCCTGCAGCTCCATGTAGTGCACAAAGCTGGGTACATCCAGAATGTTGTATTCGGCCGCTCGGAGCAGCACATGATGTACGAACAGGGGTTCGAACTCGTCGCTAATGTCCACGCATTGGCGATACAGAGCCGAGTCCCGTCCGCACGCGGATAGTTCGTCCAGAACAGCGTCCAGAAAGGCTTGTCCCTCGCTAGCGCTCATTTCCTGCAGGTTCTGTTCGCACTCCAAGCGCACCTCGTCTTTGGGCATGATATCGCAAATACGAGTGGCTAGCACAGGCTCTGGTTGCACCAGAGTCTCCAGTTCGTGGCCCCAGAACTCGACAACAGCCGAGGGAGTGCGATCGGTGCTCTTGTTGAGCAGCCAAAACGTGAAGGCCACGATGTGTGCACAGGCTTCTGTACGAGAGTAAGATTTTAGGAAAAAGAAATTTATCTCTGACCATGTGTAATTCTCACCAGCGGCGGGACACAGACTGCACTGGCCATCTGTGATAATCCGCGAACTTTCCACGACCTTCAGGCCCACATTGGCATGGGTGTCCGTGTTGGCGAAGTCAGCGGCGGGGAACACCAGTGCCTTGAGTTCACAGATTTCACCACGCCGATGCATCTGGACGTAGTCCGTTAGCAGTTCACCTCTATCCGTTGCTCTGTATGGAGAGAGAAACTATATTAATCATATTAACTGAATGCTTCGATCTAACTCACATTTGTTTGCATTGCTCGGTAGCAGCGGCGGCTGAGCAAAAGTTAAACACCATTGCGCTGTTGACCACTGGTATAGTGTGCAGGTCCGCCTTCCGAAACCCGGGCTCCAGGTCCATGGGCACTATGATCATGCCCTTCATTGTTAAATGCGAACTTTTGGAGCAAAATATACAAAATTATAAAACATTTCTTCAGTGTGGCCGTGTTAGTGTTAAATGCGAATTCTCTAGATATCATTTGAATATTATCTGGTCACACAAAAGCAGTTGATTTGATGGCGCCAATTTCAAATCTATAAATAAGTTTGCTTCACCGAAATGTATTTATAGCTATCTTATGTTTACACTTTGTTCCCTCCCACAGATATACTGAACGATAGCCGCATGGATAAAGTGCACACACGACATGGGTGAGTTCAGTTTATCCGGAATGCCGCCTGTAAGCACTAATTAAACCAATATTTGCTACCACAGCAACATCGAGACCCTTCCCCGTTTCGTCCGCAACTTGCGAAATCTGCGCTGTTGCGATGGGGATGCGATATCGCTGGAATGCCATGTGGAGGCCGATCCTGAGCCGTTCATCATATGGGAGAAGGACGGGCGCGTGGTTCCCGGCGACCGCGACTACGTTATGTCCTTTGACGGGACCAAGGCCACGCTGAGCATTCCGCGCGTGTACCCCGAGGACGAGGGCGAGTACACGTGCGTGGCCAAGAACTCGGTGGGCCGCAGTCTCTCCTCCGCCTGCATTATTGTTGATGTGCCCGAGGAAAAGGAGAATATGTTGAGTCGCCAGTTGATCCGGCCCAGTGGCCTACTATCCGCCCACTCCACGCCACGCTCCACCCCGCGTTCGACCCCGGCGAGAAGCTTTTCGCCACTACGTCTTTCCTCATATCGCACCGCCAGCAGCATCGATCTGTCCGCGGTGGCAGAGCGAAGGCGTAGCGATGCCCGCAATGCCATTACGGCACCCAAGTTCCTCGCCATTCCCTACAATCGGGTCGTCGAGGAGGGCGACAGTGTGCGCTTCCAGTGTGCCATTGCCGGTCATCCCACGCCCTGGGCCACCTGGGACAAGGATGGTCTGATTGTCACGCCCACGCCCAGAATTGCCGTGAAAGAAATCGATGATCTTCGGATCATAGAGATCGACGAGGTGTCTTTCGATGACGCGGGTTTGTATCGCGTCACGCTTGAAAACGATTTTGGAAGGATTGAGGCCACTGCCCGCCTAGACGTTATACGTAGCTCGCGTTACTCTAAGTCTCCATCCGTGCGCAGTGTACGCGCGTCCTCCTCCCGCCGCAATGCCTACCTTCACAGGCGCATCATGGGTCCATCCACAGGTGGGTTTAGAACTCCTAAAAGTACGTGTTCCCAAGTTCTGAACTCTTCTTGTTTCCCCCCAGCAATTGGCGGACGCATGGCTTTGGCTAGTGGCTATCGGGGCTCCTCGGTGCCTTCGGTGAGGTTCTATCATAACAACGTTGAGATGGAAGAATCGGAGCGAGTGCACATACTGTTGCAGAAGGAGGACTCAATGGCACTGCTCATTGTGGATAATGTGACGCGCGACGACGAAGGAGTGTATACCTGCATCATAAGCGGCAGCAATCACGATCCCCTGATCAGCTCCACCACAGTTAGTTTCAATGATAACAAGGCTGAGGAGATTCCAGCGAGACGGGGTGCCGTCATCACGGAACCACTGCCCGAGATAACCAAGTCGTTGGAGGGCGAAGTGATTGATCTGTGCTGCGGAATTGATTGCGAAGAGCCCTATAGTTACGTTTGGCTGCGTAATGGGGAAGTACTGCTGGACAGCGATGAGTTCAAGTGAGTATTTGCTGTAGAGAAATTGGAGATTCCATAACGATTTCTTAAAGATCCAACAAACAGCCAACTATTTTGACTTATAAAATTCTCCAGTACCGATCGATTAGCTCTTCTAGCTCTCCCACAGTACCACAATTTATCACATTTGAATTGTTTTCTTTTTATTTCAGTTACATTGATCATGGCAATGGACGCTTGTGCCTGCGTATCAACGATGCCTTCGACATTGACTCTGGCATATACAGCTGTCAGGTGTTTACCAACGACTCCAACTCCGACCCCGATTGCAGCAGCAGCGGCGAGCTGTGCGTCTTGGAGCGTGATCTGACGCAGGCAGACGAGCAGCGGGTGCAGCTGCTAAAGACGCCTCTTCCGGTGGTATGTGGTTTGGGCGAGGAAGTCCTATTCTATGCCCGCGTCTTCCCCTGCGAAGCAGAAGCCGAATGGTACCTAAATGGCCAACTAATAGCCGAGGAGGATGACTCACTGAACATGACGGTGCGTATGCGTGTAATAAACCCCGGGCAGAGACATTCGCGCGCTTGCTTTTGGCCCCAATCTCAGAGGGAACCGAAACAGAGCTTTTCATTTTCGACTCTTGCCTTGCCGCAGGCAGCTTGTTCACACTTCTGCCTGGGAGAAAACAATAAAACCAAGAAAGGAAACAAACTTCGGCAAGCCGAAGCTTATATATCCTTGCAGTTTTCGATTAAATATAGGATCGAATCGGAAATGGATTTTAACTAAGCAATTTTTAAATCGATATTTATCCAAATTTGTATATCACATTTTTCTCGACAAATTAAGATTTAAAAACTCATAACTGAGCCAAAAATGCATTAATTTCAATTCGGAAAGCGTTCGTGTGTTAATTTTTAGCAGGTTAACAAAACTGCATACTCCATTTACAACGTGAATTTTTGGCCGATTTTTGCACATTTTTATGATGTAACCCCTTTCCTTTTTTCCGAAAAATGGGAAATTTAAAAAAAAAATTTTTTGACCGGATGAAGCTAGAAAGAAAGGCCTGTAGATGCTGATCAAGAATATATATGATTTATGGGGTCGGAAATGGCTCCTTCACTGTGTTACAAGCTCCTGACTAAAATGAAAATACCCTGAAAAGGTACAATAATTATGTGTATATGCTCATTTGCATAAGATACATATGTATATGAGATATATAAGACCCCAAAAGATTGAAATACGGCGGCATGCGAGCTGCATACCAACGCTGTTGCTGCTGCTGCCTGGGCGCTCAAATTGCTCAGCTCGCGAGGAGAAACACTCACTTGTCGGCGCTCAAGCGGCGCACATCTCGGTCTCAGTCGTAGTCTAAGTCTCGGCCTGAGTCCCAGTTTCTTTCCCGGTTTTGTTCCCCCATCAAATTCCCATCAGAGAGCGGGCCTTAGGGGGAATCAAAGTCTACGTCCAAAGCGAAAACCGAAGGGGCGTGACGACTTGAAGATGTCACAGGTAGGCGAAGCAAATGGATTGCATTCGAGTATCAATATCGCTAATGGCATTCAGCCAAAGCCAAAGGCAAAGCCCTGTAACTATTCCCAGACCCACAGCACTGGCTGGTGCTCCAATGAAAATGAGAGCGAGCGTGAAAGTGTCATTGTCACGATCGTTGGCTACGCTCTGCTCGTGGCATTCCATATTCTCGCGCACCGCTCCCGCTTAATTAGTGCGTGCCATTGAGAGGGGTGTTCAGTTGTACAACAACCTCAGTTCGCGCCGTTTCGCCCTGCTCCGGATCGATGGGTCACTCCCTCTCCGCTCCCCAGACACTTGTGCATACAGTATATAATTGTTTACCCATGTGGACGACGGCGGGGCTATCGTTCTAAACCCGTGATTAAGTGGTAAAAATAGCATAGAAAATATATATTTCGAAAATCAGCCTGTAGATATTATATCAATAACCGGGAGAATTTATCATATACCTATATATATATACATAGTATGATGTATGTATTACATACATTCCCCTTCACACCTGGAATTTAATTAGCACAAGCGAAAGACATTAAATTCACTTTCATGGAGATTCACAAACTGACTAACAGGCAATTGGTTCGAAGAAAGTGATTTCGGGACAAATAATAAGATGCGTAATGATTTGGGTTTATTCAAAACTCAAACGAAATAGTGTTAATTAAAAATGAATTGATGGCAATAAAAGATGCAAATATCTTTTGATCAGTGCAATAATTCAGAGTTTTCCTCCAATCTTATTAACGTCCCTCTATTTCTTCCAGTTGGAGTCGTATCCCGAGAACGGCATTCGGCTTCTGCGCATTCGGGACGTGGCCGCGTCGAGGAGCGGCGAGATCTGTCTTCAGGTGAAACATCCGCTGGCAGACTCACGGCGAATACCCGCCACCCGTACTTATACCAGTCTTTTGGTTCTGCCCGCCGTCAGGGGCAACAGCAGTGGCTCCTCTTCGCTGGCGGGTCGCAGTAGCTGCATTTTGACACGCCCCGAGGATTGCACCGCTCTCATCGGTGGACATGTTCGACTGAGCGTGCGCTACGAGCCATTCCCGGGCACCACTGTCATCTGGTACAAGGCGGTAAGTTGCTTAACTAATCCTCGCAAGCATCGGCAGCAAGGCAGTAGGCTTATGGTAATTGGTCCGGTTTGCGAGTCAGCGTCACAGCGAGGTGTTGTGCAATCTTGACCTAATTTGGGCAGAGCAGCCGTGCCAGGGGGATTATATGGCCATATCGGATCCATATTCTTTATCATAAGCCCACTACTCCGGCGCCCTATCTCAATGGGTCGCATGTCTCTCGCTTTGGGCATTTCTGTGGCTCGGTGACTCTCTGACTGTGTCACGATCAGTTTGCGGTGTTGACGATCGACGAACGTTGGGTTGACGGGTTGCCTATGAGTAGCCTGGTCTGGTCTGGTCTGGCTACGTAATGGTTTCAAACCGCAAATACGAGACGAGCAGCGCCAGCGAAGGTTGTGTAGCCAGAGATCAGCTCAGCCCAGCACTAACATATTACCAGGTAGACTATTGAAGCACTTGAAAAATACATCTCCACGAACTTTGGCAATTTGTCCGGCTTTTATGCTGCTCTTATCTTGAAAAAGTGCCGAACTTTATCTAATAATCACACGAAAACACAATGTAGATATAGTATACGGAAGATACATTTTTCTTCTTTCTTTATTTTAACTTGGTTATAAAATATCATAACAATTCGTAGACTTAAACAGCATCTATGATGAATATTCTTCTTAGAATGTTTATAAAAGTATGCAGAAATGTTTTGAGGTTTTACATTTTTTTATAGCTTACAATTGAGCATTGGTTTTTAGTCATACATACATATGTTTCCAACGAAATGAACTACAAACATTCTCCGTCGCATTCCCACAGTGCCACCCTATAATCGAGAGCTCCAATGTGACAATACGGACAACGGGCCAGCAGTCAACGCTCTACATCACGGACATCACAGCGGATGACAGTGGCAAATACACCGTAGAGGTGATGAGCGACTATGGCATGGAGGCTGCTGCCGCCTCGGTGGCAGTCGAGGGACCACCAGAACCGCCCAGTGGTCAGCCTAGTGTCTCCCTGGGCCCAGATCGGGTGGCGGTGGCCTGGTGCGGACCACCCTACGATGGGGGCTGCATGATCACCGGTTTTATGTGAGTATTCAGAAACGATAATTGGTAACTGTAACAAAATATATTGAAATACACACAGCATTGAGATGCAAATCTGCGATAGCGAGGACTGTGATACGGGCAAATGGCAGCAGGTGACCCGAGTGGTGGACACGTTGGCCTACACCGTCAAGGACTTGCAGCCACAAATGCATTACCGTTTCCGAGTGCGAGCAGAGAACATTCATGGATGTAGTGAACCCGGCCAGCCTAGCGAACTAGTGCAGATAAGCAACAGGCTTCAGAGAAGTCCTTTAGATCATTATGGCCAGGCAGTGAGCGTCCAAGCGGGCGGAGACTTTAAAGCACGCTTTGAAATCATCGAAGAGCTGGGCAAGGGGCGCTTCGGTGTTGTGTACAAGGTGCAGGAGCGCGAGCAGCCGGACCAACTGCTGGCCGCCAAGGTGATCAAGTGTATAAAGTCACAAGATCGACAGAAGGTGCTCGAAGAGATCTCCATAATGCGTTCCTTGCAGCATCCCAAGCTCCTGCAGCTGGCCGCCTCGTTCGAGAGTCCCAGGGAGATTGTCATGGTAATGGAGTAGTAAGTATAACAGGTTCTTCCCCAAAGAATACATCATTCTAATATGACCTTTTTCCTCAGCATCACTGGCGGCGAGTTATTTGAGCGTGTGGTGGCCGACGACTTCACCCTAACTGAATTGGACTGCATCCTTTTCCTCCGCCAGGTGTGCGATGGCGTTGCCTACATGCACAGTCAGAGCGTGGTGCACTTGGACCTGAAGCCAGAGAATATCATGTGCCACACACGCACCAGTCACCAGATCAAGATCATTGACTTTGGCCTGGCCCAGCGACTGGATACCAAGGCTCCCGTTCGCGTTCTTTTTGGAACGCCCGAGTTCATACCGCCAGAGATCATCAGCTACGAACCCATTGGCTTCAAGTCAGACATGTGGAGCGTGGGCGTCATCTGCTACGTACTGTAAGTAATGCTTTGTAGGTATTTTCAAAGAATAACTATACTATATATACTTGGATTCCTACAGGCTCTCTGGCCTTTCGCCTTTCATGGGCGACACCGATGTGGAGACCTTTTCGAATATCACGCGAGCGGACTACGACTACGATGACGAGGCTTTTGACTGCGTGTAAGTTAAATAATTATTCAATATTCTTGATTAAACCTACATATCATTTTCTGTAGTTCCCAGGAGGCCAAGGACTTTATCTCGCAACTGCTGGTGCACCGCAAGGAGGAGCGCCTGTCCGCTCAGCAGTGCCTGGAGTCCAAGTGGCTATGCCAGCGACACGACGACAATCTCAGCAATAACAAAATATGCACGGACAAACTAAAGAAGTTCATTATCCGGCGAAAGTGGCAGGTAAGTTGTTGCTTTTAATCCTCCGCCTTTTTTTTAGATCCTAACCCAATGCTGCTTCTGCTTCCTTGCTTTTGCTTGCTCCTGCTCCTGTTCCTGTTGATGTTAATCTAGAAAACTGGCAATGCTATCCGAGCTCTGGGACGCATGGCAAACTTGTCGGTGTCGCGCAGGAACTCGGCCATAGCCATGGGAGCTTTGAGTAGTCCTAGGCCCTCCATATCGGGGTTGAGTATGTTGAATGCCAGTGCTTTGGGCAGTGGCATATCTTCCCAGATGACTTCACTTCATGAAGAAGAGGACGACTTTAGTGTGGAAATGCCCTCGGTGGAGAAGCGCAGTGTTCTGAAGCTGCGGGATAAGTCGCAGTGCAGCGAACGAAGTGACTCGGGCTACAGCGAATGCTCCAACTGCAGCGGTGCCCAGGAGACCCTTCTGCTGTCCCTGGCTAAGTCCAAGCTTGAGGCCATAGCCAAGGCTAGCAACGCCGTCCACACAGAGAAAGAGGATTCTGAAAATCGTGTTGCTGTCACCCTGGAGTTGCCCACCAACAGTAAGGGTGAGGCCATCATGCGTTCCGACTTCACCAATACCATCAAGATGCGGAAAAAATCGCTGGAGGATAGTGCTGCTCGGGAGAAACCAAAGTCGAAGCCCCAGGTCAAGCCTTTGTGTGAGTCCAAGCTGAAGGTGTCTCAGCTAAAGGATAGGTTCCAGGTTCCCACTGGTCCTGCTTCTGCTGCATTCGCCGCTGCTGCTACTGCTAACAAACCTCCGCTTGCCCTTGAGTCCTTCAAGATATCCAAGGTGGCGAGTGTGGGACGCATCAGTAGAAGTAACTTTGAGCTAAAGCCCTCCAAAACAGACCCCTTAAGTATGGTAGTATTATGAAGTTATCATTACATTACATTTTTCGGTTTAGCTTTTCTACTTTAGGGTCTGTTTTGGGATTTATTTTTCAAAATAAATTAATGTAAATTCCCCTACTAATTCTTGTTACTCTATTTTATTTCTCCCTTAACAGCAGAGGAGTCGGAAAAATCGAAGCGAGGAACTGTCACCAGTGGATCCTCTGCTAAAGCCAAGCCAGCTCAGGTGCGATCCATGCCAAGCTCACCGCTGCCACAGCGATCAGCTACGCCGACGCGGCTGATGAGCCAACGTGTCCGTGAGGCGGCCGAGCGTCTTGCCCAACAGCACACGGTGGCCAGTGCTCAGAGGCAGTGCAGCAATGGAAGTAATGGCACAAGCACTGGAAATGGGAACACGAAGACGTCAGACACGAATCGCGAGTCACGTGCGCGACGGCTAATTAACAGATTCAACAACAACAACAACAACAACAACAACGAAACACACCATATCACGTCCTAGTTTATAACTTTATTTCAGATATATAGATGATATATCATTGTTTAAGCAAAGACCCCAGGAGAAACTCAACTCTACGAAACTCGAATATGAAGCGAATTCGAGAAGCGACTGCGGATCGGAGCGCACCCAGAATCCAGCACCCGCACCCACTCACAGTAGGATATACGCCGCCCCCTCTCCCTCCCGTCGGAGGCCCTGTACTTAGGCTAGGAGGAAGCTATGTGTTTAAATTATTGTATCGATTTATATACATATTTACCGTACTAATTAAAGTTAATGATAACGAATCTGTGTGATAGGATCTGCTATGCTGGATCAGTGATCGGCGAGTGATTGATCGCGAGGCTTGAGGCGCACCCACAGACCGCCAGAGGCGCGCAGGGTGATCCGGAAGTTGATCTTAAGAGTGGTCTTGCCGGGCACAGGCAGCAATTGGAAGCTACGCAAAACCCGGGACACTATGGTCTTCATCTCCATGATGGCGAAGCGATTACCAATGCAGTACCTCGGTCCTGCGCTGAACGGCAGATAAGCGTACGGATGGCGGTGCTCCGAGTTCTCAGGGGAAAATCGCTCAGGCAGGAACTTCTCTGGCTCGGGGTAGATGTGCTCTATCCGGTGGGTGGCATAGGGGCAGATTAAGACGTTGCTACCGGCGGGCAGTGTGTAATCCCGCAGTTGCACTTCTTCGCCAATCTTGCGAGAAATCAGTGGCACACTGGGATATAGACGCAGCGCCTCCTTAATGCACATCTCAATGTATCGCATCTCACGCAAATCCGTCATCGTGGGAGCTCTGTTGCTGCCTTCAAAGATGGTCTCCAGCTCCTGGCAGCAACGCTCCTGGCAATCGGCATTCTGGGTCAGCAGGAACAGAGTGAAGGCAATGGCAGCGCCCACCGAATCCTGGCCAGCAAGCATGAAGGTGCAGGCCTCGTTCACGATGTCCTCCTCGGTGAAGTCAGGATTGCTGTCGGAGATCTCGATCATGAAGTCCAGCAGGCACCTTCGCTCTCCGTTTCCATTGTTATTATTCTGCATCTGGCGACGCCGCTTGATCATCTGGCGAGTGAACTCGTTAAGGCGCTTCTTCTGGTTCAGTTCATCGTTGGCCATCTTGGTCCAGTTATAGATTCCGTCTAGCAGCAGCCAGGGATGCGTAAAGCGCGCTGGTATCGTGAGCTTCCCCTGTCGGAAGGGTGAGTCCTCCATGTTGACCATATCCTGGCTGCTCTTTTTGATAGACACGCCCAGAACGGCCTCTGTTTGAATCGGTTAGAGGTTAGACGTTTACGAAGCAAAGTTAATCCCACCAGAGACTCACCGTTAAGAATGTCCATTACGCAGTTGTTCACGTACTTGGCTATATTAATCTCCGTGCCCATGGCGGAGGCATCTAGGTTCTCGTACAGCGACTGCGAGGCATCCACAAAGGTGTCAATGAATTTTTCAAGCAAGCTTAGATGGAAAGCCGGCTGGATGAGTCGTCGGTGATTGCTCCACTTGGAGCCACTGCTGGTGATCAGTCCATCGCCCAGAAAGTTGTGCATCAGCCGGTACAAGAACACCTTATTTGTGTGCTTCTTGGAGGAGAGGATCACCTGCAGGTCCTCCGGGTGAAGTACGGCGAAGAAGGGAAAGACCGCTATCCAAACGCGTACCAAGGTCCCATATACCTTATAGGCAGTGCCGCACCATTTTTCCATAACTATATGAGATGGTTTGTGATTAAATTGAGATTTACACTTTAAAGTAAAGATTTCCTATACTTAAGATGCTCTGATACTTGGAATATTCCTTTTTCGAGTTCCAAAGTCCAACTCTACCTGATGTTAAAGTACTTATAGTATAGAAACTCACCCTCCTTGTCCGTGATCATGTGACAGTTGCCCAGAATGGGCACCACTGGAGGACCCGTGAGCCGCAGCATAAGCAGCACTGACCTAAGGTATGACTGCAAGGTGGCATAGAATGTGTAGATGCTCAAGGGGATCACCATGAGCAGCAGCACCGAGAACAGCTCCAGTTTGGTGGCGCCTTCGAACTGCGAGAGAGACAAAGAGATACATATATCAGGCTCGGGTCAGTCAGGTGGATAATTGCATGCGTGCGCCAATATTGATTCAGTTATCGAGCGACGGCGCACTCCATCAGCCCTTGAGTTGATGTGTTTTTGGAGTCTAATTAACTGAGATCAGGGAACGTACTTGGCATGCTCGGCGTACTTGCCCTTGCCGCGTGTCGCAAGTGTTTTTTTTTCGGCAAACAAACGGTGCCATCGAAATCGTAATCGCAACGAAAGTATAAGTTATGTATCTAACTGCGGTGTGAATTGCTTGGGCCAACACGGCGTATGGGCGATGCGGAGCGATGGCATCTCCTAGCATCGCGGAGCAGATACAAGATACAAGTACGTGTGCGGCTCGGAGATCGATTAAAGCATTTGGGTTCGCCCCCGCCCTGGCCGTACGTGGTCGCGTTTTGGTGTCGGTGGTGCAACAGGTTACGCCGAGCAACAAAAGATGACAAATGATGATCACCAGGGACAGGCATTGTTAACCGACCAGTTCCCACATGATGTTAAGTCAGAGCAGACTGCGGTTCTGGATGGGACAGCAGCCATTAGCCGCACATCCGTCAGCTCCATGGTCAAGTGACACCTTGCTCTGACTCAGATCTCAATGGTTAATTTATTGTTTGCAAAGTAACACATGCAGTTGGTCATAAAAATCGCTCATCCGTCGATCAGATCCATGGATAATAAATGTCAGTAGAGGGACTCCACGATCTGCCTGGTGAGGGTCAAGTGTCTTCAAAGATGCGGTTGTTCAGTATTCAGTAACGTTTTGTTGTTGGAAGCAATCAAGATAAGAAATTATTCCGCCGGTGGCGTCTCATCCTCGTAGCCCTCGGATAGGGCGTTCTTGTCAGAATTGTGGAACAGGCTGCGATCACCATCGCCCCAAGGGAATCGCTTGGTCCGTCGCCGCAGATACTCGTACTTGGTAAAGGGCTCACGTTCCTGATGCTCGTGTCCGGAGAAGGCGTTGACTGCACACAACACAATGGCCGGAATGGCCACCAGGAAGGTGACACGCTTCCACAGACTGGCGGTATTACCGGAGCCAAATCCCATCTGCCGGACATTGAATCGGAATTGGGACATTGTTTCGATTTAGATTCAAACAATTTGTAAAAAAAACTCGGGGAGTCGGTGCGACGACTGACTAGAGACGACACCTGATTTCAGAATCTGAACGACACGCCCACGCCTGCCGCCGCTTCTGCCTTTCCGAAAAAATATAGTTCATAGCAATTAGAAACTCTCAAGGAAATCTAACGAACAGAGGCCCGTGCCAAGGCTGAGGTCCAACAACCCCCGATAATGTCTGTTTGATCTGATCTTCAATATTTGAGCAGAAACCAAAAAAAACCTGTGAAGCGTCCAGAAAGCTTCCGCTCCGCACTTGCGACGAAGACTACGACGACGTCTTCTACTTCTTTTGGGCACGGCAGCGTATCCAGGCTGCGAGGTGTGCAGAACCCGATCGTATATTTGCTCGCCAATTGGCACCTGGCCACTAATCAATACACATCATGATTATTTCCCACTAATTTCATAAATTATCATAATGGTCTTCTACCAAACGAGGGACTCGTTGTTGCCAGTAATTCCGGCTAAAAAGCCAACAGAGGTGAGATAATTCAGTTAAAGATTAAACTGAATTAAAATGTGTGGTAATCGGGAGTTACAGTGGATAATAGTTTTAAACACTATTAAGATTTACTTTAAAGTTCACTATTTCATGTTTTTGAATGTTTTCGAAAGAATGATTAAGTGTTTGACGTTAGTTTCACTTGGTTATTTATAGTTTATAATCCGTTTTGGATATCCTTACTTATTTTTTTTACCACTCACCACTTTTTCCACAAACATTTTGAGTTAATTCACACACAAATCTTAAGCACTTTCAAGTCCTTGCCGCACTGGACGGTGGAGTATATTCAGTTATTATATATGTAGCTTTATATATATATTTCCGATTTTAGGACTACCTATCCGCCGACAGTTGAGCTGCAAATGCGGGACCTCCGCCTGCTAAGCGTCTATTTATAAGCAATTTGGGCTGATCAAGCTCGGCTTACACACGTCGAAAAAGACGCCGCCGCTCGGCGCGTACGTGAGCTAGTGCCTTCTCCCCCGCCGCCACTATATCCCTCCGTAGGTACTGCAGGTACCCGATATCGAGTATAGTAATTGCCAACTGGTCGGCGGCACTCGAAGTGCTAAGTAGCTAGAAGTGGATACGACGCTGCGGATGCTGCGCCTCCGCGCCAAGTGGCGTGGCAATCAATTATCCGTTTTCTGGCTATTGGATTTGCGCCTATTTGTGCACAGTGTAACGAACTTTGCTCGAGCCAGGTTCGGGAGGAGGCACCAGGCGGGCCCCCTCCGACCGCTGGATTACATCAATCATTTTCATATTTACAGAGTGGCCGATGCTCGGGCTCCGACCTTTTAACGTCACCATAAATGTTGACCAAAACTTTGGGAGTCGTTTCCGCGAAATTACTAGTATCTTGGACAAACAAGGGATCAGAGTTGGATGTGCTATGTGCCCCTCATCCGTATTTGCAGTCGAGAAATAAACTGCAAAAAGAAGAGTTTCAATTATAAAACAATTTAATCTCCTATCAGATGGCTTTGTTTTAAATAATCGTTATTGGCGGCACAATTGTGGTTAACACTATCAGCTCCGATTAGACTATCAGCTCTTGTACTGTATTATGGTGCACAAGTACCGCCAGAGATTAACTGGAACTCGGAAAATATAAATCTGTGCCACGCCTTATCTGGAGACATGATGAATGGGCTTCCCACCTTCCAGATTACACCTGAAGCTAGACATCCCCGTCAGTCTTAACGAGTAAAGTTCAATGGGTAATGTTATACGGCCGAGCGGTGACTCAACCCTTAACTTACTGATAATCCCAAAATGATTATAGCTCAGCCGGTTGGCTTTCTTCTGGTGGTTATTTGGGTCTTTAGAAGCGCACCGCCTTTGGTCAGGCCACTTTATAATGGATATAAAACGCCAGTACCATAAACTTTACGATATCGTTGCTGAATTTTATGGAAAAAATCCAAATTACCTATCGGGAATCGGGGATGATCGCGAATTTCGCCGTTTCGTGATAAGTGATAAGCCGCTGACTATGGCCCTATATAAGGAGTCCGAATCGATACACCTCTAATAATTTTTCCGGACCGGGTGTATGTGGAAATGTCGCTGCGCTTGGGACTGCTTCTTTTGGGGCTACTGGCCCCGTTGATCCTTGTGGAATCCGCCCTCATAAACCCCTCATTGTGGGTGGCGATCAGGCGGATATCGCCAACTATCCGTACCAGGTATCGGTTCGTCTGGAGACCTACATGCTGCTCCACATATGCGGTGGCAGTATCTACGCCCCAAGGTGGTGGTCACTGCCGCTCACTGCATCAAGGGACGCTTTGCATCCTACATCCGGATCGTAGCTGGCCAGAACTCAATAGCAGACCTGGAGGAGGAGGGAGTGAAGGTCAGCAAGCTGATCTACCACAGCGGCTACAACAAGAAAACCTTTGTTAATGACATTGGTCTGATCATCACCCGCGAGGCGCTGGAGTACTCCGCTCTAGTACAGCCCATTGCTTTGGCGGTGGAGGCTCCTCCTTCGGGTGCCCATGCCGTGGTCAGTGGCTGGGGCAAACGGACCGAAGAGGATGAAGCCCTGCCAGCCCTGCTACGTGCCGTCCAGCTGCAGATTGTGGAGAGGAACACCTGCGGAGCTCAGTACCTGACTAAGGACTACACCATCACGGATGAGATGCTCTGCGCTGGATTCTTGGAGGGCGGCAAAGACACCTGCAACGGAGATTCTGGCGGTCCCCTCGTCGTTGACGGAGTTCTGGTGGGCATCGTATCCTGGGGCGTGGGTTGCGGCAGGGAGGGATTCCCAGGAGTGTACACCAGCGTCAACTCGCACATCGCCTGGGTGGAGGACCAGGCGGAGCCGTACCTCTAGGGGGAATTCTCTAAAGAGAGGAGGCCCTTCACGGCCTGAAAGCGAACAAAGTCAACGAACAAAATATGACTTACTTAATTACTGACTAAATTTACCTTGTTTATCTAGTTTTTTTATGGAGATAGCACCAATAAATATTCGCATTATGGGAATGATGGACTTTAGATACTTACTTGAGAGCTTAACTACCAAGCTTGGCTCATAGATCAGGGCTCACCAATAAATTTTCAAGTTTAAGGGGATGATTATGCTGAACCTTAGCTAGTTATCTGAGAACTTGACTATCAAGCTTGGCTCTTAGATAAGAGCTGACCAATAAATCCTCAAGTTAAAGGGGGTGGTTATGCTGAACTTTAGTTGGTTATATAACTTACTATCAAGGTAGGCTCATAGATCAGGGTCCACAAGTAAGCTTACTTCGGAAAACTAAAGTTTATAGTTATTACTAAAGGTGCATTACCATTTTTTAATCGATATTAACTATAAGTTTATATGAAATTTTTCGGCAAATTTTCATGATGTAACCCCGTTCCTTTTTTCCGAAAAATGGGAAATTTCTGAAAAAAAATGTTATCGGCCGGAAAAAAGCTAGAAAAAAAGAACTGTAGATCCTGATCAAGAATATATATGATTAATGGATTCGGAAATGGTTCTTTCACTTTATTTTAAGCTTCTGACTGAAGGTGAGTTACCATTTTTTAATCGATATTAACCATATTTTTATATGAAAATTTTCGGCAAATTAAAATTTAAAAATCTCACAACTAAGCCAAAAATGCATTAATTTCAATTCGGAAGGCGGTCGCATGCTAATTTTTAGCAGGTTAACAAAACTGCATACTCCATTTAACACGTGAATTTTTGGACGATTTTTGCACATTTTCATGACGTAAAATAAATATTTGACATTTTTCCGAAAATTGAAAATTTTATAAAGGTTTACATCATTAAAATTGCCAAAATTTGACAACAAATTGAATTTTTTAAATTTGAAAACTGAGTATGCAGCTTTGTTAATCTATGCAGCTTTGTTAATCTACTAAAAACTAGCATAGAACAGCTTTCCGAATTAAAATCAATGATTTTTTGGCTTAGTTATGAGTTTTTTAAACTATGATTTTGGGAAAAATGTTCTGTTTTTATACCTTTTTCGGGTTTTTATAATTTTAGTCAGAAACTTATAACAGCATCAACAAACGCAGTATGCAGATTTGTTAGTGCTATAAAAACTTGCGCAGAAAAGCTTTCCGATTCAAAATTAATGCTATTTTGGCTTAATTATGATGTTTGGAAAGCTCAGATTATTTAAGAAAATTGTCTGTTTTTATAACTTTTTGCAGATTATAGCTTCAGTCAGAAGATTAAAACGCAGTAAAGGAGTCATTTCCGACCCTATAAACCATATATATTCTTGATCAGCATCAACAGCCCAATCGTTCTAGCCTTGTCCGGTCGAAAAATAAATTTTTCTCTTTTTTCCGAAAATTTAAAATTTATAAGGGGTTACATCATTAAAATTGCCAAAATTTGACAACAAATTGAATTTTTTAAATTTGAAAACTGAGTATGCAGCTTTGTTAATCTACTAAAAACTAGCATAGAACAGCTTTCCGAATTAAAATCAATGATTTTTTGGCTTAGTTATGAGTTTTTTAAACTATGATTTTTGGGAAAAATGTTCTGTTTTTATACCTTTTTTCGGGTTTTTATAATTTTAGTCAGAAACTTATAACAGCATCAACAAACGCAGTATGCAGATTTGTTAGTGCTATAAAAACTTGCGCAGAAAAGCTTTCCGATTCAAAATGAATGCTATTTTGGCTTAATTATGATGTTCGGAAAACCTCGATTATTTAAGAAAATTGTCTGGTTTTATACCTTTTTGCAGATTATAGCTTCAGTCAGAAGATTTAAACGCAGTGAAGGAGTCATTTCCGACCCTATAAACCATATATATTCTTGATCAGCATCAACAGCCCAATCGTTCTAGCCTTGTCCGGTCGAAAAATAAATTTTTCGCTTTTTTTCGAAAATTGAAATTTATAAGGGGTTACATCATTAAAATTGCCAAAATTTGACAACAAATTGAATTTTTATACCCTTGCAGGGTATTATAATTTCAGTCAGAAGTTTGCAACGCAGTGAAGGAGGCACCTCCGACTATATAAAGTATATATATTCTTGATCAGGATCAACAGCCGAGTCGATCTAGCCATGTCCGTCTGTCCGTCTGTCCGTCTGTCCTTCTGTCCGTCTGTCCGTCTGTCCGTCTGTCCGTCTGTCCGTTTCTACGCAAACTAGTCTCTCAGTTTTGAAGCTATCTGAATGAAACTTTGTAGTTAGCCTTCTATATACTCTCACTCGTATATATGTCGGAACGGGCCGGATCGGACGACTATATCATATAGCTGCCATAGGAATGATCGTAAAATTTTAAAAAAAAAATTTTTAACTTTTTCAGTTTTCAATAGAATTGGATCAAATTTAAGATATAGCCATTTTACTATACTCTACAATTTTGTGTAGAATTTTATGAAAATCGGACCAATATATCATATAGCTCCCATAGGAACGATCGAGAAATTAATACAATTAAATTTATAACTTTTTTAGTTTTCAGCTGATTTTCATCAAATTTAAGGTATAGCTATTTTATATTAGTCTTAAATTTTTTGTCAAATTTTATGAAAATCGAACGACTATATCTTATAGGTGCCATACAAACGATCGTTTGATGTAGAGGAAAAATGCAAATCTGTGAATGTAAAACTGCAAATATAATATGTATAGGTGAATGAAATGAAAGCAGGTATTATTATTCATTGTTTTTTAACACAAATATATATAATTTATATTGTATGGATTCCTATTCATAGAAGTTCTATCTGCAAGGGTATATAAACTTCGGCGTGCCGAAGTTAGCTTTCTTTCTTGTTTAAATTTGAAAACTGAGTATGCAGCTTTGTTAATCTACTAAAAACTAGCATAGAACAGCTTTCCGAATTAAAATCAATGATTTTTTGGCTTAGTTATGAGTTTTTTAAACTATGATTTTTTATACCTTTTTTCGGGTTTTTATAATTTTAGTCAGAAACTTATAACAGCATCAACAAACGCAGTATGCAGATTTGTTAGTGCTATAAAAACTTGCGCAGAAAAGCTTTCCGATTCAAAATTAATGCTATTTTGGCTTAATTATGATGTTCGGAAAACCTCGATTATTTAAGAAAATTGTCTGGTTTTATACCTTTTTGCAGATTATAGCTTCAGTCAGAAGATTTAAACGCAGTGAAGGAGTCATTTCCGACCCTATAAACCATATATATTCTTGATCAGACTCAACAGCCCAATCGTTCTAGCCTTGTCCGGTCGAAAAATAAATTTTTCGCTTTTTTCCGAAAATTGAAAATTTTATAAGGGGTTACATCATTAAAATTGCCAAAATTTGAAAACAAATTGAATTTTTTAAATTTGAAAACTGAGTATGCAGATTTGTTAATCTACTAAAAACTAGCATAGAACAGCTTTCCGAATTAAAATCAATGATTTTTTGGCTTAGTTATGAGTTTTTTTAAATTATGATTTTTGGGAAAAATGTTCTGTTTTTATACCTTTTTTCGGGTTTTTATAATTTTAGTCAGAAACTTATAACAGCATCAACAAACGCAGTATGCAGATTTGTTAGTGCTATAAAAACTTGCACAGAAAAGCTTTCCGATTCAAAATTAATGCTATTTTGGCTTAATTATGATGTTCGGAAAACCTCGATTATTTAAGAAAAATGTCTGGTTTTATACCTTTTTGCAGATTATAGCTTCAGTCAGAAGATTAAAACGCAGTAAAGGAGTCATTTCCGACCCTATAAACCATATATATTCTTGATCAGCATCAACAGCCCAATCGTTCTAGCCTTGTCCGGTCGAAAAATAAATTTTTCGCTTTTTTCCGAAAATTGAAAATTTATCATTAAAATTGCCAAAATTTGACAACAAATTGAATTTTTTAAATTTGAAAACTAAGTATGCAGCTTTGTTAATCTACTAAAAACTAGCATAGAACAGCTTTCCGAATTAAAATCAATGATTTTTTGGCTTAGTTATGAGTTTTTTAAACTATGATTTTTGGGAAAAATGTTCTGTTTTTATACCTTTTTTCGGGTTTTTATAATTTTAGTCAGAAACTTATAACAGCATCAACAAACGCAGTATGCAGATTTGTTAGTGCTATAAAAACTTGCGCAGAAAAGCTTTCCGATTCAAAATTAATGCTATTTTGGCTTAATTATGATGTTTGGAAAGCTCAGATTATTTAAGAAAATTGTCTGTTTTTATACCTTTTTGCAGATTATAGCTTCAGTCAGAAGATTAAAACGCAGTAAAGGAGTCATTTCCGACCCTATAAACCATATATATTCTTGATCAGACTCAACAGCCCAATCGTTCAAGCCTTGTCCGGTCGAAAAATAAATTTTTCGCTTTTTTCCGAAAATTGAAAATTTTATAAGGGGTTACATCATTAAAATTGCCAAAATTTGACAACAAATTGAATTTTTTAAATTTGAAAACTGAGTATGCAGCTTTGTTAATCTACTAAAAACTAGCATAGAACAGCTTTCCGAATTAAAATCAATGATTTTTTGGCTTAGTTATGAGTTTTTTTAAATTATGATTTTGGGAAAATGTTCTGTTTTTATACCTTTTTTCGGGTTTTTATAATTTTAGTCAGAAACTTATAACAGCATCAACAAACGCAGTATGCAGATTTGTTAGTGCTATAAAAACTTGCACAGAAAAGCTTTCCGATTCAAAATTAATGCTATTTTGGCTTAATTATGATGTTTGGAAAGCTCAGATTATTTAAGAAAATTGTCTGTTTTTATACCTTTTTGCAGATTATAGCTTCAGTCAGAAGATTAAAACGCAGTAAAGGAGTCATTTCCGACCCTATAAACCATATATATTCTTGATCAGCATCAACAGCCCAATCGTTTTAGCCTTGTCCGGTCGAAAAATAAATTTTTCGCACTTTTCCGAAAATTGAAAATTTTATAAGGGGTTACATCATTAAAATTGCCAAAATTTGACAACAAATTGAATTTTTTAAATTTGAAAACTGAGTATGCAGCTTTGTTAATCTACTAAAAACTAGCATAGAACAGCTTTCC